CCTACATATCTCGCCCCCTTTCTTCTCGTGCATGCTATACAGAATGACAAAACCAAAACACAACCTTGCCTGAAATCGGTTTCGTGCCGGTATTTTTAGTACGAATTTTTACATTAAATTGGAACCGTTAGTATACAATTTGTGATTTATATATGACGCACGTTGTGACCGCCAACTACTTTTGTATGCAACATCGTTGCAGTTGCATTGCCACTAATGCAAGTGCATTGCAGTTGTATCAATACATAGGCAACTAGATCGCACAGTAAATGCTTGATGTTTTATGAGTAAATGAAGAGGTGACACCAACTTGCTCAAGCATCAAGATTAATATACTGATAAAACTACCTCTGTGATATACAATCTCTGAAAGGTGCATCAGAAATACCTATCCATAATGCTTTCACTTTCACGTAGTACCTGCGGAAATCTAACATGCGTAAGTGACTTTCTTTTGTTTATTGCTAATGCTAGAAGCATTATTTTAGAACGTTGTCAGAAAGCGATGGCTGTCTTCTTTACCACTCTCCAAAAACTTGGAGTTGATAACGAAGGACAAAATACGCTCAAACGTCACAAATTTTAAGTTGAGCACACCATTGGATAAGCCCCTCGTTATTTTACTCTCATGGCTCTTGGCGAAGCAGAAGCATATGCACAAATTCGCGGACTACTACACCGGGCACGGCTTTGACGTACTCAACGTTAACACGGCACCATGGCAGATGCTGTGGCCGACCAAAGGAACACAAGTATTGAACGTTATCGATTTCCGACGGCTAATTACACATTTGTAGGTAATTGCGAATGAAGTAGCAACATTTCTCGACCGAAACTCGAGTTACGCGCCACTAATTGTTCATGGCTTTTCAGTTGGTGGCTATCAGTGGGGCGAGGTTCTTGTTCGGTTATCGCAAGAGCCCCAGAGGTTCCGGCATGTTGTAGATCGTATCATCGGACAGGTATGGGATAGCGTGGCCGATATATCCGAGATACCTTACGGATTTCCGATGGCACTGTTTCCCAAGCATAAAGTTCTGCAAAATGCGATGAGACAGTACATTCTGTAATTATAAGGTACACTCCCGAAGGGCACAACTACTGATAGCTTTTGTTTAGCTATCATCTGCGGACATTCGACAAGGTAGCCACCTGCCATTACGTTAGGGCTAGTCAATTATTCCACGGTAACATGGTGAAGGCGCCCGCCTTATGCTTTTTAAGCAAGACTGACCTCGTGGGCGCCGAGACCTCTAACCTACGGTTAAAGGAAAACTGGGAAAGTTTGGGGCTAAAGGTAGGTCTGTCTAGTTTTCGATATATTAATCGCATAAAAATATCGTAGGTCTACTGGCAATGTTGGGACACATCGCCACATGTTGGACATTACAAAAGACATCGCGAAGAATATCTTGAGAAATTGGAAACATTCCTTTATGAAATAAACGCAATTCCTTGGGAAAACAAATTACAAGTGAAATTATAATTTTGGTGTTTGTACTTATAGCACATAAGTTTCCATGTAATTTCCTGTTTTTGTAAGACTGTGTAATTCTGCAAAGTACCTCACAATAAGATTATTCTCTTTGTTTCGATTATAATTTTTGTATTATGTAATTGAGGAATATGGCCAAATGTTTTAGAAGTAGCACTCAGTTGAGAGTACCTATAATTTTGATGTGTAGCTCATTTCTCTGTAAATCGTGCACAATTCAAACTTTTCATGCAATGCATAGAGAAACACTAGGTTTTAACACTTTTGTAAATAAAATATTGTAATAAGAATATTGTTTTTGCAACATAAAAACAATGTATTCAAAAAGATGTGGGTGTGGGCGATTGTAGAGACATGGTTGACGAAATTTTAAGCTATCTACGCCGCTGCATATTATATTAATTAAAATGCAGGGTTGGCAAAAATTTGATTTAAATCTAGATGCTCATAATTTCAATTATCAAGAAGAATACCAATAAAAACGTCGCTGTCTAGCTCAAAATAAAATTGACATATTTTATAATTTTCCATCTTTTGTTTTTGAAATTGACATAATTTAACCTCAATGTAGAATCACACATTTGATACCGTTCACTTTTATTCTTTGCAATCGCGTTCATTTTTGTCTGTTTCTATTACGCAGTCTCTTATATTTTTAGATCTATCAAACATGCGAAATTTATCGAATTGTTTGATCTGTGTTTGTGTACTGATTTGTTTGTAAGCTAAAACTCCCCGCAACCACCGCTCATGCTACCTGTCTCGGGCGCGCGACTCTGCTAAAACAGAAACTCTTTGTTTTAGAATCTATGTGCGATATGTGTGTTAAAACATTGTGTTTGCCCTCCAAGGCCATGTAATTTTCCATTTTATTGCACCAAAAGATGAGTCACCTGTTGTTTTGCAACTTGTTTTGTATTTATATGTATCATGCTTTATATCAATGAATTGCAACAAATTATATTACACATAGATATAGGTATAACATTTTCCCTATTGCTCATTCGAGACTATTAAAATAACTGGACAAAATGCAAAGAGGTTCAAAGTACGAATAATACAATTATGCCATCATATAGTGTTTCATTTTTCATTCCCCTACTGTACCTTATTAATAGGTCATATCGTTGTTCACAACTAACTGCCGCTTTTTGATTTCAAATTTAAGCGGGATCTGTTTAGCTTTTGGCGAGGGAATAGCTATACGGCTGGTCACTTTTAAATTTTATTTCTGAGTTCTTGTAGTTATGGAACCTGGGGAGTACACTACAATGACGATATAAAAAAAAATGGTAGAGGTGTATAAAGGTCTGTAAAAAGTTTCTATTTGAAATTAAGTTGCCCTACAATTGATTCTTAAGCTACAGTTATGTGAAAATGTGCACAGCATCACTATAAATGGGCCCATCTACATGAAGAATATTTTATATAAATCATTTTTTGATATCCCCGCTAGTTTCCGAAATAATCGACTATCTCCAGATAAATGGAACACCCTGTATATAAATTATTAAGTCACATTCAAATATGAGATTACATATACGGAACTAGAGGATTTCCACCTATGTCAGTAGGTAATGGGCGCGTTCATAAGACACAACTGTTCTGGAACAGTTACTGATACGTCTTATAATTAGGTCGCTACTTTTACGCTCTTTACGGAGCAGTCGGCCATTTTTAGTAGCGCTACATACGTCAAAGTAGGGAACGTGACATAAGACCCCCAACTGTTACCGATACGCTACGAGGTAGCGTAGCGGTAACTGTTGTGTCTTATGAACGAGCCCAATGATTAGAGACGTTGCAAAATTTACCACAAAAGAAATGACCGCTACACCCCAATTCGTCGCACTTATACAGGATGGCCATTTGAAAACGAAACAGAGCCTATTTTGGGAACCTCAAAACATTTACGAAAAAATCCTCGGACCCGTCAATTTTTGATCCGAGGGGGAACCATTTTTTTGCTAGTTTCGCCCCCCTGGGGGCAAAGCCATAGCGGGGGTGACAAGTGTCCCCAAAATTTTAAATCGAATGGGGGGTCGAGTGATACCTTATTTTGAAAGTATTTTTATGTAGATTATAACTCTTAAGATTTAAATCAGTTTTATTTTAAGTGCTTAAAGCTAAAATCAATCAAGTCAATGTTGGAAATGTTGGCCTTCGACTTCCATACAATAATACAGGTTTTGTTCAAACCTTTCCCATACATTTTGCAAAACTTCTGGGGTGATTTGACGACATTCATCAATTATTCTTTGTCGCAAGTTCTCTAGCGACGTTGGCTGACTAGCATAAATTTTAGTTTTTAAAGGTCCCCATAAAAAAAATCTACCAGACTTAAGTCCGGGGAACGAAGAGGCCATTCAATAGCTCCTCTTCTTCCAATCCAATGTTCTGGAAACGTTTGGTCCAAATATTGACGAACCCTTGCAGCATAGTGGGGTGGCGCACCATCTTGTTGAAATACTATACGATTTTCCAAGTACTCGTTATTTTCTAGTATCTCCACTAATGCCGGATGAATCGTATTTTCTAATAACTTCAAGTACATCTCTCCTGTTAGATTGCCACGTAAAAAAAGGGGCCTACGATATGGTTACCAAAAATGCCAGCCCAAACATTCAATTTTTCGGGACGTTGTGTATGCACCTCACGAAATAGTCTGGGATTTGAATCAGCCCAATAGCGACAGGTGTGTATTTGTCACTACTATTATTTGACAACAACAATTGACAAGCACTATTAAACTTCAAAATGTTGCTATGTAACGCTCTCAACAATAACCAAGATTTCTGTTGCAGAATTGGCATAGCCACCTACAGGTATTAAAAAGAAAAAAAACAACAACAAAAAATACGGTTCAGAATGTAGGAGAACAACATTTTTTGTATTTACTGATGTATTAATTTTTGTTATTTAACTAATTCATTTACAAGCATTTTTTTCATAAGAAAATGTTGACACGTTTTTAACTTTTATTAGCCCCTGTATCGGCTAGGCAAATTAGTAGCGATTTAAAACTTAAGGGTTATAATCCACATAAAAATACCTTCAAAATAAGGTATCACTCGACCCCCCATTCGATTTAAAAGTTTGGGAGCACTTGTCACCCCCGCTAGGGCGTTGCCCTTAGGGGGGCGAAATTAGCAAAAAAATGGTTCCCCCTTGAATCAAAAATTGACGGGTCCCAGGATATTTTCGTAAATGTTTTGAGGTTTCCAAAATAGGCTCTGTTTCGTTTTCAAATGGCCACCCTGTATGTAGAGATGTAGGTGCAGTTAAACCCCAATAAATCATCCCCTGAAACGTTTCTAGACACGATATTTATTATCGTTCTGTTCAGAATTCCCTGTCTTTGTTATACTTGGGCAAAAACGAAATTTACCCTTTATTCAATTCATAATTCTAATCAGACCCGCTCTGGCTACCCATAAGGGTAGGTTGTGTCGAGGGCGCAGACCTGTAAATAAAACTACGAGGTCTGAGGGGGAACCCTAGCACAATGGGAACGAACAACAAACTTGGCTTTGTCGCGTACCTCGCGATTCAGGGACTGTCGCCAATGCGAAAGCAGTCTAAAGGCCGATTCTCACTTGCACTCAACTTCGCGACGCAATGCGATACCGCGATGCAAAGTACTGCTAAATAAAGAATGCGTGGCGTCGTAAACGTAAACATGAAATCTTCTTTAGCGACGCCTTGCAGCGCGGCATCGCGTCGCGGTTACCAAGCGCGGGGTGAGTGAAAATCGAGCTTAAGAGTCGCTCACTTTGAACCGGAACCGTTATTTAAGAAGTGATGACAACCGGGAATCGATACACTGGTACCATTATTTATAGTGCCAAAAACCCGGTATTTTTCAATTCTCCCTCTCTTGTTCGGTACAGTAGACACGTTGCGCTTTGTGAGAGGGTAATGTTGCTCTCAAAATTTGGTATTAAAGTATTGCTGTTCAAAACTTTGCTTAGATTTTTAAGATTAAGTACCTAGTGGTTATATCATAGACATGACATATGTATCACTATATAATGGTGGTATACTGGTTAGTATTAACGATGAAACAGTAAGTTTATGTAAGATGGATAGGGTTAAACTGCCCGTAACTATTTGACGTATGGCAAAAAAGTCAGTGTGTAAACTTTGCCATTAAATAGATTGATTAACCAATACAAGTTATTATTATTTATCCCTTACTTGTATTTGTACTCAAATTTATAACATACATGTACATTTATAACACGAGCGCGAATTTCACTATTTATCACTTCGGCATCGATTTTGGAACTTCTATTAAACACAACTCAATTTGCTTATAGATCAAACGAACAGACACGTTCAGTGAACATATACAAAAAAATTATTTTAATTAGTCCTATTTGTTGCTGCTGAAAAAAGTTTGGAATATGTTGCATCCTACGAGTAAAAATTTAATGTTTACTTGTAGAGGTTACAACTAAAGTTGCCTTTTTGAAATTTTGTTGGAGGGAGCCAAGTCGACACATCTAGCCTTCATTCCCTTAAAATTTAGGACATTATAATGTGCTACAAATTACACGTAGCAACAAAGCCTAAATCAGGATGTGCATATGCATATGTTCTTAATTATTATATCTGTTTTTGCCAATTGATAGCTAAAAAATAGCTTAAAAATCATACGTGGCATAAAAGTACCTTCTGCAGAGGCACCTCTAAAAAGCATTATGCAGGTCACTCTGTAATTGGGCGCAAGTCTGTTGAGGGCCCAGAACAAGAGAGTGATAATAAATAAAAAAATAAATAAGTAGAGTAGGATTTTCCTAAGTTTGCACGCACGTCATCGAGTATTGACATCATTCTAAACTAGATATGTTCGTATGTTTACATAGTACCTCTGCAATCGATACAACAGACTAAGTATGTAGGAAAACATAGGAACAGTGCTGAATTTTAATTGGTATACTCATTACGCAAACAATCATCTACACTCGACTGCATTATACCAACCATAAAATGCAGCACTGTTCGTATGGTTTCAGGTTTTCTACATACTTATCTTCTATCGATTGCAGATACTGTGTAAACATACTTAATTCAGATGCAGGAGCAGGATATCGAATAAAATGTCATGTTGCGGGTAAAAAAGCGCACCGAGTTTGAACCAAGAAATGAAATTATGAAGTTTCATATTAAATATTAGTGTCAGAAATCAATTGCCCCGCCACGTTTGGGAAATTCCATGGTGGTATACCTATTCTAGCAATAGCATTATCCACTTTCTAAGAAAAAGTCAAAGAGGCAATGCACATATCTCCTAGACCAGCGGTCGCCAACTGGTGGGCCGCGTGAAAATTTTAGTGGTCCGTGAAGAATTGCTTCATTCTCATTGAATAAATATGCTTTTATATTTGTGTGGTGTGAATATGCGGGAAAAGAATGTACCACAATAAAAACAAGGGCTGTCGAAATATTTCTTTTATCCACCAGGGCGCACGCGAAAGTACCATTTCCATGGCTACCTCCCGACTTCCGTATACTGGAGCTCAAGTTTAGGCATGCATCAGAATCTGATGCGCCAGTCAGTTTCGCACTGTGTATGTACAGAAGTCCGAGTAGTATAGATCACCCTGTATATGTATGCACATAACCACACATTTTTAAATTTAAAAATTGCCGGCAAACTTTTTTAGGTTAATTAAAGTTGGAATGGAAAAGAAGGTAATTTACATTTACGATTCTACTTTACGCGACGAATGCGATCGCCTGCCAACAGTTCCTGGACGAGTAAGCACCCTCCACTAAAAAACTACGCAAACATTTCTTAAAATTTTAGGCTTCCATCGTAACCGACTTAGTTAACTCGTACGAACTGCTCAAATCTGGTAACGTAACGGTAGTCCCAAGCGTTCCGGCCACATACGATGAGCTTAGATTATTCCATTCGAGTGCGTACTTGGATTTTATGAAAGCGTACAAAGAGGACGATGTTGGCTTCGAAGATGGAGAGGAAGACGAGTTCGGTTTAAGTTACGACTGTCCCTTGCTCCCTCGACTTTACACATTAGTGCAAGCATTAGCCGGTGGTTCGATAACTGCTGCAAATTTACTGGCGGAGCGCAAGTGCGATTTTGCAATTAACTGGTTCGGCGGCTGGCATCACGCCCAAAGGTTTTTTCTCAGTCCAATTTCCACGAAGGCTGAGAGGGGACACACAGCATAGATCTTTTTATCCTTTAATATTCAAATACAGATCCTCTCTAGTACATTTTAGGGCCTTCTTTCTTCTAGTTCTCAGAGCTTTATGTCCATTCCAAAGTTTCTGAGGTTCACCTAACTCTGGAAAGGGCATAAAGTATCATAATCCAATGAGTCCACCAAAGATATTTAGGAGGCTCTGGAAAGCACTATAAAAATCTGCAAAACTGTCTAGTGGTCTACTAGAGAGAAACCACTAGAAAGCTTCTGGGTGCATTGTATGCCAAAGTCTTTTGGGTACTTAATAAGTACACAATAAGATCTAAATGTACCCCCTTTGATGCCTTAGTAAACATTTTTTTTAATTCATGCTCATTTCAGAGACGAAGCCGAAGGATTTTGTTACGTAAACGACATTGTGATCGCCATTCAGACTCTAACGAGAAGCTTTACCAAGATATTGTATGTTGATCTAGACGTCCATCACGGTAACTAATTTTTTTGTGAGTAATTGCGGAGACGTTCAAAAATTTGTTTTTCACTTTTCAGGGAACGGAGTGCAGAATGCGTTCGAATTGAGCTCGAAAATTTTAACTCTGTCTTTCCACAAGTACAGCCCTGGATTTTATCCGGGCGGCGGTAATGTTGACGAAGTCGGGAGTCGGCGAGGGAAATATTTCTCCCTGAATGTTCCATTACGCGACGGTTGTAGTGGGAAAACGTATTTGAGGTGTTTTAAAGAGATCTTTCCGAGGTATGTGCCTTTGGGTTTCGATTATACAATAATATTGCATTTGCAATTTTAGAGTTTTCCGAGCTTTTAAACCTTCGGCCTTGGTTGTACAGTGTGGTGCAGACTGCATTAATGGGGATCCTGTTGGGCAAATTAATATTACGACGAAAGATATGGGGGAGTGTATCAAGGATGTTTTGAACTGCAATGTACCAACTTTGTTTTTAGGGGGAGGTAGGTTATTGATGTGATTTGTTGTATGTACCTTGATAAATTTGGAAGCAGTTAAATCTAAGGTGGATGAACAATGTGATTTTTTAGAAATATAATTTGTAGCGCAATTAGCAATTAGCTTATAGCTGTCGCACCTCAACGAACAAAAATCTTGACGATTAATGTGCCTATGCGCAATGTCAACTTTCTTAGATATTTTTTTTTAATGTTAACCACAGATGCTTTAGTATAAAGGCAAGCATATCGCATATTGTAAAAATCAGATGTGCGCAATACCAAGTTTGTTATCTATAAAAATATTCTTTTGTACCAACGCATAAATAGTTCGTTACATGACCTTTCGGGTATTATTGATAAATTCATGGAAAATGCACTAAAGTTACTCTTTTTTTCATTTTTTGCTTATTTGAGTCGCAATCCCAAAGGCCATAATCTTATTTTAACCCGGGTACTCCATTACTTTTTTTGAGTGTCTTTTTCAGCAAGAGAGCATTTTTACTAAAATGACAGATTGCCCTATAAATCTAGTACCTACTTACAGAGAGCTGGGCAGTATTCGATTTTGTAAATACTTTTTAGTATTCAAATCCTTTAAAGTATTCAAATACTTTGTAATTAAATACTTTTATGGAAGCAGTATTTGTATATGTGACTCAAATACTTTCACAAATATTTAGTATTCGAATACTTCGCAAAGTATTTGGATACTTCGTAAAGTATTCGAATACTTCGCATAGTATTCTTCCTTCCCTTTTTACCCTGCTTTTTACCAAAAATCGACTACCTCAAAATTCTACAGGCCACATTCTATAAGAAAAATTTTTTTTCAGGTCGATCTGAGACAATTTTTTTTTCGGGGCTCAAAAAAAGGCAGTGTATAACCTTCCTTTTTTACCAAAAATCGACTGCACCAAAATTTCTCGGGAAAACACTTTTTCTTATTAATTTTGGTGCGTAGAATCCAAAACAATTCGTACTTTTTCGATCAGACTTCTCAATCAAAAGTTATAGACTAGAAACCAATTTCGAAAGAAAATTCAAAGGGCTGTAACTTTTGAACTAGTAGCCCAATCTTGGAACTGTTTGAAATTATGGATTCTACAGGCCACATTCTATAAGAAAATTTTTTTTCCGGGTCGATCTGAGACAATTTTTTTTTCGGGGCTCAAAAAAAGGCAGTGTATAACCTTCCTTTTTTACCAAAAATCGACTACACCAAAATTTCTCGGGAAAACACTTTTTCTTATTAATTTTGGTGCGTAGAATCCAAAACAATTCGTACTTCTTCGATCAGACTTCTCAATCAAAAGTTATAGACTAGAAACCAATTTCGAAAGAAAATTCAAAGGGCTGTAACTTTTGAACTAGTAGCCCAATCTTGGAACTGTTTGAAATTATGGATTCTACAGGCCACATTCTATAAGAAAATTTTTTTTGCCGGTCCATCTGAGACAATTTTTTGTGGGGGGCTCAAAAAAGGGCAGTGTATAACCTTCCTTTTTTACCAAAAATCGACTACACCAAAATTTCTCGGAAAAACACTTTCTTATTAATTTGGGTGCGTAGAATCCAAATCAATTCGTACTTTTTCGATTAGACTTCTCAATCAAAAGTTATAGACTAGAAACCAATTTCGAAAGAAAACTCAAAGGGCCCTTTTGAACTAGTAGCCCAGCTCTGCCTACTTACTATGGTAGTTGATGCTATAAATGATTGAATTTCTTTTTTTTTAGGTGGCTACAATCCCGCAAATACAGCCAGATATTGGACGTATTTAACTTCCCTAATAACGAATCAGCCCATAGACAACGATATACCAGACTGCAGTGAAGTAAGTACATTCGTACCTAGGAAACTTACAAATCATCGTAATCTTTCAGTATTTCACAAAATACGGACCGACCTACGAGCTTCACATCGACGAGGGTTGCCAAAGGGACTTCAACACGGACGAATACATAAATAATATAATTTCGACTGTAACGAACTATTGTAAACTAATCGAAAGCGAATGCAAGCAAATCTAACTCTTAAGATCAGATGCCATAAGAATGAGTGAAATTATAACTGTAAACTACAATGTAACCTACAATGAGCCGAAAGTTTATGTTAATTTCATTATTAATTATTTTTCTGTTACTCTTTGCTTCGCTTAAGTCTAGTAGAGAGAATACAAATCCGATTCGAGTAGCTCCGCTAATTGTAAATCCCGACAAACTGTTTAACTTGGACTTCGAATACGTCATAAACAACAGTTGCGACTACGATGGCAACTCGAGTTTATCAGTCGTCGTGCTGGTAACCTCGTATTTGGGAAACGTGGAGGCGCGCAGCGCAATGCGCCGGGCGTTTCCATCGGATGTCTTGAAGAAGCTCGGTGTAAGACGTGTATTTCTGCTGGGTCTCGCACCTGGGGATAAGTATACAAAGCAGGAAGCCATATACGACGAGGAGAGACGTTTCGGTGATCTTCTGCAGGGCAATTTCGTCGAAGCATATCGGAACTTGACGTACAAGCACTTGATGGGGCTTAAGTGGGCGGCTGCGAGTTGCCAACGGGTCAAGTACGTTATTAAAATGGACGATGATATTGTAGTGAATGTTTATAAGCTGTTGCAGCTTTTACATACGATTAAGTTGCCAAAAAAGCTACTCGCTGGATACCTTTTGTCTGGCATGACCCCCATACGGGAATCGTCGAATAAGTGGTACATACGGTTGGACGAATTTAAGTATCCCTCGTACCCAACATTTTTGTCTGGGTGGTTCTACGTTACAAATCCGAACACTGTGCAAAGCTTGGTGAAGGAATCGACCAAAGTGCCTTATTTTTGGGTGGACGACGTGTACATCACAGGACTTTTAGCTCAAAAATCTCAAGTGAGACATTACAATATCGGGCAGTACTTTACCGTTCACTCTGAATTCTTAGAGTGCTGTATGCGTGATGTAAAGAAGTTTTGGTATGATTGTGACATTATTGTTGGCCCGAACGGTGGTGATAATAACCTTTTTTACAAATTTAACGATGTTGTCAGTGAGTGTTACTATAGGAAGTGTTCGAAACGGATCAGAAGTTTGAATGAGACATGCGTGGGGGAAGTTAAACGGACGTTGGGAAGGGGTAATAGTATTATAAGTAGTTATCAATTAGGATAAATTATTATCAATAGTTTAATTGTCATTGTTTCAAGCTTTCTAAAGGAAAGGAAGTAAAATCTACACTGTACTTCAATAATTGATGTATTCTTGACTTCTTGTAACTGTTTATTTCGAGTCTATACTGTGATAACTAGTGCTGGGCGATAAATGAAATTGTTATAAGTCTATTAGTCCGATAATTAACGATTAATCGATAACTTTTGATAATTATCTATAACTTTTCATAATTATCGATAATTTTTGATAATTATTGATAATTATCGATAACTTTTGATAATTATCGCTAACTTTTAATAATAATAATAATCGATAATTGTCGATAATAATAGATTATTATTGACATCTGTCGAGAATTGTCGATCTCTTATTGTTATTGATTAATCAAATAGCGATATTTATCGGGAGAAAACTACGGAGCTACGTATATATCACCAATAAACATTATTATTATTATTATGGATACTTTTGCATAAATCCTATCGATATAAATATATTCCCAATGCATAGGTACACTCGTTAACAATTTTGGTTATTTGGTATTGATATTGATAATTTAAATAACAACAGGATGTTTGGAAAAATATTAAAACAACTATAGGTACTCCGTAGTTTTCTGAAATCAAAGGTGATCAAGTAGACGATAATCATCAAAAATTTAGTACGTCTTTCAATAACCTCAAAGTTATTAGTTTTTAACAGAAACCGTAATTAAGCATTATAGTGTCTAATTTACGTGAACCAGCCTAAAGTAGGTTGTGAATTGTGATCATATTTTCTAAGTGTCATGCCAATTACGGAATGCTCTTACTTGATCGCTTTTGTGATAAATCGATGTAAAATTAATCGGTAGATTATCGATTTATCTACCATTCCTTTAAAATCACAATTAATCGATACATTTTTCAATAAAAATTATCATTAGTCGAGCATTTTTAAAAAAATTAATTCACTAGCTATTATTCGATAAGTTATCGAATAATCGATAATTATCAATAAGTTATAATTATAACGATAATAATCGATTAATCGTACTTTTTTAATTGACTAATTTATCGATTAATCAATACATTTTTTTAATTTATCGGTCGTCGATTAATCGATAAGTTATCGATTAATCGTTTTTTTGCACAGCACTAGTGATAACTAATGCACCTATTAAAATGTGGTACTTTACAAGATACTTAAAATGAATTTGGTGTAAAGGCGATATTCTCGCCTCTAAAATGTGTAGCACTGTCTTAGATCATATTGTTAGAAAAATTAATATTTATAAACTATCATAACCTGAAGAACTACTATTCTTGGGTTGAATTTTGTGAGCCCCTATCCCAGAGTTAAAGTTCACACGGGCAAATATTCCGGGTGATGAATTCTTGTACAAAACATTTGCGTTGGAAAACTTTCTAGGAGCTACTATTTCGGAGGACTTTTGCCCTACTCTTGTCATTAAGGGTATTAGCATTGTATATATACACGAGGTACATACACAATGGTATCAGTTAATTGCAGTTTTAGTGCCTATAATATACACGCCTATATTATTACTATGGAATTTCATTATACTGATGACGAGGTGTACCAGCGACCAATATTCTAGAAACAAATTTTCCAAAAGAGAGAAATTTTCTAGGTGCAAATTGGAAGCTTTTCAAGTCTTGGAAAGTTTTCAAAGGTTGGGAAATCTTTAAGGTCTTGTAACGAGAGCATTTTATTTTGTTTTTGATTTTGAATTTTTCCAGCCGAAATACGCAAAAGTAGGATTTGTAAGCTGGAAAAAAATGGGCAAGGTTCTCAGAACATTCCCCCAGAGAAATATTGCTTGTGCTAGCTTCAAGTTTTATTTTGACGATTGGAATAAATTTGATGTGCATCATTTCCCCACATTATCAATGCTTTTTTATTCCATCAATTGCCTTTAATTGTTAGTAGCGTCAGGAAAAAAGATCCACAACTAAATTATACTTCTTTATGATTGGAAGAGGAACCGTTGGCAATTTCAAAAAGTAATCAATGACATTAACACTGACTCCGAATTGGTTTTAAATTATTATTAGGTGTAATCGCACTAATAGAAATTAATCATTGCCATGTTAAAAACTATTCTGCCATTATTTGGGCGTAAAAGTTACTAATTAACAAGGGGGAGGGGACTTTTTGAAAGATTTAGATTAATTCGCGTTTGAATTTTCTAGAGAAAGATCCCACCCATTCCAATGAACCCATTTCAAAAAAAAAGGCGACAACGAAGAAAAACCAAAAGAACAGGAGACAAAAAGATGCCACCCATCCCAATGATTTCATTAAAAAAAATAAAGGGGGGCAAGTGGAATGTCAGGACCAAACATCTGTTGATGACTTCAAAACTTTCAGTGCAAATATCTGCAGAACGGAGGAGAATACTCTCAAAGGACGGAAAGATCGTTTTGACGAGACACATCTACTGGCAATGTAAAATTGTGAATATTTCGAAAATGTTAGGGGAAGGCAATATTTCAGAGAATTTCTCCAAGGGCTCTTCATGAGTTATATAGCGTAGATTTTGAATGTATGCCAGGCGGCCTTTAAATAAAGAGCCCCCTCGCCATTAATCATCTACTAAGAAAGGAAACACCGATAAATTTGTTTTTAACCTTGAGCGTAATAAACTTTGTGTTTGTGGATATGCATTTACTATCTTTGTTAATTTGTCTACAATAGTTATTTATGTATCAAGGGCATTAAGGCGATATTTATGCAGAGGGCGACAGAGCTCGAGAGGGTTAAATATCGAGTAATTCCTGAGGTGCATACAAAATTTTATTTTTTCGTTCCAAATAATGCATTTCCAATATACAAATGTAATGATTATTGTTTGCCAACTTTATATCAAGTAGCATCTTTTTTTATTGCATAATATAACCCCCGTCAATATATTTGACAGGCCGTTTAAGGGCATAATGAAATGACAATCCATTATGCCCTCGGGCGTCATAGACTGCTTTATATATCTCATATGACAGATATAATTGGCATATAATAGGCAAATGAAAAATAAATTATTTTGTTAACTAACTTTTGGGCTGTATTAATCAAATATCAAGGTTTTTCTCCGTCGTACTCTTTTTACCTTTAGCAGTTGCTTTTGCGATAGTGCGGCACCTTTTGACTTTGCTTACGTTAATGTACAGCAACTAAATTCCAGGCTTTCACAATGTTCATAATATGAGCAATAATTTATTAAACAAACTTTTCACGATTTCAGTGTTTTATTTTAAGTTCCTTCCCTGCCTGTGATACTTGATCACGTGCCATTTTTCGATTTCAAATTTAAGGCGGATCTATTTAGTTTTGGAGGGAATAGTCATGGCCATTTTTAAACGTAAAAAAGTACATACTGTGTATGGGATATTACAAGTAAAATGATGTAGGCACATAAAAGAAAACAAAAGTTGAAAACTGCAGTTGGTTTCAACAGGATGGTGCACTCGCGCACAACACGTGCAAGAATACCTATCGGACAAATTTTGTGGAAAGTGGAAAAAATCGATATGCAAATACAAAAAGAAAGCTCGACTTTGTCCTTTAGACATTTTTTGGTTTATTCTTTTCTTAGTTTATTAAGAATTAGTTATTTGTTCAATGTTTCTTTAAACATTCCATGCGCCCCTCCCTTACTACCTAGACCAAATCCTAAATCCGCCACTGACGAATGCCACTAATGGTAAGAAAAATTTAAATCACCAAAAAATATTGTTTGTTTTGTGGTCAGTGTAATTATGCCACGAATAGTAACACTGTTTTAAAGCATAATCGACGTAAGGGAATGTCAGCGAATTGTTATAAAGTTGTGCGAGTGCGCTAGAAATTGAATGATAATTTTGTAATTACAAGTAATTACAAAATTAAGTTAATTGATGTTCAAGCTAATTGAAGAGAGCCTCAAGTTTTTAAGGAAAATGCCTTGCATATAGGATAGGTTGTATGGCATGATAAATTCAATTCACTTTTAGATTAGTGCAATTGCACCTAATCACCTATGTTTACAAAACGTCATTTGTAAATTATACCAGCGCCTCTAGTAGTAAGAAAAGACAAGAGCAAATAAATGCGCACACATAACAGAGGGCGACGCCATGAAAAAACCTTCTTTGGACAAAAAAAAACCTGGCATAACCCACACGAATACATGAAATAAATCAACTACGACAATAAAATGCAGAACAGAAAAATGCACATCTCAAATATCTCAAATTGTACAATAAAAATCAGGTACCAAGTCAAAAATTGACAAAACAAAAGCAATACAAGTAGAAAACTTGATCAATTTAGTACAAAAACACATCAAACAAACACATACGTTTCAATTTAGATAAAACATGTCGAAGAAATGTACAATAATGTACATAAAAAAAGAACACACCAAAATGACATTGCCTTTACTTAGGCATCGGTTACAATTAATTTAACATGGAAAAGTGCAGGTGACCAAACAAAGCAGTATCGATATGTTACTTTGAAATGTTAATTAGAGGACCCACTTCTCGTACTTGCTTACGCACCGTTCACCACTGGCACGAGATAAGGGAACAACACATACAGCAAAGAATCGGAACTGTATCGATTCTTTCACATGAATGCATAAATAAATACTTAATAAAATAACAGCCAACCATGATTCAGGTAACGATATAAATAAAACAAATGCTGAGCACGCCGTGCTTTTGATAAATTTGATATAAGCATTTTATGTAAAATGTAAATAATTGTGAATTCATTTAGAAGTCATAAAAAATTGTAAAAGTATTGACGTCTTTAGATTAGCTCTCTCACTGCTGGCGGTTCAGACCTATTGTGACAAAGAGTACGAGTTAATTTTGCAACAATTGTTTAAACACACTTATTTATCCTTTGAATAATTATTAATATAGAGATATTATATTATAGGGATATAGGAAGATAGCTAAAAATTGTTCTCATTTCTCTCTAGCATAAATTGAAGATCATGCATAATTAAAAACGTAGGTGTTGAACGTTGTTCTTCCACTTCAGAAAATGTTATGCTATTCGTTATTATTGCTATATAGTACACACTACAGATTACTTTTTACAATTCGTCAACTATATTATAATTTATTTGGCTTGAGCTCTCCAATATTAGGAGTTATTTACCTTTGGAAAATTAACGTTTAATGAAACGTTTTTAAGCGTAGTCCGTCCATTGCCGCCCAATCAATTTTGGAGAATTGATACGGCTCGTGGGAATCTTTAATAACCCAAACGGTGTCGATGACAAGACCATCCTTATCGTCAGATACCTGCTCGAAGTATAGATGAGAGCTGTTAAACGCCTTCAAACGCGTATATCCGTAATCCTTGCTCTGAAATGCGGACCATTCCGGTTTTGTTAGGTTGAAAGTGTCGTGCCCCTCTTTGCAACCGGCCGATCCGGTGATGATATGTATAGGAGCGCCAGGATTAACGTACGGTGCCTCGTAGCTGCCATTATAAACTTTATAATCGTAAATGGGCCAGAGACGTTGATAAATGTGCTCGTGCGCCCATATTTCCACGTCCACTCCGTAATTGTAAAGCAACTCCTCGAGTCCAAACCAGTGCACGAAGGGAATACCGACGCGCGTGATTGTCTCGTGATGGGTACAGTCGTCCTTATCGGTAAGGCTGCAGTACATCGGCCTGTGTCCCATCACAATTATCCAGGGGTGCTTCTCGCGATTTTCGGGCAGATTGGCCCGAATTAGGTCTTGCTCCAACCACTCGTACTGAAAAACGATGGGCTTCATGCCGAAATTCATAAAGTAATAAACTTCGGTCGAAATCGAGATGATGTGAAGCGGACCGAGGTCGAAACTGTACATGAAACTCTCGCTGCCGCCCGGCATGCTGAACCGCTCGCGGTAATTGCTAAAGTTACTGCAATGGCAAAATTAGCTGCCCGCCGTAGGAAAGGTGCACTTAACTTACTAGCGCTCTTCGTGGTTACCCGGACAGGTCATGTACGGTACGTAGGCTGCGATCGTTTCGATTTGGCGCATGAACTCGTCTCCGACTTCGCCGTTTTCCTGGTTGGGAAAAATTAAAACTGCAAATTTAATGTCGGTACTTCCTAAGCTCAAAATTTCAGTTCTTTGTTATTTAAGAGGGATGTTTTAAACCTACTTAAGTAGTACCTAGAACCTCGCTAATCCGAATTTGCATTAATCGGAACGAATTCGGGATAATTCGAGTAAAAGTGCGAATACTGTATAATTCTCCCAGAAGTAGTGATGCAACGGAAGTGTTATAACGGAAGCGGAAACAGAAGACAAAATATTTTTTGCGAAAGCAGAAACGGAAGCAGAAGCGTTAGTGTAAATTGGCGATTCAGATTAAGAGCTATATCCCACTAGGACACGCCGCAACCAAGCCGAGCAACCAATCAGGCATCCAAACGACACTATGAACAGATATAGATGTGAGACGAAGAATGCTGGATTTAAAAAAAGCCTCCAACCTGGTGGAGGAATCAAACTTACGTGCGTTCTGAGTGGTGTCGCCATCGTGGTGTCCTAGTAAGATATAGCTGTAACAGTGAGACCTCTGGTGACAGGACATTGTAGTTACTATTGGTGGTATAAGATCACCATTTTGTTTATTTACACGGGCAAAAAGTAGTTTTTCCGCAAACGTAAACTTTATTAACGTCAGTTCTTAATGTTGAAGTGTGATTTCACAGAGGGCAAAAAGTAGTTTTTATGGCTGTAAATGTAAACCTACACTTATATAAGTCATTCTTTAACACACTCCGCTTTGAATAACTTTTTACTATCACTATTTAAATCGTCAGCAAACAGCAAGACACATCGAAAAGTACAGATGGGTTAATTTGTGGTCATAGACCACTTATTTTTAGGCCAAAAATTACATGTTTTCAAAAATCTGTCATACAAACAAGATACTCTGTATATACAGTGTGTCCCAGATCGCGTGGAATTGCATGGGTAACTTTCCTATTATTACAGATAGAGAATTGGTTAAATGGACAATCTTTTGCAGTTTTAGATGCTTATTTAAAATTTGCTTGGTGAAGTTCAAAATGTCGGATAGGTTGGACGTAAATTAAAAAAAACAAAAATCGGTCATTTCCTTGCATGTCTTATATCTTCGAAAGTATACGAGATACAAAAAAATTTTGTATCACAAAAAATTCAAGATGGCTACTTTTGAGGAACATTTACCAACTTCCTAAAGATAAATAGGCGCCGTATTGGATTTTTAGATTACTTTAATAGAATTTTATATTCTCTTTTCAACGGCTATCATAACATAAGATAGAAAATAAGATACCAGCTATATCAACGGTTTTTATATTTTAATCAAGTACGTAAAATATGTGATGAATTAAAAAAAACAAAAGAAAATCATCATATATTTAGCAGAATATTCCTGGAATGTTCGGTGAGCGGACATAAGATATACTACTATGAATATATGTAATAGGTTTAGATATTTCTAGAGCAGGGATCGGCAACCTATTGAAACGGAAGAGCCAAAAATTACAATTTACAAAATTTCCCAGTTTTTAGAGCCACAAAAATTTTTTGAATCAATATTATAGTATTTGGCTATATACAGGGTCTTGCAACAGTGCGTCGATTTTTCCTACATAGCTGATACCCGGTAAAAAATATTGATGGTTGCGGATCTACAGAAATTATTTTTGAATGTACAGGGTGTCCCATTTTTACGATGTCAATAAATAACTGATCTTTTTAAATAGAACATCCTGTATATTTTTACTTGTTTCAATGCCATTTGTTCAAAGTGCTATTCTTTTTCAAATGGAACTACCATTTTATTTCGCTATTCGATTGTCTTTTGTGTTCTCTTCAATGTTTATAAGGGGTGCCCTGTGCTTAAACCCCGCAGTTTTTATGTTATTCAATATTTTTCACATCCTGTATACTTTTACTTGTTTCAATGTCATTTGTTAACCTCTACATGGAAACCTATTCACTTTTTGTATTCTTGTCAACGTTGCCATTTTATTAATTTTTTTCCGAATAATTCCTCATAAGCAAACGTCACTTTGATAAATCGTAGCCACATTGATTTTAAAGTTAAAAAATACATTTGATCAATAATGTTAATCCGAGTAACACGTTGATAATGAGAAAGTTGGATTTAGTGATACAGGGTGTTTACAAGGAAATGGTAAAATTTCCAAACTGTGCGATAACTATTCTTTTTCAAATGGAGCTACCACTATTTTATTTTCATATTTGATTGTCTTTTGTGTTCTCTTCAATTTTTATAAGGGGTGTCATGTGCTTAAACCCCGTAGTTTTTATAGGTTATTCAATATTTTCCACAAGTACCTACTGATTAATTAATTACATGTTTATACATCGAAGTAGGCTGTGATCTCGGCTGTGATAATAAAAAACAAAAGAATGCCATAAAGTGAACAAGTGTCTCAAATGCATTATTTGCTACAAGTGAACTTCGTATTTCGTAATAAAATAAGATTAAAAAGGTGAATTTTATGAATTATTTCTTGAGATGCTGTTTTTGGAAAAAGTAAAACTTGCATAACTTTTACATACGACACATAATGATCTCAAATGTGGCATACGCATGCCTTTAGTGGTTCCAAGGAGACGAGAGAGGGGGGAGGGGGGGATGTTAGAAATTAATTTTATCTTTCATGATACCTATTCTAATTAAAGGTCTCAACGAAAGGAACCATTTTCTACCAACTATCGCCCTTCTTTCTGGCGCATTATCAAAAGAGGGGGTTTGGGGCGAGGGGGATTGCTGCCGACTTGCTGTTGCTTAGTCGCCTTTTACGACACGCAGTGCTCTCTGCGGTAGGGTTATTCTTGCCCGACCCTACACGGGTACCTATCTATTGCAATTACCACAACAGATTGCAGCATATCATCGAAAGTATACGAGATACAAAAAAAGTTTTATATCACAAAAAATTCAAGATGGCTACTTTTAAGGAACATTTACCAACTTCCTAAAGATAAATAGGCGCCATATTGGATTTTTAGATTACTTTAATAGAATTTTATATTCTCTTTTCAACAGCTATCATAACATAAGATAGAAAATAAGATACCAACTATATCAACGGTTTTTATATTTTAATCAAGTACGTAAAATCTGTGATGAATTAAAAAAAAACAAAACAAAATCATCATATATTTAGCAGAATATTCCTGGAATGTTCTGTGAGCGGACATAAGATATACTACTATGAATATTCTGTAAATATGTAATATATTTACGGTTTAGATATTCCTAGAGCAGGGGTTGGCAACCTATTGAAACGATAGAGCCAAAAATTACAATTTACAAAATTTCCCAGTTTTTAAAGAGCCACAAAAAATTTTTGATTCAATATTATAGTATTTGGCTATATACAGGGTCCTGCAACAGTGCGTCGGTTTTTCCTACATAGCTGATACCTGGTAAAAAATATTGGTGGTTGCGGATCTACAGAAATTATTTTTGAATGTACAGGGTGTCCCATTTTTACTATGTCAATAAATAACATGATCTTTTTAAATAGAACAGCCTGCATATTTTTACTTGTTTCAATGCCATTTGTTCAAAGTGCTATAACTATTCTTTTTCAAATGGAACTACCACTACTTTATTTCGCTATTCGATTGTCTTTTGTGTTCTCTTCAATGTTTATAAGGGGAGCCCTGTGCTTAAACCCCGCAGTTCTTATGTTATTCAATATTTTTCACAAAAGTACCTACTCATTAATTAATTACGTGTTTTTACATCGGAGTGGGCTGGTATAATAATAAAAACAAAAGAATATCAGAAAGTAAACAAGTGTCACAAATTAGATAATTATTTGCTGCAAGTGTACTTTTGATGATTTCGTAAACAAATAAGATTAATTAAAAAGGCGAATTTCGAACAAATTTTAACACTTTATTTGTCCCGGCCCGCCACAACTAAGCTGCGCTGCTAAGTCACCTAGTGTGAAGGGGCACTTGGCAGCGCTGCTTATTAGTCGCGCCAGCATTACGTTACTAACCGAATCCATATCGTATGCGAAATCTCCCACATGCAGAATTGTATCGTACATCCCTCTCTGGGTCTCCTCCTGTAATCTGGCCAAAGACTGTGCATTCTCGTTGCCCATATCACCAAAAATTGCTAAGCTTGGTTGCCAGTCATCCGTTTGAAGTGCACTCTTGAACCAGAACTGGGCCGACCATCCCAGCCGACTTCCACAGTGATAAACTGCAACACTGCCAAGATCAACACACGAAAATGCGTAGTAAGCCGTTACCATAAACGCTATTAGGAGTCAGAGACGGTAGGATCACTCGATGTATGTACTGCAAATGTTTTTTCGGACCTCCATCGACAAACACCTTCGAGGAACCCTTAGCTGTTAGTATCGTGCCACCTATACCATACTTAACAATCGACTCCTTTGTATCGTTAAATGTCGACCATGTGACAACTATTTCGTTAGATGTTCGGCCATATGATAAATGTATCTGCTCCGGTTGGTACCAAAGCACTTGAGCATTTATTAGTTTTATCACAGTCAAATAAAAAAAAGCCTTAAAAGTGTACATTGTTATCGGTGTCCGTCAGATTACTTTAACACACATTCTACTAGAATAAACAGAAATTCAATGACGCATTGTTTATAATTTCATTTCAAAGGGCAACAAAAGTGATAATCTGTAACATTTTCTTTGTTTGTGTAACTGTACAATGGCAATAACTACCAAACTATCAATCAAATAAAAATTAAAGGTTATGTCTGTGGGTTTATGAGTTAGTTATCTTTATAGCTTACACCAGGGAAAAGTCAAGGTTTATGTATTGATTGCTGTAAGCATAGACAGCCTGGCCATTTTACTAGTACAATTAACGTGTACTCCTGAATAAGAAGCCTTGGTTATGAACAATTTGCACAAGTTCTCACACATTTTAATAATTCAACATCTACAAGAATTAGATCACAATTCACATTTACACTAAGATCGTTCGAATTACTTATTCGTCATTCTCAAAATCGGCAGGATTTTTCCGCATCAACTGCTGATGTTTTTTTGTGAGCATATCGTAAGCGAGGTAGCCCACGAGGAAGGCTGTAAAATGTGCATTACAAAGTGAATCGTGTAAATGTACAAACACATACGAGGTACAACGTAGAAGATCTCTTCCCGAATTCGCCTAAACATGTTCGGTACGCCCTTCGAAATTGCGAAAGCAAATGCACGTTGCTCAAACGGCGAAAGGCGGTAGGTGATAATTCCCCTTAGTTTATATAATTCACCAAAAGATTTGCCCATCTTCGCTCTACAGTGGGGTATTACATAATCGTTTTGTAAGTACAATTCTTTATGAAAAGTGTTCTTTACTTACGTTTAGATTAAATTCACGTATTTAATGGGGATTTTTCACAAAATGTACAATAATTCTAAAATAAAGAAGAATAAATTACTCAGGAATACCGAATATATGTTTAGGTTATTTACCTGTACCTAAAGTACCGTTATCACACAGTCACAGTTAGATGTGTCTAAAGTGCGAGTTCGAGTATACGATTTACTATACAGGGTGCTACATGACCGCAAGCAAAAAAAAAATTGGGGGATCAAGGAAAACACTTTTTCCAAATAAACCGATGGTCCAACGTGTTTCGTTTGGGAGCCACCCCCAAAGAAGTGGTGAAATTTGATTTCTTCTTTAATTTTGTTCTCATCAACCATAAGAGTTACAAAGATGTGTAGCACGCCTTTGAATAGGTTTTCGGGTATGCCCTATCCGATTTGGTCAAAAATTTTTCAAAATTTCTACCCCGAAAGGGCGCCCCCTACTTGGGGGTGCGAAAAAATTCTAATTTCGACGAAATTTGGTATCTGGGGGTTTTTGAACATGAAAATGACGAATTTGAAATTAGTTTTTGAAGATTCGAAAAAACGAAAATGGAGAGAATTCCACGAAATTTGTTGTGTACATACCTGATGAGTTAAGAAGAGAAAAAGAGGACAAATTAATATTTTAGAATTTCAGACATAATAAGCCATTATGAGCAGGTTTTGTTTTCTATGATAAATTTAAAACTAATGTTAAAAGCTGCAAGGTCGTAACAGTTAATTTTGTTATCGCAGACCATTTACGATTGACCCGAAAGTACAGGTAACAATGGGCAGTACTGGGCCATGACCTTTCCTTTAATCCGCAAAAGACCGAGGTTGTTCTATTTACGAATAGACGGAGAGCGGATCTTGATGGGCTCACTCTTCGAGGACGTAAACTGGGTGTGAACATGTCAGTGAAATATTTGAGAGTTCATAGACCCCCGCCTGACCTGGAAAGGGCGAATAAACAAAAAGGCCGCTTGACTGGTATATTATTGACTTTACACTGTAGTGATAAGGCCAATAATACTGTGCGGTGCACTTGTATAGCCACTGGAGTCATGAAAACCATGCCAATTTTGGCCACGGATGCACTTCTGGGCACCAGAGCCTATACACTTAGCTCTGGAGGCAGAGCCTCGTAAGGCTTCCATACGGCTAACTGATTAGGACGAGTGGAAGGATCGAGGTAGCCATGATCTGGGTGTCAGCGCACTGCGGAAAAAGGGGTCTTCGTCGGACTCGAGCCTACCCTATAAATTGCTCCCTCCGTTGTCACGGCGAGGATTAAAGACTGATGATCAGTTAATTCTAGGCTCAGTGGCAACAAGCAACAGGACTTAGACAGCCCAGGGTCTTTTTTTAACAGGGCGCCTTGGCAATTCTGGATCTTCTAAACTTCTAAAACTGAATAAAAGATAAAAGGAGGATCACCGGCACTCCACCGGATGGTCAACTACCACCTGCATACCATTGGGCTTGTGGAGGAGCCCACGTGCATGTCCTGTGTCACGACAGATTAAACTACCGAGCATGTCGTTTGTCATTGTGACTCCTAGGAGACAGACAACAGCTCCTAGGCGACAGCTGTTTGGAACCGGAGAAGGTGAAGCAACTTTATAGGCTCAATAGGGTCCTATCCTTTATTGAGAGGAACGGGCTCTGAACCTTGTTGCGAAAGAAAAGGGGTGGCCACAATGGCCTTTGGTGTGCCTAAGTGCTGCCTGGTCAGGCGCTCCCCTGTGTATATGAAGATATTGGTACTTAAGACCGAATCCAACTTTTTTAAAGTAGGTAACATATCACAAGAACGTTTGGCCGTTTTTTGATATATGGCGGATTGATTACATTGATACCTAAAGTGATATCTAGTGAAATTGGCCCGTATATGCTATGTTATAAATTAACGTGCTATAAATGTGAGCACAAATAAGTGATAACTAATAATTAATTGTTATAAATTCGTCAATAATTAATTTCAAAATCATGTTATACCTATTTACGTTATAGACGCATACAATGCACAATAAAAATTAACTAAAAATAAAATGTAGGACACATTCTATTTCTATGAAAAATGTAGGTGCTGAATTGCTGATTAGTTGATTGATATCTATTTGTCTGCGCATGTAACAACAATTCTGGATGCAGAATTTTTATGTCAACAACAGGGTCACTAAACTAATTATTGTTTGAAGCTGAAGTGCATTCTCCACCTGAAGCGGATCTAAAAGCGGCAGAGCACTTCTGTGTGTCCCTACGGGGTCATTGGATTTGACCCCTTTTCAATAGGCTTGTGGTGTGGTGTATAAGTCAACTGTGTAAAGTTTGAAACGAATCGGCCCAAGCGTTTGGCAGTTCACGGACGAACAGACGGACACAATCGACTCCCTTATAAAAATGTTAAAAATACGCTATATTTCTCAGAGGTCAGACAAGATGAATAAAATGTATGCAAAAGGAAGAAGAACACTTAATAAATGCAACTTTTAATTTGAATTTAACTAGGTAATTATTCCCATTTGATAGGTACAAAGTAAAAGTGTAGTAAAAACCTAAATCATAAATCCTTGCAGATACTTGGCCTAGATAAAATGATTGATTCAATAATTCAATTATGACATAGAGCTTTAATGACTGGCAATTAATACGCAATTAGCATAGATACTTTATGGTCCAGCTATGAAAAGCCCTTTATTTGCCTTGGGCCGCCCTTATTTTCCGAATTATACTTCGTGAGAGTTCACGGCCGTTCAAGGCTTGTTTAGCATTCATCAATTATCGCTACTATTAAATACAAACTTCAAACAATAAAATTGACACACCGGCTATTTAAATAAAACCTTATTACATTAATGCAAAATAAAATAAGCGCACGCGCATATTGTTTCATTTACTCATAGTCGTACATTTGGGTTTTACCCGACGATTGCTCTAACCGCATGTCTGCATCATTTAAAAAAAATACGGGACAGTAAACCAACTTGCCGGTATTTGGTAAACCTTCCGACGGCATTCTTAAATGTTTGCCATAGTCGCAGTAACAAATTTTCCGACACTCGCGTGCCGCCATTGGTTGCAGGTCGTTTGACGGCACGAATTTTTGTTTAATAACAAATCAAATTTTAGTTTGTGTTTGATTTTCATCGAGTTTACTTCTGTCCTACCTCTACTCAACTTGCGGTGAGTGTAATTAGCGTAAATGATCAAGTCGGCTTATGTAATTGGCGACGAGTCGCTTTTTTTTTGTTACGTGATGCTCTCATCTTTTTATTTTATTATTAGTTTAGAAGGTTGCGTGAATGACACTTGTCCCTTTGTAAGACACGATTGTCCCTTTTAGAGTTTGAACTTTTTACGTAATTACCAAACTGTTTTTTCCTAAGTCGATAAGCGTTTGAACCTTGACTACCTCGAAAAGACAACACCGACGACTGACCCTTAGTATGCTCCTGCTGCACTCCAGTGCCGTTCTGACCGCGGCATGTACTGGAAGACCTCAAAGAATAGGTGCCTATAAATATTTTGGTTAGTTTAAACTACACGCTACGCTATTTACTACGATTTTGATTCATGCCACATTTATCTTAATTGATACGTACTTGTAGTACAATAGGCATTAAAACCATTTATGAATCAAACAACAATTTACCCGCTATAAAATATCAAATATAATCAATAATGGCCTGCTATAAAATATCGTTGTTTAAATATTTAGGGAGTTCAAGGATATTGCCATACAATGGAAATGTAAATGTCATGCAATTACTTAATTTGTACCTAGAAATCCCAAAAAAATAGACACCAAAAATGTACAGGGTGCTTTTGTTTTAAAAAAGACCCTGTATTTTAGTTATTGGAAAAAATAGATTCTAAAAATACATTAAAATGCAATTGACTTCGTGATCATAATTATTAAAATGCGGAATTTAGTTTGATTTGGGAAATGCCTAGGTTGAAAAACACTTAAAAAAAGCCGAGAAAAAAGCAGTAGGTAAGTATACATTAATTTCATTTAAATCATTAGCATAAGTCTCTAATTATGTAATCTTCAATTAGTTTGTGCATTCGTATAGTTATTCATCCACTTTTGTCCGTTATCTTCAATTATTAGAGGCTACAAGCACGTATTGAAACTGGGGGAAAGGGGGGTCGCCCGCAGAAAATTATGCACATTGCAGTTCTTTTGTAGTGTATCTACAGTTACGTGTGCTATGATTAGCAAAGAATAAATTAACTGATGTAATGGTCACAGGACAGTGCCCGTCACCCCGGGGTTGGGGTTAATAAGGGTCCGGGTCGAGTCAGTCATCATAGGTGGTTTTAGAGACCAAGCTTAGAGAGATACTTAATCCCTCTCCCCTGCACTTAATTTTAATTTATTCAGACCGTGAGAATGCAATTTTTTGTACAAACGTTTCTCAAGTATTAAGTATCACTAAAATTAAATCTTATACTCCTCCCAACCTCCACTAAAGTGATGTCCGCTTTTTCAATTACGGAAATACCCTGTACAAGTGTCGCAAGTGGGACTCCATGTACCATTGTAAAATTGGAATGTTTTCAATTTTTCGTCGAGCTCGAGAAGTAGCGAAGACTATATCAACATGGATTAAATAAACCGCATCCTTTTCCGTCCAGAAATCGGAGGATACTCGCATGTCATTTTCATTCTGATATTTTGTATTTTACCTACCTATAATAAGCATATAGGAGTTCTCTATATATCTATAAATAAGAAATTTGACAGTTGCGCAATTCGCGCATGCGCACATCTGATTTATTGATTTATTTATTTTATCCCTCTCTTGTTGTCTGATGTTTACAGTATGCGATATGCCTATCTTTACTAGAGACATCTATAGATAAAATTTCAAAAAAATATCTCTAGGAAAGTTCAATCGTCAATATTTTCCTTGGCTCAGGTGCCAGAGATATACGCCACCGAATGCAAAGAAACGAGCTAAACATCTTGAAAACTGTAGGAGTAGTTAAGACCTCGGACAAGCGGACGGACAGAGAAAGTGACTGCAATAGCACACCCAACTTCATTGGAAAATGCGCTAAAAAATATATTATAGGAACAAAATTAAAGGACATTATTATTTTGCATAATAGTTATTTATATAACAAGAGCGCGAAGTTCAATTTCGCGCATTGAGACTGAAGGTATTTTGACGAGGCGAAGCCGAGTTAAAATATCAGTCAAATGCGCGAAATAACTTCGCGCTAGCGTTATATACAATATTTTTTCTACAACTGAACCGATTGTTAATTAAATTGCTGTTTAAGTTCAACTTTGTTCCGTGCGCGAAATACTTTTTTTCACTGTTGACGATTTCGCGCACGTTGTCAAGAGCAACCTTACTTATTAATTAACCGATTAAAAATCTAGTATGTGCGCATGCGCTGGATTTACCGAAATATCTTTTTGAAATTTTAAGCACCGGTGCTTTTGATAAAGGCAAACATATCTCATATTGTACGTATTATATATGCCCATGCTGGCCAATTTCCTTATTTATGAAGATATTTCTTTGAAATTTTAACCATAGATGCCTCTACTAAAGAAAAACATAGCGCACATAGCTACGGCCTTTCGGGAAGTACCGATCAATGCACGGAAAATGCGCTGAAGTTACTCGCATTAGAGCAATAACCGTTTTACTTCTCCGGCTGTTTCACTCCATCCAAAAAACGATAAAAAAATGTGCTATTGTTTGCGTTTAGTCCATCCGTCCGTCCGGACCCACTTCTGCCGTTTGGAACTACATCGAGGGCAGGGGTTGGCAACCGATTGAAACGGAAGAGTCAAAAGTTACAATTTACAAAACTTCCCGGTTTTTAAAGAGCCACCAAAAATTTTCGACTCAGTATTATAGTATTTGGTTATCGTATATACAGGGTGCGTCGGTCTTTTCTGTGCAAATGTCAACTATAGATGGGTGCGCATAAACAGAAATTATTTTTGAATGTGCAGGGTGTTCCATTTTTATGGTGTTATAACTGATTTTTTTAAATAGAACATCCTGTATATTTTTACTTGTTTCAATGTCATTTGTTAACCTCTACATGGAAACCTAGTCACTTTTTGTATTCTTGTCAACGTTGCCATTTTATTAATTTTTTTCCGAATAATTCCTCATAAGCAAACGTCACTTTGATAAATCGTGGCCACATTGATTTTAAAGTTAAAAAATACATTTGATCAATGTTAATCCGAGTAACACGTTGATAATGAGAAAGTTGGATTTAGTGATACAGGGTGTTTATAAGGAAATTGTAAAATTTCCAAACTGTGCGATAACTATTCTTTTTCAAATGGAGCAACCACTATTTTATTTTCATATTTGATTGTCTTTTGTGTTCTCTTCAATTTTTATAAGGAGTGTCATGTGCTTAAACCCCGTAGTTTTTATAGGTTATTCAATATTTTCCACAAGTAGGTACCTACTGCTTAATTAATTACATGTTTATACATCGGAGTAGGCTGTGATAATAAAAAACAAAAGAATGCCATAAAGTGAACAAGTGCCACAAATGCATTATTTGCTACAAATGAACTTCGTATTTGGTAATAAAATAAGATTAAAAAGGTGAATTTTGAAAAAAATGAACTTGTACGGCCATCAAATTTCGCTGTCTTGAGGGGGGGAGTATGAATTATTTCTTGAGATGCTGTTTTTGAAAAAAGTAAAACGTGCATAACTTTTACATACGACACATAATGATCTCAGATGTTGCACACGCATGCCTTTAGTGGTGCCAAGTAAAACTTTTGAAAATAGGGTGGGGGGGGGGCACACGTTCATAGTATTCTAATCTAAGCTCTCATCAAAATAAATTGGTTGGTATTGGTACAAACTATAACTTTCCCGCGCGACTTTTTTTCGACATCAGTAGGTGACGGGACGAGAGAGGGGGGAGAGGGGGGGTTGTTAGAAATTAATTTTATCTTTCATGATACCTATTCTAATTCAAGGTCTCAACGAATGGAACCATTTTCTACCAACTATCGGCACTATCGCCCTTCTTTCTGGCCCCTTATCAAAAGAGGGGGTTTGGGGCGGGGGGGGGGATTGCTGCCGACTTGCTGTTGTTTAGTCGCCTTTTACGACACGCAGTGCTCTCTGCGGTAGGGTTATTCTTGCCCGACCCTACACGGGTACCTATCTATTGCAATTACCACAACAGATTGCACGGCCCATTTTGGTGCTGGTTAAGTTTCACTGCTAATATCTCGAGAATAACATGTAAAATGAGGGTAATTGCAAAAGGAAAGTGGTAGGCTTTGGAGAAGAGGCCAAACTGTAAATGTAAATATCTCGAGAAGGGAATATTGAAAAGAAGTGGGGATAAAAGAAATTATCTTGAAATTTGATATTCAAAAAATGCAGTAATTTCAACATATCAATTTCCAAATTATTCTGTGCGCTTATGTAATTTGAATGAAGATACAACAAGAATTTGGATATCATCCGATCAAATTATGTAAAAAATAGGTTATCAACCAATACTTATGAAATGTAATCTATCAGTAGGGGAGAGACAGTAGGAATTCTCGCATTAAAAAAAACCTATTTCACATTCTTTAAAAATACTTAATCGAAGGTTACAATATTTACTACTGAAATCATGACCTTTTACATTTTTTATAGCAATTGCTATAATCTTCCAAGATAATTCGCTCATTACAGTTTTCATTTTAGCGTGATATAGAATAAGTGAAATGCTGCTCCGTCTTGCCACAAGGAACTCCCTATATGCCAAAACGAAGTATAAGTTCAAACCGAAGTTCTACTCGACACAGGTGGAATACAGGCCAATCCGAAGCATCCTAGTCGCGAATCGTGGTGAAATCGCAGTCAGAGTATTTCGCGCCTGCAATGAGCTGGGAATTAAATCCGTCGCTATCTACTCGAAGGAGGATAGGGCGCATATTCACAGACTTAAGGCCGACGAGAGTTACCTGGTCGGAGAAGGGCTAGCGCCCGTACAGGCCTACCTCAGCATTCCGGACATCATTCAGATATGCAAGGATCACCATATTGACGCGGTGCATCCCGGGTATGGATTCCTTTCGGAGAGGCACGATTTCGCCCAGGCGATCGTCGATGCCGGACTACGATTCATCGGGCCCAGTCCGAAAGTCGTGCAGCAAATGGGGGACAAGGTGGCCGCGCGAGAGGCCGCAATAGCCGCAGGTCGGTTACATAATCTGATGCATGCGGGTTGAACCGGGTCGTTTCAGGTGTTGCGGTTGTGCCGGGTACTGATGGGCCTGTAACCACGAAGGAGGAGGCGAAAGAGTTTTGTATTAAACACGGACTGCCCGTTATATTTAAGGTAAGTTTGGCGCCAAGTTGATTTTAAAAAACTTTAAAACCACCAGGCGGCGTACGGTGGTGGAGGTAGGGGCATGCGTGTCGTCCGCAAGATGGAGGAAGTCGAAGAGAATTTCGAACGGGCCTCGTCGGAAGCAAAAAGCGCATTCGGAAATGGAGCAATGTTCATTGAGAAATTCATTGAGCGACCTAGACATATTGAAGTGCAACTTTTAGGTGATAAGGCCGGGAACGTCGTCCATCTGTACGAGCGCGACTGCTCCGTGCAGCGCCGCCATCAGAAGGTGGTGGAAATTGCACCCGCCCCCAAACTCGATATTAAAATTCGCGATAAGATGACCGAGGCAGCTGTCAAACTCGCAAAGTATGTCGGATACGAAAACGCGGGTACCGTCGAGTTTCTGTGCGATGACACCGGCAACTTCTACTTCATCGAAGTAAACGCGAGGTAAACCACATTTATTATTTATTTATTATTCCTCTCTTCTCACATAGCATTCGATATCTTATGTATACACATTTTAAATCCATAATGTACAGGGAATATCCTGTCCATCTTATGTATATACTATGTATATTCATTATAGACATATGTATTTTATGTCCAGTATGGATTGTAGAATATCCTATTGAACATCTTTGCATATTACAGGAATATTCATGGTATATCCAGTTGTCAGTATACCAATATACACAGCATGTCTGATGCATATACATAAGACATCCAAAACGTATATACTATGTATTATGTGACGTCTGCCAAACTTATATCCCATGCACATACATCGGACATTTGCGACATACTTTTCCACATTCTATAGATATACAAAATCCCACGTGGAATGTGCATGTTATATGCAATGTATACAGGGTCATTCTTGACGAGCGTCAGTTAGAAAGATATGGAAAACCTTTGAAAATGAAATTAAACTGATAAGTTCTTTAATGGTTTTGGCACATGATGAATTGAACTAAAATATTTTCAAGATGGTGCCACTTCCGGAAATACCGGAAGTAGCCGTCAACTTTGTTATTTTAAATAGGAACCTCCTATTTTTTCTACATTTTCAGTTTCTACGTCGAATTTGGAGTACAACGATACCCTTTACTCCAAGGGCTTCGCCGATATTCAAGTTTTTATGTCAAAAATTGAATTTGCAGGGGTAATTTTAAAATTTTATTATTCGAAAACGGTGAGAGATATTGCAACACAGTTTTCACTGATTTATTAAAGAAAGATCGAATTTTCTTACGGTGTGCGTAACAGTCTAAGGGCCGGTTTTACAGTTACACTTTTACGCGGGATAAGATATCCTTGGAATAACTGCCATAGCAACATGTATCTCATTGGTTGACACAATTGTAACCAACGCAACCGTCGACATTTATTCTAGGTAGGTATAGCTTATTCTCGGTATATACCTTCATTGTAGAATCGGCCCTTAAAAAGTGAAACTACAACACTTTTTCAAAGCTCTCAAAAACTTAAATATCCGTAACTCCATTTTTTCAAATGGCACCCCCCATTTTGTTCTTCACCGTTGTTTTCCTTTTTCCCAGACCTTTAATTTAATACAAAATGTCAAAAGCTGCTTTAAACGGTTTCCGAGATATTCCATGTTATAGTTACTTCTTGTGGCAAATTGATAAAAAAATTAAGTCGCTTGATGTTATTCTTTTGTTTTTATTATGTTTCGCTGCTTGAACTTATACTTCTCGTCAATAATGGCTCGTTTGGGTTACACTAATGAAGATATGTCAAATTCTCTTTGGATATCATTAAGCGATACAGTTGGATTTGCAGCAAAATACGCCAGTACAGTTATTTCTTGTTCTTCAGAGTCTACCACAGGCTTCCTTTTTTGTATTTTTGTTTGAAAGATACCGTTATTCCTGAAATTTTGTAGTAATTTGCGAATTGTAGCCTCTGTGGGTTGCGCCTTGTGAGGGTATCTTTCGGAAAAAAGACGGCAAGTCCTGGCACCTATTCGATTCCATTTACCGTGTATTAATATTAAATTCAAAAAATCTTCAATAGTGTAACCCAAACGAGCCATTATTGACCAGAAATAAAAGTTAAAAACTGTTCAAGAAGCGAAAATTTGACGTTTAGCCGTTATCATAATAAAAACAAAAGAATAACATCAAGCGACTGAATTTTTTTATCAATTTGCCACAAGAAGTAACTAAAACATGGAATATCTCGGAAACCGTTTGAAGCAGCTTTTCATATTTTGTATCAAATTAAAGGTCTGGGAAAAAGGAAAACAACGGTGAAGAACAAAATGGGGGGTGCAATTTGAAAAAATGAAGTTACGGATACCATAAGAAAATTCGATCTTTCTTTAATAAATCAGTGAAAACAGTTTTGCAATATCTCTCACCGTTTTCAAATAATAAATTTTTAATATTACCCCTGCAAATTCAATTTTTGACATAAACACTTGAATATCGGCGAAGCCCTTGGACTAAAGGGTCAACTATGAGGTATCGTTGTACTCCAAATTCGACATAGAAACCGAAAATGTAGAAAAAATAGGGAGCCCCTATTTAAAATAACAAAGTTGATGGCTACTTCCGGTATTTCCGGAAGTGGTGCCATCTTGAAAATATTTTAGTTCAATTCATCATGTGCCAAAACCCTTAAAGAACTTATCAGTTTATCTTCATTTTCAAAGGTTTTCCATATCCTTCTAACTGACGCTCGTCAAGAATAACCCTGTATAGGTCCTGCTATGTGGGTCGTTCTGGGCCCTCAACAGGCAAGTGAGTTTAGAACTTTCATAACAATCCAATTTACTTTTAAAACACAGTCGTGGTTCTTTTTAATATTTCAAAAACTTCAAAATCTCAACGGAATCAGAAACGGAGAACTTCATCACATATATTTTACTATTTACTTGCTTAACTTAAGCACTTAGTATCTACTCTATGCGACAACGCTGATTCATTTCCAACAACTGTCTTAAAAGTGGGCAATAGATTGCAGGTGGAGCACACCGTAACAGAAGAAATAACGGGAGTCGATTTGGTACAATCTCAGATTCGAATCGCCGAAGGTATGACGTTACCAGAGCTCGGATTGGCTCAGGACAAAATTCATCCAAATGTAAGTACACGAAAGGGCGCCGCATGAGGTAATCGAAGTTTTAGGGGTTCGCTCTGCAATGTCGTGTTACCACAGAAGATCCGGCGAAAAGTTTCCAGCCGGATACCGGACGCATCGAAGTGTTCAGATCGGGCGAAGGCATGGGCATACGCTTGGACGGCGCGTCCGCGTTCGCCGGGGCCATCATTTCTCCGTTTTACGACTCGTTACTCGTCAAAGTCATCGCGCACTCGAAGGACTTGCAGTCGTCGTGCGCGAAAATGAATCGCGCCCTGAGGGAGTTTAGAGTAAGAGGAGTAAAGACAAACATTCCATTTTTGCTTAACGTGTTGGAAAATCAAAAATTTTTAAATGGTGCAGTAGACACGTATTTTATCGACGAAAATCCGGATTTATTTAAATTTACACCCACTCAGAACAGGGCCCAAAAATTGCTCAATTATTTAGGGGAGGTCTTAGTTAACGGACCTTCGACGCCTTTGGCCACCAAGTTGTTGCCTGCCGAAGTCAAACCGCACGTCCCACCAGTTTCGACGGGTAAGTGACCGTTTAATCTAACACTACCGTGTGAGATCACATGTCAGTGTTGCTTCTGTACAATGTGATTGGTCTGGCTTTCAATTTTTCTTTTGTTCTAATGTGGTACAGTATAAGGAAAACTGTCTATGATTAGTGGTTTAACAAAAGTATCCAAGATACCTAGCATCTAGAAAACTGTTTGGCACCGTGGAGTAGACCCTTAAACTGCGATCCAGTTCCTGCAAATATACAGGGTGTTTATTTAACATGCGGCAAAAATTTAAGGGACTATTCCTTGGACAATAATTCTAAGTAGATTTTGTCCTTCAATGATTTTTGAATTTTTGATAGGGCGCTTTTTTTTCCTCAAATCTTCCACATGTTCCACTGGAGTAGTATAAACTAATGACTTTAGGTGGCCCCATCGGAAATATCCAGGGGATTTAAGTCAAATTATTAATTAAGTCAAATAGACAAATGAATCAGTTTCAACGCCGGCTACGTTAATAATTTTAAAATTACCTAAATTGGATCGAAATTCTTTTTCGCTCCGTGTATTTGAAACAAAGCGCCCTTTCAAAAATTATCGAAGGACAAAATATAGTCCAAGGAATAGCCTTTTACATTTTTAACGCATGTTTAATAAACACCCTGTATAGTGGGTTGAGTTAGTAAAGCACCCTGGCTGAACTGCGCCCACTTAAAAATAAAGAAAAAATAAATAAAATAGTTCTTTTGTGTATCTTGTACAGCTTTCCATATACTGTACAATAAAATAACAGATACTTAGCATGTTAACACAGTTTTAGGTGAGTAATACCATATTTTAATTACCGGTATTATGAACTTGCATCCATTTTTATATATTTTATTGAAAGTGGGACAATAAGATGTTTAATTGCGAGTTGCATCCCAATTTTGGCATGCTCTAATCTTCTAACAAAATAAGAAGAATGTTCTACTGCAGAATGTACTAATACTAATTACAGTGACGTCTAGCTTTCAGTAAGCCCTCTGTGCGACCATTATGAAATTACAACAAAAGCCCATTACAGAATTAATATCTCTCAATGGTGTCACAATAAAGTGGCATACAGTGATATTCATGAAGTAGACATAGGGATTTCCTATAGGAATGTCCTATGCCTACGTTTAAATGATAGTCTTCTGAAGGACGCCTAACCTTATGCAACCAAAATAACTACCTACAACAAATGAAGATCTGCCTGTCATATTAATTAATTTGAATATTATCGCTTTTATTTCCGTATTCTAATTTTCATTCGTGTACGATGTATTCAACTAAAGAAAAAGTTGATATTTCCAATTGGTATAGTGCCAATACCTTAAGCTTAAGAGATTTATTTTCTGTGAAGTCAAAGCAACAATATTCAAAATTAATAACTAAATGACAGTCAGATCTTTATTTGTTTCAAGAAGTTATTTTGGTTGCATAAAATTAGGCGTCTTTCAGAAGACTTATTATCATTTGCAAATAGATATAGGAATCCCCTATGTCTACTTCTACATGAATATCACTGTATACTACCATTGGTTTGACTGTAGTCAATTTTCTCAATAACGATACAGGGTGGTCCATATACTACTTTTTCAGATTTACCCCAGATAAAATAGCTGGAAATTGTATTTAGTTTGATTCGATTACCTTTTGGGGAATTTTCTCCATCAAATGATGTGAAAACGGCATTATCTTAAAAACTAAAAAATTTGGAAACAAAATGATCCGAGAAGAACCACATGCGGTCAAGAAAAACGGCTACAACTCTTTTCTCTTTCACAGATTCTCAAGAACTTGGTTTAATAGTCGATACATTATAAATTTCAATAGCATACCAGGATTTATTTAGTGTTATTCATAGTCACAAGGTGGCACTTTTCGAAAGCAAACATTAAAGTCACTAGATATAGAAAGTACCGCAATCATGCGCCATTTTTGGGCAAATTTGCTGCCAACTTAAAAAAATTGACAAATAAAATCTGAATAGCTGTAATTTTTTATAACCTAACTTCATAGTACTGTCATGTTTTATAAAAATTGATAAAAATATATACAGATATCTCCAAACAGGTGGAACAATCCCTAACATTAAAGTTACTAGAATCTGGTAACTTCCGCCATTTTTGGGCAAAAATCACGCGTTCTCTCTCTAACACACGAGCCCAATGGATTTCGGTACTTTCTATATCTAGTGACTTTAGCAAACATTATATTTAGTTTCCCATAGACACAATGGTACCAAAATCAAGTAGGTCGGCATATGAATTGAAAACATGCACTGGGGTAATTCAAACAAGTGTGGAATGAGTGGGGAGGAAGGTAACGAAACTCCCAACTCTTAAATGTTTCCCCGAAGTAATAGAACGACTGCATACATTAGTTTTAGACTAAATTTGATATAGGAGGATTTTTTAAAATGAAAATAACGTATAGAAGAAAAGTTTGAAATTCCCAAGAAAAATTGCAACTTTCTTTTGAAAAAAGTCTGAAGGTGTTCCACTAGACGAATCAACGTAAAAAATCGTCTGGCTAAGCAGCAAATAAAATAGTATTTTTTCTAATTTTCAAGAAAGTTATAAATCTTTATTTTCATGTTCAAATATTTTTGGATCTAATTTTTTGGCGAGATCAGGATTTTTTGAAATTCCCAAAAAAATTGCAACTTTCTTTTCAAAAAAGTTTGAAGGGGTTCCACTAGACGAATCGCACCACAACGTAAAAAAACGTCTGCAAATTTAACAAAGGTCAAGATTTTGAAAGGACAAACCTTCGTTACTTCCCTCTTGTGTAATTTTGATGACGTTCATGTTCATTAGGTATATTCTAGAATTATTCCACACTTTTTTACTTAATTTGTTTTGCTAATAACCACCAAACAATAACTAATTATAGTCCTGCAATATTTTAACATGATAATGCATGGGTTATTGAATAATGAATGAACGCAACCCTAATTAAAATTGGTGATTAATTATTAATAATATAGAAATTATGAACAACATTGGTATGAAATAAAGCAGAAGATTAATTGAGCTTAAACGCCTTTCGTTTAAGTCCATACTTTCAGTATAATATAAGAATGGATGTTATCATTTGTGTTGTGCCACCGCCTTTTTTTTTAGTTATTACACGACCTCTTTTTTTCTGCAGAGTACCTGTGCGTTGGCCCGGAGGAATCTCAAAGTAATTAACATTTATTTTTCTTCTTCTTACGTGCTTTCTTTCAAATTGTTCTAATTTGCTATATTTCGCATAATAACAACTTTCGCTTTTTTTTTTCGACAAGTAATTGCGATGGTGTACTAATAAATACCAAAATGCATTAGGTGTTCAACCGCCGAAAGGTTTTCGGGAAATTTACAAAGAGCAGGGCGCGGAGGCGTTCGCGAAGGCCGTGCGCAACCACAAATCCCTGTTGCTGATGGACACGACGTTCAGAGACGCGCATCAGTCGCTTCTCGCGACCAGGATTCGTACGCACGATTTGCTCAAAATATCGCCGTTTGTGGCTCACAATTTTAACAAGCTGTACTCGTTGGAAAATTGGGGAGGCGCAACGTTCGACGTGGCGCTGCGGTTCTTGCACGAGTGTCCGTGGGAGCGACTCGAAGAGATGCGCAAAATGATTCCGAACATTCCCTTCCAAATGTTACTTCGAGGTGCCAACGCGGTCGGTTATACGAACTATCCCGATAATGTCGTGTTCAAATTTTGTGAAATGGCGGTAAGTACCTCCTATACTGAGATAATCTTCGTAATTCAACGGTTTTCTAAAGGTGCAAACTGGAATGGATGTCTTTAGGGTGTTCGATTCGCTCAACTATCTTCCAAACTTAATAGTGGGGATGGAGGCGGCCGGTAACGCGGGCGGAATTGTGGAGGGTGCCATTTCGTACTCCGGCGACGTTAGTAACCCTAAGAAGACTAAGTACAATTTGAAGTACTACTTGGATATCGCAGACGAATTGGTTAAGGCGGGCACTCACGTCCTTGGTATTAAAGACATGGCGGGACTTTTGAAACCGTCAGCTGCAAGGTACAGTACCAACAAACGGCCAAGTGTTTCAGAATTTTTGAATGATTTTTGGTTAACTCAACATGTATGTAGAGTTGCACTGATGGATGCAACCAGAGCTGGGCAGAATACTTTAAACTAAATACTAAATAGTAAATACTTTACACAAATCAAAGGTATTTGAATACTAAATACTTTTACGTCCAGCACAAGCGAATACTAGATACAGATACATTGAAAAGTATTCAAATACTTAAAAAAATAAGTATTGAAATACTTTAGAAATTCGAATACTTTCAAAGGTATTCGAATACAGTAAAAAGTATTCAAATACTTGTCACTCAAATATATTAAAAATTAAAAAATAAAATATCTTATAGAATGTGGCCTGTAGCATAATTTCAAACAGTTCCAAGTTTGGGCTACTGATTCAAAAGTTACAGCTCTTTGAATTTTCTTTCGAAATTGGTTTCTAGTCTATAACTTTTGATTGAGAAGTCTAATCGAAAAAGTACGAATTGTTTTGGATTCTACGCACCAAAATTAATAAGAAAAAGTGTTTTCCCGAGAAATTTTGGTGTAGTCGATTTTTGGTAAAAAAGGAAGGTTATACTATGCCTTTTTTTGAGGCCCGAAAAAAAAATTGTCTCAGATCGGCCGGGAAAAAAATTTTTCGTATAGAATGTGGCCTGTAGAATCCACAACTTCAAACAGTTCCAAGATTGGGCTACTAGTTCAAAAGTTACAGCCCTTTGGATTTTCTTTCGAAATTTGTTTCTAGTCCATTGAGAAGTCTAATCGAAAAAGTACGAATTGTTTTTGATTCTACGCACCAAAATTAATAAGAAAAAGTGTTTTCCCGAGAAATTTTGTAGTAGTCGATTTTTGGTTAAAAAAAGGAAGGTATTCATCAAATACTATGCGAAGTATTCGAATACTAAATATTTGTGAAACTATTTGAGTTACAAATACAAATACTGCTTCCATAAAAGTATTTAATTACAAAGTATTTGAATACTTTAAAGGATTTGAATACTAAAAAGTATTTACAAAATCGAATACTGCCCAGCTCTGGATGCAACCAAGAAATCCATATTTTTCTTCAATTTTTTTAAGTAAATCAATATATACAGTGCGTTCAAGATAAGAGAATTACCTCAATGTCTCTTTTATTTGACGAAATACGAAAAATTTGTCAAATATAATTTTATATGTCACATTACGATCTATCCGATCGCATATTGAAGCGTCCGGTATTACTTACGTTTTAACCGGAAATCGATGCAACTTTTGTTTTTCAAATGCAATGGCTGTTTTTTCTCTTTCACTTTCACTTTGCTGCACAACATAAATTATGTAGAATGGTTGATATACAAAAAATAGAGAAATTCATGATTCAATATGTAGAAAACTTATGAAATCTAGCATGCCGTGTGCTGTCAGGGTGCGCGGTCAAAACGAAACATTGAACAAATTGAAATAGGTCTTTTCTGTGTGATATGGTACACAGATTTCATACGTTTTCTAAATATTGAGTCACGAATTTCTTCATTTTTTGCATCATATGCATGTGGTATGTTGTCATACAGAAAATTGATTGCTCTTTTCAATTAAACATCCTAAAAAAATAGGCATTGCATTTGAAAAACAAACATTGGTTTCCGGTTTGAATGGAAGTGATATCGTTAAGTTCAAGGGCATTCAATTCAGTTCTGTTTGTCACCAGAAACAGGTCTGTTCATTAAAATCATGTGTTCAGTAGACGAATCGGGTTCTGATAAACAGGCCTAATGTTTTTGTCGACAAACAGAACTGAATCGAATTATAATCTTGAACTTAGCGCAGAAAATTTCTCCCAATGTTGCTTTCGTTAGATTCGTTTTTCTCTCCGCAGTATTATTCTCATGTTGTACAGTGTGTCCTATTTTGGTTGAGACTGCAGTGTATCTCAATTGTTTTTAAAGGTAGAGACTTTTTTCGCCACCCTGTTGTGCCACTTTTTTTGTAAAAGTTAATACCATAAACAGGATCAATAAAAACGCTGTATAATACGAACTGGTTATCTCTCTTGATGTCATTATGATATTTCATATCGGATGACATTTGTTGTTTGTCACATGTCACAAGCCGGTAGTTCAATGTTGCAGCTTCAAATTAGTCTTTTATTTTAATGCTTAAACGTCGGAATAATCGTCACCTTTGTCTTTGATATAAGGTACAGATAGAGAGAGTAAACCAACATCAGACAAATAACAAAATTAATCAATATGTGACGCATCTGTATGCATACTTGTATGTATCCCATTGTACAAATACAAATACCTATCCCGGTCGCGTTCCCGTATTCCAGCCCCCGCGTCGGTTTGAGTGGACCTTTATTCTAACAAAACATAAAAAGATGACTTGACCTTCAGTTCCTATTATACAGAGTTTAGCTACGTCTGTTTATGAGATACAGGGTTTTTGGGTCAAGACAAAAACTGTCTATTTTAGATATTTTTACGTACAATGCAGTGGCGTAGTGAAAGTAAATTTTTGGATCACCGTTTCTGAGAATTCACACACTGTTGGTATTTTTTGAAAGCAACACCCTGTTAACGTCAATTTTTGCATTCTTTTTCCTGTTTTATCACAACCAATATTTTTTTAAATACGATGTTTAAATAGTAGTCCATGGATTCATGGAAATGTTTTGTTTATTGTATCCATGGTAACTAAGACCAGTCAATAAAAAAGACAGACGGTAGAAGCATGTCACTTCAAAATTTTGAAAAATACTATGTAGGTAATGTCATAGAGTAAATAACGTTACTCTATGGTAATGTATAACCATATAAAAAAGGTTAGGTTGTAATCAGGAAAAAGAATGCAACAAATTGTTATTAAGGTATACAGGGTGTTGCATTTAAAAAATACCAACTCTGGGTCAAATTTCAGAAACGGTGGTCCAAACATTTTTTTTACTACGCCACTGGTTCCTACGGAAAAATATCTAAAATCGGCATTTATTACTTTTTTTTTCCATCTTACATGGGTAGTAAGATATAATAACATACCAGAAAGTCAAACTTTTCGTTTTCACCCTGTATCTCAGAAACAAACATAGCTAGATTGATTCTGTTTCTGGTATTAAAAGTTCCACAAAAAAGTGGTACACGGTCGCGAAAACCGCAAATCTCTATCTTTAAAAACAGCCGAGATACACTGCAGTCTCAACCAAGATTGGACACACTGTATATACTCGCCTCAAGAAAAAATTTGTCCAAGGAAATTTTACCAAATTACCATGTACCTACTAATAAAAAAGAAGATTTACGACTAATCATTGAGTACATAGCATTCATTTCAAGTTGGTCTTTCCTAGGAAAAATTTCGTGGGCGAATTTTTGAAGGAGAAGTACAATGTACTTGTAACCGATTTGACATGATGAGATTCACTAACCATAGCTGAACCGATTGAAAAAGCTTGCAAAGCTCAATCCCTAAACAGTTGAAAATGTCAAGCCTTGAAGCACTTTGTATTTATTTCAAAACAAGAGATAACTGTAATTTTTTTGTTGTAATTCATTACATTTTGGATCCATTATATTTGATTTGATACATATGCACTTGGAATAAAAGAAAATCTAACACCAGTTTCAACATTTGGTTTTGCGCAAGCCCGTCACAGACAAATACACTCTCTTTAAAAATATCCCGAGACAGCCCCGTTTATTCTTCCTTCTTGCTATTTAAGCAAAAACCACCTAATAAAAACGACATCGTTATTCCCGACGACACTCGAAATTCCGTCTACACCACCAAAACTGCTAACCACCTGCATCGCTTATCTCACACGTGACATTGGTCAAAAAATCAATTAATTATTGTCCGATAGCAACTTTTTATCACCACCTGACCAGATAAAACTTTAAACTCGCGTAAATATTTCCATTAAACGTTCCCTAAGTTTCACGTTTTAATTTTATGATACAAGCAATTTACACAAAGTAGAATTAAATGAATTAGACAATCACTGACTAAATTTACAATAAGAAACCAACATTAAAATGAATCAAATCAACAATATCTTGTCTAAAAGAGTCATTCTCATTTTGTATTCGCGTCAAAACACGAAACCTTTTTTTAAAAGCCTTACTAAAGGCTTGAGCAGTCCTTTTAATAAAGAAAGACGACTGCACTGCTCTGACAGAACTCAAGAGCAAATATGACGGACGGTTCTATACGAATTTGGCTACTCAAACGCAATAAAATTCATAATATACAAGATCAACTGCATTTCAAGTAAATGTTGAGCAAAATCAAAAATACCAATATATTTGTCCAATTAATGAAAACTGACTTCATCGACTCATAGTTAATTCGTTGCAGGTTATTAGTAACGGCTCTGCGAGATAAATATCCAGATCTACCAATCCACATTCACACTCACGACACTAGCGGCGCTGGTGTCGCGTCAATGTTAGCCTGTGCCGAAGCAGGAGCCGACGTTGTCGATGTTGCAGTTGACTCAATGTCGGGCATGACCAGCCAGCCAAGCATGGGCGCAATTGTGGCCAGTTTGCAAGGCACGCCATTGGATACCGGTTTTACGCTGCCTGTCATTTCTGAATATTCTGCGTATTGGGAGCAAACGCGAACATTGTATGCGCCCTTCGAATGCACCACGACAATGAAATCTGGCAACGCCGACGTGTATCAAAACGAAATCCCCGGCGGGCAATACACCAACCTTCAATTCCAGGCTTACTCATTAGGTTTGTTAATTATTAAACGTAACAAATGGGTCAGTTGAAATTTTGTAGGCTTGGGCGAGTTCTTCGAGGATGTTAAGAAAGCGTACGCGGAAGCAAACATGCTATTGGGCGACATTATTAAGGTAACGCCCTCCTCAAAAGTCGTAGGCGACTTGGCCCAGTTCATGGTGCAAAACAAGCTATCGGCGAAGGACGTACAGGACAAAGCCGAAGAACTCTCCTTACCGAAGTCTGTAATCGAATACCTTCAGGGACATATCGGGCAACCCTACGGCGGCTTCCCGGAGCCGTTCAGGTCGAAAGTTCTCAGAGACATGCCACGCATCGACACCCGACCCGGAGCAACGTTACCTCCCTTCGATTTTACCAAGTTGAAAACCGACCTCCAAGAGAACTTCCCCGGCATACGCGATCACGACGTAATGTCAGCGGCGTTGTATCCTCAGGTGACGAAGGATTACCTAAATTTCCGTGACCGATTTGGACCGGTCGACAAGTTAGACACAAGAATATTCCTGACCGGTCCGAAAGTCGGAGAAGAATTCGAAGTGTCGATCGAGAAGGGGAAAACATTGGGAATAAAAACCCTAGCGATGGCGGAAGATTTAACCGAGAGCGGCGAGCGCGAGGTCTTCTTCGAGCTGAACGGAACTCTTCGATCTGTTTTCGTCAGAGACAAGGAGGCGAGCAAGGAGATTATCGTTCATCCGAAGGCGGTTAAAGGCGATAGTAAACAGGTGGGCGCCCCGATGCCCGGAACAGTCATCGATATACGCGTTAAGGCCGGGGACAAAATCGAAAAGGGAACTCCTTTAGTGATTCTGTCAGCGATGAAGATGGAAACGGTAGTGCAGAGCCCGGTTGCCGGAGTAATCAAAGAGATTAAAATAGGGATGGATATGAAACTTGAAGCTGAAGATTTGTTAGTTGTTTTGGAGTAGATTTTTAATGAAATTGTTGAATTAATCGTTGATCGCAATTGGCTGTGCGAATAGAGTGCTTGTATAGATAGGATGATAGATATATATTTTAAATTTCAATTTTTATATAGTATGTTTTTATACTGTTCATGTTGTAGAGGTTCTTATAACATTTTATTCTATGTATATTGTATTTAAGAATAATTTTATTGTACATTTACCTTTAATAATTGGTGCTAATTGTAAAATAGCGTTTAATTAAAATATTATATTTTATAAAATTGTTAATGTACCATTTTTTCAATATGGGGTTATAATGGTTTAAGTAGGTACCGTTTTTAAAGTGAATTTTACAGTATTATATTTTAAAGCCATCGGCAGAAAGGTTGTACAACCCTTTGTCACTAAAATTAATAGAAAATCGACTAAGTAGAAGACCTATATTCGTTCTGGATCAGGAAGTGACGTCACACCAATCAGAAATGAGTTCGTGACGTCACAGCCAATCAGGTAATAGGAAACCAATGTATGCTCTGAGCCAGGAACTGACATCTCACCAATCAGAGACGAGCACGTCCCCCTACGCACTTCTCTCTTAGGTTCGTGAAGCGGTACAACTGCTCCAACAGTCTCGTAAAGCGGTCCAACATATTTTGTAATCGGTACCAGTCCAAAGAGCTGTTGAACCAGATGGAAAAGTTGTTGGACCGTTTCACGAACTTGAAAGGAAAGGGCGAAGGGGGCGTGTTCGTCTCTGATTGGCTGTGACGTCACGAGCTCGTTTTTGATAGGTGTGACGTCACTTCCTGGCCCATAACATACATTGGTTTTCTGCTACTTGATTGGCTGTGACGTCACAAGGTCATTTCTGTTTAGTGTGACGTCACTTCCTGACCCAGAACTTCTACACAATCGGAAAATAAATACGACTCGCCCTTCTACAGGTACCTTCCGCCTGAGAGGCTCCACCCTGTATATATAATCAAAAAGTGGGTGGTACCCTTTGATATAATCTACGATGATGTACACATTTTTGATAGTTGGGAACCACATGTGCTACGTAACGGCATCTTGGCATCGACTTTCGTCACAAAAGCATCATACAGTTTAAGTTTGTTATTATTTTTGTGTTATATTTAATGCAGACGTTAATCTTCGCATTTCTTTATAATTTATTTTTGTTCTGTGTTACTGTTCATGTTTTGATTACATTCTTTTAAATATGTGGAAATCGAATTGTTTCATCAGTGTGTATACTGACTTAGTTTGTAAACTAACATTTTCTCCGTGAACAGGCGCTCAAGGGGGTGGAAAAATGAGTTACGACACTTAATGCCGTGATAGACCTCGACTCTCCACTGTGGGTTCCGGACGAGGGGCGAGTTACTTATCTTGGGGGCGAGATTCTGATAGAAACTCTTCAGTTTAGAATCTATGTGCGATATATGAATTGCGATTCACTGATTCATAAAGTCTTTAAAGCATGCGCAAGAAGTTTAAGGGCACGACGCGCAGCGGAGTGGCTTTAAACGTTGCAAGTGCTTTAAAGACCAATATATTATGCTGTTGTTTTGATTTGACCAGCAAGGCCGTGTAATTTTACATCTTTTGCTCCTAACAGAACGGTTTAGTGTTGTTTTTCATTTTCGTAGTTTTGTAATTGCGTAATTTGCATAGGTCAGCGAAGAGAGAATTTTCCTGATTTTTCTGTGCGGACCTGCCCAGTTCCGATGTAGTATTTTTTGAATGCGTTTCTAGTCTATAACTTTTGATTGAGAAGTCTAATCGAAAAAGTACGAATTGTTTTGGATTCTACGCCCCAAAATTAATAAGAAATAGTGTTTTCTCGAGAAATTTTGGTGCTGTCGATTTTTGGCAAAAAAGGAAGGTTATACACTGCCTTTTTTTGAGCCCCAAAAAAAAATTGTCTCAGATCGACCCGGAAAAAAATTTTCTTATAGAATCTGGCCTGTAGAATCCATAATTTCAAACAGTTCCAAGATTGGGCTACTAGTTCAAAAGTTGCAGCCCTTTCAATTTTCTTTCAAAATTTGTTTCTAGTCTATAACTTTTGATTGAGAAGTCTAATCGAAAAAGTACGAATTGTTTTGGATTCTACACCCTAAAATTAATAAGAGAAAGTGTTTTCTCGAGAAATTTTGGTGCAGTCGATTTTTGGCAAATAAGGAAGGTTATACACTGCCTTTTTTTGAGGCCCCAAAAAAGATTGTCTCAGATCGACCCGGAAAAAAAATTTCTTATAGAATGTGGCCTGTAGAATCCATAATTTCAAACAGTTCCAAGATTGGGCTGCTAGTTCAAAAGTTACAGCCCTTTGAATTTTCTTTCTAAATTGGTTTCTAGTCTATAACTTTTGATTGAGAAGTCTAATCGAAAAAGTACGAATTGTTTTGGATTCCAAGCCCCAAAATTAATAAGAAAAAGTGTTTTCTCGAGAAATTTTGGTGCAGTCGATTTTTGGCAAAAAAGCAAGGTTATACTATGCCTTTTTTTGAGGCCCCAAAAAAAATTGTCCCAGATCGACCCGGAAAAACATTTTTCTTATAGAATGTGGCCTGTAGAATCCATAATTTCAAACAGTTCCAGGATTGGGCGGCTAGTTCAAAAGTTACAGCCCTTCGAATTTTCTTTCGAAATTTGTTTCTAGTCTATAACTTTTGATTGAGAAGTCAGTACAGTCGATTTTTGGAAAAAAGGAAGGTTACATTGCCTTTTTTTTTGCTCCGAAAAAAATATTGTATATAATATACATCTTTATATACAATGGTATACAATGGTAGTATGGATGGCATTGTTCTTTTCTCTCACAAATACACTATACTTACAACATATATGTATAACTTACAAGCACTCCCACATTAGGGAATTCCGCAAAAGTACCTTGCTTGCGTAAATTCCACACAAAATTGCTAAAGCAGTGTTAAAACGGTCTACGTGTACCGCTAATCCAACAAAAACGTTAGAAATTATACGCATAATCAGTTATATTTTCTCACTGTACCTACTTAATTTTCATTGCTAGCTAAATTCAAATAAAGTTTGTAATTGAGTAAAGGTAACTTAAAATAATAAAATAAATAGGTGTATGGCCTGAAAGAATTAAAAGACTCCTTGCATAGGAAGCATAATATCACATTTCCGTGATTAAATATAATGCTGACATGGTCTGTGTCTGGTGCAAAAGTAATGACGTAATTCAAATCTCAACTTTGTTGTAGTGTTGGGAACTATCGAGAAAAAAAAACCATCGAATAAATTACTATTTAGTAATAAGTACTATCGAATGAATTCACTATCGAATGAATTTTTTGAATAATTTTTTTCCTTTATGTGTATTACTTATACAAATACATGGATCTTATATAAATTATAAATGAACAACCTCGTGAACAACTATCGAATAAAAATGAAAATCATCGACTTTTTTCACTTTGCTTATGCCTTATAAATTTATAATGCGTATGGTATGAGTAATTACTAAGTAATTAGTAAACGACGCTTTATATTTTATGTAGGTATTATAAAATTTATAATTCCCAATCCCAAACCGTGACCATCTGGATTAAGAAATAAATAATATTTACATTTTTCAACGTAACATAAGGTATTTAGTATTTATGAACTGTGTGTGCAATTGCAAATAATTCGTTCATTGAAGACAATTCATTCGAATGAATTACTTGTCCACTATCGAATTATTCGAATGGTTTGCGACTATCGAATAGTTCGATAGTTTTCATTCGAATGCGCGCATCACTACTTTGTTGTCAGTATATTTAAATAGGTAATACAGGTTACATCGAGGGGTATTTCACTGGGGAATTTTGGTGTACACGTGCGGGGAATTACAGGGAATTGCAGAAGGAATTGTGGGAATTGAGAGGAATTAAGGGGAATCGAAGGGAATTGAGGGGAATTGAAGGGAATTGAAAGGCATTAGATGAATTAAAAAGGAATTGAGGGGGGCATTGAATGGAATTGAGGATCGTGATCATGTGCCGCGCATGCCCAGTAACAATCAGCTGTTTAACGGTCGAAACTATAATGTAGCGTTAGTGCTAACAGTATGGACAGTGTTGAAATGTGCTTCTTGTAAATAGAATTATAAATTACAGTATGTACTCTGGGATACTACAAAGGTGAGTTAATTGTGGTTAAATGATGAAATTGTGAAAGCGGCGTTTACTGGGAGCTTCTACGAGTTTCCCCATGACTATCCACGATTCATTTAGATATATCGGTCCAGATGGCTGGGCCTGGATTGAATGGATAGAAAAGGAAACAAAAACAAATATTCCAGTATATTTAAAAAACGTATATACTAAAGAATTAAAATCAATTAGGTAATCTGAAAATGATCATGGAAGAAGGTTTAAATTGTGCCTACAGTGATATTCACGCAATAGGAATAAATATGGATAAAGATGTAGCGAATCATTTAGTTTAGATCAACCGGCTTTATGGCTCAGTGGTAGAGCGTTGGGCTATAAATCCGGAGGTAGGGTGTTCGAACCTGGGTTGAGGTGAATTTTTCATCTGTGGCGGAGATAGAAATTACCTTAGACCAGTTTCAAGCATTCTACCGGCTACTCCGAATTAGGTTTTCCTGCAGTTTTCCTAATTCGTAAGGTAAATACCGGAGTAGTATAGACCAACTTAAGACCTTCTGCAGAGGCGCCTCTAAATACCATTATGCGGGTCACTCTGTAATTGGGCGCAAGCCTGTTGAGGGCCCAGAACAAGAGAGGGATAATAAATAAATAAATAAACAAATCTCAACATTTGTACTGACAGGGTAGATCAAGATGTAGATTCTATTGAAAAGCATGATCAGGAAGAATACGAAGAACAACTGCCAGTAACCAATCGAGAAGAACAATTCAAAAATTTTATGGATTGGGATTTTCTGTTAGAGAATGAAGCAAACGATAAAAATCATGTTGAAAGAGAGATAGACTTAAAGGATTACTCCTCTCGAAATGTTAACTTATCATGCGACGGGGCTTATCTACAGGTTGTTTTACCAAATCAAAATTTAATAGTCATAAAGAAATCGTCTTTTTGTTGGCTTCTTGACGAAAATAATGGAAAGATTAGCAACGATAGACTAAAAAGGTTTTACTCAAATAAAAGAAGCACGTCGACTGAAAAATGCTCATCAAAGAAAAAAGGAAAAGTTGCGAAAACTACTAGTGAAAGAGAATATGAAAACGAAGTAATATTGGATGATTCTACCGTTGAAGATATACAGAGTGGCCCAACGAGAAGTATACAGAGGGCTTTTAGGGTATTAAATTTAGAAATTTCGAAAAATCCTCGAACACGTCAATTTTGTATTCGAGGGGGACAACTTTTGGAATACAAACCACGAACCCAAGTCTTCACCCCTCTACGTAGAGAGCTTAACCCCTAAAATTTTAAATGGAATCCTATGGCAAATGGCACATTTTTTGAAAGCCAATTTAATCGTGATTACTAATCTGCTTTGCTTTTTAAATTCTATTGATTCGTTTCGGAGATATTCGCATTTGAAATGGTTTTTTCCCCTGATTTAAGTCCTTTAGATTACTTCTTGTGGAGATATTTAAAGAATAAAGTTTATGCTACTCCGCCCGGAACATTACAAGGGTTGCGAGCACGTATAACCATAGTGTAAGAATAGAATACACTATGGTATAACTCAACAATTTCGAGCGATTACCCCTGAAATCTTGCAACATGTACGGCAGCGTTTTGAAGCAAATCTTTATTATTGCATGGAAGCAGGCGGAAGGCAATTCGAGCATTTATTGAAATAAATGTTGTGTGTTTAAAGTTATTTGTTATTTTTTGCACAATTTAAACCTTGTATTAAAATTTAAAAATTTTAATACAAGGTGACTTGGATCGCATTTGTTTTGGTTTTTTTAGAAACCATTTCAAATGCGAATATCTCCGAAACGAATCAATAGAATTTAAAAAGCAAAGCAGATTAGTAATCACGATTAAATTGGCTTTCAAATAATGTGCCATTTGCCATAGGATTCCATTTAAAATTTTAGGGGTTAAGCACCCTACGTAGAGGGGTGAAGACTTGGGTTCGTGATTTGTATTCCAAAAGTTGTACCCCTCGAATACAAAATTGACGTGTTCGAGGATTTTTCGAAATTTCTAAATTTAATACCCTAAAAGCCCTCTGTATACTTCTGGTTGGGCCACTCTGTATATCAAGAGCAATGGTAATTGGCAATTGGTAATACCTGAAGGAAAATTAAGGTATTAACCCATCCTATTGCTACTATTTACATTTCACTATCAGCTCGTGTTTAGGGAAAATTTTTGGGGAAAATAAAGCACAAAACACGAATGGGAATTGGAGGGAATTGAGAGGCATTGAAGGGAATTATGGAAAATCAGAGGGAATTGAAGGGAATTGAAAGGGAATTAAGGAAATGAATAGGAATTATAGAGAATTTAAAAGGAATTAGAGGGAATTGAAAGGAATTAACGGAAAAGGGGAATTTTGGTGTACAAATATTCATCGGTGAAATACCCCTCGGGTTACATGCTGCTATATGGTAATACAGCGATACAACAGCACAAAATAGCAACACTTTCTTACAAGATTTTCTACTGCAACAATATTCTATCCCATGACACCTCTTTATATTATTTACTCTATGGCTATGCCGAATGCAAAGAACGAACTAAATATCTTAAAAACGGGCAGAGAAAGTGGCCATAATAGCGCCTTCCATCGTGAGTTGGAAAATGCGCTGAAAAGATGTAATCAAGGTGACAGCAACTGTAAACAAACTGTCAATGTGTCACATCTTATGTCACTAAAATTGATCTGGCATTTCAATGTAGAATGTTAGCACGCCAAGTCATTACCAGAACGGCGTTATCTAAAGCCTATTGTTCAAAATCTCAGTACAAAAAAATCAACAAAGTTCTCGTAGCGAATCGAGGCGAGATAGCGGTACGAATTTTTCGCGCGTGCGCCGAACTAGGAATTAAAACCGTCGCCATCTACTCCAACGAGGACAGATTGCACTTGTTCAGATTGAAAGCGGACGAAAGCTACCTTGTCGGCGAGGGTTTGCCGCCGGTCCAAGCCTACCTAAGCATTCCCCACATCATCAAAATATGCAAAAAGCGAAAGGTCGACGCCGTGCATCCCGGTTATGGGTTCCTATCGGAGCGCGACGACTTCGCTCAGGCGGTTGTCGACGCGGGAATGAGATTTATCGGCCCTAGTCCTCAAATTGTAAAGCAAATGGGCGATAAGGTAGCCGCTCGGCAAGCTGCAATTTCTGCAGGTAAGTTATGATAGAGGAAGATAGATCTTCAGGAAATTTGTAGGTGTTCCCGTTGTACCCGGTACGGATGGTCCAATTACCACAAAGGAAGAAGCGAGGTCGTTTTGTGAAAAGCATGGACTGCCCGTTATTTTTAAGGTAAAAAGTAACACTTTTCCTTGTGGCAGATTTATTGATATTGTTGCCTCTTAGGCGGCATATGGTGGTGGTGGAAAAGGTATGCGCATCGTCCGGAAGCTTGAAGAAGTGCAGGAAAACTTTGAGCGTGCAACATCCGAAGCGCTCAGCTCTTTCGGCAACGGCGCCTTATTCATTGAGCGTTTCATAGAAAAACCACGCCACATCGAGGTGCAACTGCTTGGTACGTTTTCACCTTCTATTCCTCGCCTAACCTCGTCCGTAAACCAAAGGCGATAAGGTTGGGAACATCGTTCATCTATACGAAAGAGACTGTTCGGTTCAGCGCCGGCATCAGAAAGTCATCGAAATCGCTCCCGCGCCCATGTTTGACCAATCAATTAGGGATAAAATTACAGCGGATGCTGTTAAATTGGCCAAACATGTTAAGTACGAGAATGCGGGTACGGTGGAATTCTTATGCGACCCGAAGGGTAACTACTACTTCATCGAGGTTAATGCCAGGTGAAACCTACCCCGTCGTCTGCGATTCTTAACTAAGCTTTTAGATTGCAAGTAGAGCATACGATCACGGAGGAAATCACCGGCGTTGACATAGTGCAACAACAGATCCTCATTGCGGAAGGTATCACGCTTCCTGAATTACACTTGACTCAGGACTCCATTAAAGTGTTGGTGAGTTTTCAATGAGCGAGTTTATTAATTACTTCCCGCCAAATTCTACAGGGATACGCGATACAGTGCCGAGTGACCACCGAAGATCCCCAAAAGGACTTTCAGCCAGACACAGGTCGAATTGAAGTTTTTCGTACGGGCGAGGGTTTCGGCATAAGACTCGATGGAGCTTCTGGCTTTCCCGGTGCTGTGATATCGCCATATTATGACTCGCTGCTCATAAAGGTCATCTCCTACTCGCACACCTTTTACAGTGCCTGTCTGAGGATGAGGCGGGCTTTGAGGGAGTTTCAAATTCGAGGAGTTAAAACGAATGTAGCCTATTTAATCAATGTGTTTGACGAGGAGAGCTTTCTGCGGGGCGGCGTCGACACCCATTACATTCAAGAGCATCCGGAGTTGCTCCAGATTAAACCGAGACGTGATCGAGCGCAGAAACTGATAAAATATTTGGGGGAAGTGTTGGTAAATGGACCTCAAACTCCATTCGCCACTACAATTAAACCCTCCCGTATTCAAGCGACTTTACCACCAACACCAAGTGAGTATCCGCCTTACGGGCATTTGAAACAATCATTATGCAGGTGGCCCTGTGCCTAGTGGACTCAGACAGATTTACTTAAAAGAGGGGCCGGCCGCTTTTGCAAAGGCGGTAAGAAACACGAAGCAATTGCTACTGATGGATACGACGTTTCGGGACGCGCATCAGTCCTTGTTGGCTACTAGAGTTCGCAGCTACGATTTGGTTAGGATATCGCCGTTTGTCGCTCACAATTTTAGTCAGTTGTATTCGATAGAGAATTGGGGCGGAGCAACTTTCGACGTGGCTCTACGATTTTTGCACGAGTGCCCTTGGAGGCGCCTGGAAGCGATGAGGAAAGTGATACCAAATATACCGTTCCAAATGTTGTTACGTGGAGCTAACGCCGTGGGGTACACGAATTATCCTGACAATGTGGTTTACGAGTTTTGTAAGTTGGCTGTAAGTACCTACATTACCTCTTATAGAATTTTTCTTAAAATAAGACAGACATCAGTTTGTAACGGGGAGCTACCTAATCACTGCACTTGTTTCCACGAAATCAATGTTAATTTTTAGCTTCCTAGCATGTGCTAGGTAGCTATTGCGATAGCCGTTTTTTGAACATTTCAAAATTTCATCAAATGTCGACGTTTTAGACCATTTTAAGTAACTTTTAAAGAATAAAATTTTTTTTCCGTCTGTATGTACGTACGTACGTTTGTTGGCAATTTTCTGAGAAAACGGCTCGACGGATTTTGTTGAAATTTTGTATATATGTTTTAGGCATACCGAACAGAAAAATAACGGGCCGGATTTTTGAAAAAAAATTTTGGAGCGCCGTAACGGCATCGAACTTTTTTTTTCAAATAGCAACCTAAAATTTTTATTCTATTATTTGGAAGACCTTATTTTCCTGTGTACAACCTACAAAAAATTGGGCCGGGTTATATTATCAAAAAACGGAGAAAAAAATTGTCAAAGTCAAAAAATTGTGTTGCATATGTGCAAAACGCAACGATCTTGTTTCTGAAGCAATTTAAACGAAATTTCTATGGTAAGTCCCTTTAATAAAAGCAAACAAAATTCATGCGCAAAAATCGTGTTGCGCATGCGCAGAAATGCAATTTTCTTATTTATGGAACAATTAAAACGAAATTTTTCCCGTCTGTAAGTGCGTACATATGTTGGCAATTTTTGGTTTCAGCTAGGAAGCTATTCTGTCAAGAATTAGACACCTGGTTTTTATAAAAAAAAAACCTCAGATCTTATACTATGCGATCAAAAATATTTTGTACATTACGCTTCTCTTGCGTTGGATAAAAGAAACCAGGTTGATACACTGACTTTAAAAAAGCACTTGATACCGTAGATCATGATAAGCTTATGGATAAATTAATACAGTACAGCTTATTAAAACTGTTGATATCATATTTGAGGGGCCGTTCACAAATTGTCTCTTATAAAAATCATATTTCTCGAGTTTTCCATACATATTCTGGGGTGCCTCAAGGCTCAAAACTCGGGACCATTATTATTTTTACTTTTTGTTAATGACATAACTCGAGAAATACTATTCTCAGATTTTGTTGTTTGCAGATGACATAAAGTTGTTTAAGTCTGTATAAGTTCAACAGCTGATTGCGCTGAATTGCAAACCGACTTAACAGCATTGACTGCTTGGAGTACAAAGGCAGTTTGCAAAGATCCTGTGAACTGTAAAAAAAATGTTCACAGCATTTTTTTTATTTTTTCTTTTGTTTTCCTTTGTCTTTTTTATTTTAATAGGACTCTTAACATATTTTTTTTATATTCCTTATAATTTCGAATAGTTTTTTTTTTAATTAATACATGAACATTGTTATTGGGGCAACCTGTTATGTTCATAGATAAACAAAATAAATAAATAAATAAATAAATGAGTTGCCGTCAAATCTCCTTTGGAATTTTTGTTTGCATGGGAAATCGTACTTCACTTGAACTTCCAAAGGCGACTCGACAGCAACTCATTTTTGATCTCCCGTTACATGCACATAGTGGATACCTCCTCGGTTTGTCCCAATTGGATTAAAATTGTAATAACCTCGTCATTAACTCAAGCTCATCAAGAACCAGTGTGATTTTGAGCTATATTGTGGTAATACTGGGAACCATCTCGGGGGCTTGTATTGTGAAAAGGGAGGCGCTCTTTTGTGTCGGAGGGCAGGGAGGTAGAATCTGGCTATCAAGTAGGTCCTTAACAGCAGGATTTTTTTTAAGGTTGAATGTGGCATGGACATATTTAGAGTTTTTGACTGTCTCAACTACCTTCCGAACATAATTGTCGGAATGGAAGCGGCGGGAAAAGCAGGCGGTATTGTGGAAGCTGCGATATGTTACACTGGTGACGTCAGCGATCCGAAGCGAACGAAATACGACTTAAACTACTATTTAAAACTGGCAAACGATTTGATCAAGGCAGGCACGCATGTGCTTTGCATTAAAGACATGGCGGGACTACTTAAACCACAGGCAGCACTGTACGTCTTTTGTTTACAGCAGGGTTAATTTTTGTGACCGATTTGCAGAATATTAGTGAAGGCTATTCGAGACAAACACCCTGAGGTACCTCTGCACATTCACACTCACGACACCAGCGGTGCGGGCATCGCTGCAATGTTGGCGTGTGCCGAAGCGGGGGCCGATGTTGTTGATGTAGCCGTCGACTCAATGTCAGGGTTGACGAGTCAACCGAGCATGGGCGCGCTAGTAGCAAGCCTCCAAGACACCCCCCTTGACACGCAACTTTCGTTAAACTCTATTTCGCAGTACTCGGCTTACTGGGAGCAGGTTCGCAATCAATACGGCCCGTTTGAGTGTACCGTAACAATGAAGACGGGCAACGCCGACGTGTACCAAAACGAGATACCAGGGGGCCAGTACACCAATCTACAATTTCAGGCTCATTCTCTGGGTGAGTTTCCCAAATGTGCTCGTCCGCAGTAATTAATTTATAAACTCATTGGCAGGTTTAAGTGAGCAATTTGAAGATATCAAAATTGCGTACGCCAAAGCGAACGAACTGCTTGGCGACATTATTAAAGTGACGCCATCTTCGAAGGTGGTGGGTGACCTTGCTCAATTTATGGTGCAAAACAAGCTCACAGAAAAGGATGTTGTTGATAGGGCCGAAGAATTGTCCTTTCCGGTATCGGTGGTCGAATTCCTTCAAGGTCACATTGGTCAACCGTACGGGGGATTCCCTGAACCGTTCCGATCAAAAGTATTAAGGGATTTTCCTCGTATAAACGACCGACCGGGAGCGGCTATGCCACCTTTCGATTTCAAAGAATTGGAAACCACTCTTAAGGAAGTGTACAGTGATATTACCTTCAGAGATGTCATGTCTGCAACTCTGTACCTTGACGTAACGAAAGAGTACCTATCGTTTAGAGAGAAATATGGGCCCGTCAGTCAGTTGGATACAGCTACATTCCTGATAGGCCCGAAAGTGGGAGAAGAATACATAATCACCATTGAAGAAGGGATGGTCTTCCACTTATACGCCCTTGCGATTACGGACGAGCTAAACGAGAATGGCGAACGTGAAGTGTTTTTCGAACTAAACGGCGGCATGAGAACATTAGCCGTGCGCGATAAGACCACCGTAAAGGAATTAGAAATCCATCCGAAAGCAGCTAAAGGGAACGAGAAGCAAATTGGCGCCCCGATGCCCGGCATGGTCGTCGAGATCAGAGTCGAGGAGGGGCAGGAGATCAGCAAGGGCACACCTTTGGTAATACTGTCCGCTATGAAAATGGAAACAGTTGTTCAAAGTCCGGTGGCAGGAACTGTGGACACCATACACATTAAGCCATCTATGAGCTTGCAGGCGGAAGACTTAATTATTTCGTTGAAATGAATTTGTTATTGTATTTTTCGTAGAGAATAATTTAACGTTTAAGTATTACTTTTATTTTCCACAAAATCTCCACGTGACCATATGTTGAATATCTATTAAAAAAGTTTTTAGTACAGAGATGCAAATTTGAAGCACGATGGACCCGATAATTATAAAAAGAAGGAGTATTCTGGTGTGGTTAACTGATCGATTATCTCCTCCTAGCTTTCTAACGCGTAACACTGGTGAGGGTGGTTTTGGGGGCAGGAAAATAACCGCCCAAGAAACCGAACAAACAAGTTTGATAAAGTACCATTTTTCCATACTTGGTAGTTAGGCAACACAATTAGCATTCCATTACCTATTCGCATATATTCTTTGGTAATGTCTATGGTTAACATGTCTATTATTTTCTTAGAGTATAAGAAAACTCTAAGATTATTTTGGAAACATAACCTCAACCAAGGAGTAGCTTAAGAATAATTTTATTTTAACAAATCTGTTAAAATGTCTACGAGACTGTAAAGTATTCCAATAAATCACGAGTAAAAATGCAATATCGAATTGTAGGTATCCGCTCTATCAAAAAGGCAACCCCCAACTTCGTGTGTTCCTCTCAAACTTTTGGATGAAACTAGTCCGACCCGAGCACAAACAGCCCCCGAACGTTGTCCAATTCCACTGCTCCATGGAAATGACCAGATACGACATAAAAAATTACCTAGAAAAAATTTATAACGTTAAATCCACACAGGTCAATACAAGGATAGTGCTAGGTAAAACTCGCGAGGAGCCGGGAAAGGGGTACGTCATTAAAGATGACGATTATAAAGTGGCCTATGTTGTTCTGGTAATGTTCGGTTTTGTGATAAATTTATACCCAGTGCGTTTACCTTGTAGCCGAAAGATGAGAAATTTGAATTTCCCAATTTATTTCCGGAATCGGCGGAGAAAGAGAAGTTGGATCATGATAAGGCGTTAGATGAAGTGAGGAAGAATCACCAAAAGTACCTGGAAAAGAACAGCGATCGACCGGGTCTTCCTGGGTGGTTTTCATTTTGATTTCATTTGTAAATAATTGTATAATTAAAGCTTATAGTTGTGTAGTGATTATTCTTTGAGTTTCAATGAAGGTATGATTATTAGTAAGTTGTCTCTTTGCAAACCTTGGGTCTATTCTCTAAGCCTAAGGGTATTTGCAGGTAGCTTATACCTAAACAAAGATATGAGAAAATTGAATTGGAAAGTCGTATTCTGTTGAAAATGTTTTAGCTCATTGTTTATACATTTTTTTTTCAAATATGCACAAAATTTGGATTAAATTTGATATGAGTGAATTCAACAAAACTGGCGGTTTTAAAAAAAAATTTTCGTATTTTGAAAACTGAAATTTAGTTTGGACATAATATGGATCCTAATAACAGTTACCTACTCTATTTAAGTAAATGATGAAATAATACATCAATCTCGTTTTCATTACAAAAAGCAACTTACTTTTTGAAAAAATATATTTTGCAAAAATTTCAAAAAATAAGGACGTGAAAAAGACTAAGTCGGATGTGGCGCATTCTTTCCGAGAAATATGCCGTATTTGTTTTAGAACAAACAGCACTCTAGAATATTCTAGAAAGATTGTTGTTCGCTATATAATAATAATGTTTATATCTGTTAATATATGCTATAAAGAGGCATTAACAGACGTCAAAATAAAAATACATATCCAAAAAGCAAATAGAATTGTGTTTCGAGTCCGTCTAACATCGATGCACAGTGAAATATTAAGCAGCTTCCGCTCGTGTTATGTTATAAATTGTGAGTGATAAATAATAATTACAGTTATAAATTAGTCCATTTCAAAACTTTTATAAATGTATTGTTAGTTAATATTCAAGTTGTAGTAACGACTATAGTGAATGCGAAAAATCAAAGGAAAGTCAAACAACCCTAGGACGACTTTTTAAAATCAAGATCTTAGTTCAATAAATGCTAGCGACCCTTTCATTTCCCCCTAGTTAAAAAAAAATTACACTCAAAAGTTTCAAAAACATTACATTATATACGAGTCAGTCATTATGAATATAATTGCCAAATATAGGTATTATATTATAATTTTATTGCATTAGTTACTTTGAGTAAGCAATATAATGAAAAAAGCATGATCATAGTGTGAGGCTGACGCGGCCATGGGGGGGGGGGGGGGCAAAAACTTAGAAAAGCGTGAAACAGCACAAAGAGGTGGAAGAGATGCGAAGGTGGTTCAAAAAGAACAAGTGTATGCGTGAAGTAGGCTTGATGCAGATTTGAAGTGGAAATGAAGAAGGGGAGGAGCAAATGCATAGCAAAGTGAGACATACAGGCATGCAGAATTAAGGCACATATTTTTTATAAACAAAAAATAGTATATTCTGTAACAAGGTTGGAATGGAGAAATTCAATGCGAGTGATATGGTTCTGAGCGCAAGATACAAGATACCTACTCGATAAGTACGACAATAGGTGTCATTGTAACACTTGTTTTTTAATATACTACTATTCTCATTTTCATAGTATAATATACAGTGATATTCATGTAGAAGTAGACATAGAGATTCCCTATGCCTACTTTTACATGATAAAAAATCTTCTGAAGGACGCTTAACCTTATGCAACCAAAATAACTACCTACAACAAATGAAGATCTGATAAGCAAATGCTTATACTTCCAAAATTCAAAGTAAATACTCGTAACTGCCCCTTCATACTGGTCTGTTTAGCATGGTTTAGCAGCGTTGCACTGCGTCCTGTCCTTCTGCTTAGAAGCGCTGCTAAGTCGCCCGGTACGAAGGAGCACTTACGAGTATTCACTTTGAATTTTGCAAGTATAAGCATTTGCTTACTTTTATTCATACGGGCCATAAGAGATTTATTTTCTGTGAAGCTAAAGCAACAATATTCAAATTAATAATTAATATGACAGCCAGATCTTTATTTGTTTTAAGAAGTTATTTTGGTTGCATAAAATTAGGCGTCCTTCAGAAGACTTATCATTTGAAAGTAGAGATAGGAAATTCTTATGTCTACTTCTACATGAATATCACTGTATATTATATAGGTACTACGATTAAAAAAATGACGACCGCTTACAAACAGTTTACCATTAGCAATGGGTTTAGTAAACATGCCTGCAAACAGTTTACAAACAGTTAGTTCTGGTGATCGCACCCAATGATCATATGTTTGCATTGCATTAGAAATAATCATTGGGTACACCGTGTATGTATACAGGGTATACTTAAAAACTACATGTATATCTCTGCCATAATTAACGTTACACTCTTTACCATGCCGATAAGATTTGGAATACGTATGTAGGTATACATATATGATCTCTTGAATACGTGTCTATAAACAAATCACAAAATAAATTCACCAATTACAAATATCAAATGCCAAAAATAACGAATTCGAATTATGCACACTTTACCGCTTTAAATTTTTTGCAGCGACATTAGCATAAATCCATAAGCGTCATATTACAGTTTTAAATGGTACATGTTTGTACTGCTCCGCAATAGAGGGCGCTTTTAAGTATACCTAAATTTGTTTCTCAAAAAATGCATGTTTGTTACTTGTTAGCAATCTGTGTACGATAGATCTGTGAGAAGTCTAATCGAAAAAGTACGAATTGTTTTGGATTCTACGCACCAAAATTAATAAGAAAAAGTGTTTTCCCGAGAAATTTTGGTGCAGTCGATTTTTGGTAAAAAAGGAAATAACTGCCTTTTTTTGAACCCCGAAAAAAAATTGTCTCAGATCGATCCGGAAAAAAAATTTTCTTATAGAATGTGGCCTGTAGAATCCATAATTTCAAACAGTTCCAAGATTGGGCTACTAGTTCAAAAGTTACTGCCCTTTGAATTTTTTTTCGAAATTGGTTTCTAGTCTATAACTTTTGATTGAGAAGTCTAATCGTGTCTATAAACAAACCACAAAATAAATTCACCGATCACAAATATCAAATGCCAAAAATAACGAATTCGGATTATGCACACTTTACCGCTTTAAATTTTTTGCAGCGACATTAGCAAAAATCAATAAGCGTCATATTACAGTTTTAAACGGTACATGTTTGTACTGCTCAGCAATAGAGGGCGCTTTTAAGTATACCTAAATTTGTTTCTCAAAAAATGCATAAGGTTAGCAATCTGTGTATGTGTAGATCTATGCCGAGACGTAAAAAAACGGGCCAGTTTTTTGAAAAAAAAATTTGGAGCGCCGAAACGTCACAACTCAAAATTGTTATTAAACTATTCTAAAGATCTCATTCTTCTGTGGACAACCTACAAAAATTATGTCCGGTTTTAAATAGACAATAAAATGTCAATGTTAAAAAACAAAAAAAATTTTGTCAGCAAATTGGTTACTTTGATTTCGTTAAAATTTTGCAAATGTACGTTAGGCATAAAGGATGTACGACTGTCAAAAACGTTTGTTTTTTATTTTTGAGTTTTTAGCGCCGTGACGTCACATAACTTTTTTCAAATAGTTTTAGTTTTAATGCGAAGAACTTAATGTAAAATTTCAATATGTTAAATTATCACTCTACTCATTTATATAGCTTAAGTCCAGTGTTCCCGAGAAAGTTTGTAGCGGTAAATATATATATTTTTTGAGACATGCTTAAACATGTCTTTGGGTTTCCATGAAAATCAACACACACCCTTCCCTATAAGCTATTAAAATCAATACATAAACAATATATAAAACATAAAAACATAAATGATAATATATAGGACATAAATAAGATACAATAGGAAAGAAATTCTGGATTGAATCGGAAAAATAACACAACATCCGTCAAAGATAAATCAAAAACTTTATTTCCAACGATAATTAGATTTATTATTGTGCCGATCCGAACAACCATCCTCTTGATTTACTAAATCCTCGTCGATGAGCAATTCGAAATCTCCCAAGGTTTCTGGTGCAACTATTTTATTCCAACGAACACTAAAATGAATTATACAAACACGTACCATTTAAAAATGTACCTACTCCGGATGACCAGAAGGAGGAAGCACAAGAGACAAAATATTGTCGATCAGTTTGTGCTTCAAAATGCGATCGTTGGCGGTGGTGGAGGTGAGCGACGGCGAAGCGTTCACCTGCAAACTGTAAGTGAAATTGAAGAAGTCGGTAAGCATAACCACCTCGATTAGCCACGGTTTCAATTTGTTGTCGATGATGATGTCGTAGCCGTAGCATTCGAAGCAGTGGCGGTCGGTTGCCATAACCGGCTGCACTGCTTTCAAAGAGTGAATGATTAACCAACTAATTTCGTCAAAGAGTTTCTCGGTGGTCTCTTTACCACGGGTGCTCTCCAGGTGGAGCCTCAAATTTTGAACGCTTAGCTTTCCACCGTGCAAAGAGTTATATTCATCCTACAACAAACTGCGTGGTACCTACTGTAGAACTGTCGATAGATCCTTACTCCATGCTTTTGAACGGCTACATTGGTCAAGTGCACAAACATATTGTCTAATTCTGCGACACTTGTGTCGTACTTGACCGTGCAAAATCTGCAGAAGCCCAGCTTGAACTGGTACGCTTTCAACGGGCGAAACGATGTGACGATGACATACAAACGTAAATCGAATTTCTTCCCTCCGATTAGAAGAGGATTGTTAATATACCTAAAACTTGGAAAGTTAAAAATTGAAACGCGGAAACGGGTTTCTTACCGCGAGATCACGTAGCATTCTCTCGACAGTTGCGGTTGGAGAGGATTTTTATTTGCCTCCCTCGACCATCGCTTCAATTTTGATAGCTTATTAATCAGGAAGATGCCCAAACCTTGAGATTTCCCGCACGGTTTCATAATCCAAGTGCTTTGGGGCGCCTTGCGATACTCTTCAACAAACATGTTATAGTCTGCAGGTAAGACGAACGTTACTGGAATAAAATCTAAATGTAAGTACTTTGAATCCCATCTTTCCGCAAGGATGTTCCCTTCCTTCTCCAGATCTCTACGGTACCGTTTTATATTCTTAACTAATAGGTCCTTTCTTGAAATTTCGTAATGGTTCGGGAAGTGATTGATTATTTGGTTGTCGCTCATACGATACCCGCTGTCGACACTAAATAAGCTACGGCACGTTTGCGTTCCGGCCCAGTACACGTTCCATTCGTCTTCGGGGCCCACCTGCACCCAGCCCCGTTTCTCGCAGTTTGCTACGACTACGCTTTTATCGAGATCTGTACAGAAAGTTACTTTCATTGTTACTGAAATTTTTGACAGGACGCTAGAGATTGATCGATAATTATTGCTAGGCAACCAAATTTTATTCAAAATGAAAAACGCCCAGAGGCACCATCAGGTCAATCTCGAAAACTTCAGTGACATAAGGGGCTAGGTTCGTTTGGGTCCACATCTCGTAAATGTATCTGTTGACAGGGTAGATCTATGTATGGCCCTTTTTCCAATATTCTAACTGACTATTATATTTGATTAAAAATTTAAAGGGGGCATTCGACCTCTTTGAAGTTACAGGAAATATTGAACATTATATACATATTGTAATGGGATGGGCAATAGGTCAAAATCACAAATGAACCATAGATTTTTAAATTGCCTATCAGTTTTTTTTTAAATATTATTATTATTATTATTATTAAATAGAACCAAAACCCCTAGTCACTACAACAGTTTTTTTTTAAATTGTGGTAGTGACTAGGATTATACTATGTAAGTATGTAACTAAAATCTGTTTGCTTCAATTAGCAAAAAAGTCGCGTGGACCAAGAGGGGGGGGGGGGCTCGTTTGCTACACCCAGGGTTTAACTAAGCTAAGGCATTGAATAAAAAATTAAGACTATTCAATGGCTAATCACAGCGACATCTATAAATAAACAGTTGAACTACTGCTGTTTGCATCCATTTTTTGTTGTGCAACATTATTTAAACAATGATAAAACTAAGATCGATTCCCGGAGAAAATATCGATTTTTAAATGACCGAACTTTCAATATTGAAAGAAGAGGAGCAGTTTTACCGCGACTGTACTTAACCAAGGTACGAAGAATTGCGTACGATTTTCAGTAAGGGAATTTTATTGCCACTCAGCTCGCATTCGGAAACCAGACTTTTAATTCGGCTCATATTCAATAGCATCACTGATAGGTACTTGTAGAAATAGATTTGGCGAAGGTTTGACATCGCTGTCACTTTTTGTTCTCAAGAAACAAACGTTTTCAAAAAATTCCCCTAAAAAATTGCTTAAATAAACAATAAAATTTGTGTCCTTTTACTTTATTAATATTGTACTACTTTGTACGCCCGTTTTCCGCCCTGAAGTTATGACCATACCGTATATTTGTGAAGTCGACCAGTATTGCTGAACATTCGGTATATAGAATCGTTTTAAACTGGCCGCTTCGTTACTAAAAATTGTAGTTTCGGATTTCCTTACTTGCTGTAGGAGACCAGAAGCGAGTTGTTTTCATTTTTGTTTAACTGCTATTATCACCGCCGATATAAGGCACGTAAGTTTTGTAGCAAATTCAACAGTTTTCCAACCGTTCCTGTAGGAATATTTAAATTGATTTTACGGCCGGCAAAAGCTCTCGTCAGAGAAGAAGACAAATTAATATTTTAGAATTTCAAAAATGATACGCCATTCAGGTTTTGTTTTCTATGGTAAATTTAAAACGAGCATTAAAAGCTGCAGTTTTCGTAGAAACCAGGTGATATCTTGACCTCGCCGATTGCACTTGAATTCCGACAGACAATGAGCGAAAATTAGAACTTCATTTTCCGAAACTTCCGTCCGTCACTTACTTGTGTTCAAATTTTGTAAATTAGTAACACGAGCGCGAATGTCACTATTTATCATTTCGGCATCGATATTGAAACTTCTATTAAACACAATCCAATTTACTCATATAGCTTGCTAGTTTAAAGGTTTTAAATCTGGAGTCAAGATATCCTGGATAGAACGCAAAAGTAAATTTCTTATTTGTGGACTAATTTTGTGAATGTCAAAACTACGAGGACTACTATGATTAGGCACTTCGTTTAATAAACGGCGAAGCGATGCATAGAAGTAAATACAATAAAAGGAAAATGCTGGAACCAGTCTTCAACATCTTGATAAATTAGCGCGCTTCCAAGGATACTAAACACAATCTAATCAGACGAGATTTTCTGCAACACATCCAATTAGCTACCGGTATTTACGCTCACTCAAATGGCCGGGCCGAAATTTCCAAATTCGGTGGTCCAGTTAACACCCATTGCCGGTTTCAATTCTCAGGTCAAGCAAGAAGTCTAAGTAAACTGCACAGTTTTGCAGTTTTAATGCTCGTTTTCACTTTAATAGTTGGAGACTAAAATCGGTGAAGGACAATGAAATCATACAATATTAATTTTCTCTCGTCTTCCAAACGGACGAGAGTTTTTGGAGGCTGCACAAACAATTAAAATATATCTACTAAAAAAATTAGATGCGGCAGCTTGTTTTCCTTATAGGCGGCTAAACGACACTGCAAATTAAAGCGTCGATTCGCGTTAATCGAGTGGCAAATAGTTTAGCAACTAAATTGGATAGTACTAGTTAAAAAGAGATAATAATTTTAACTTAGATTTCGTATTTTAATTAATTTTAGGTTAATTTTGCAAGGTGGCCAATAGAAAGCTAATTGAAACATGTAATTACAAACTTAAAAAAACACGCGACACAACACGTAGACAAATAATAATAATATTGTCCTTAATTGTTCAAAAAAAAAAAACAAAGATTTATTCCAGTACATCAAAAATTAAGGGCGAAGTTCAGCACTGCGGCAGACTGCTCTTCCACTTAACCCAGGGGTCGGCAACCTATTGAAACGGAAGAGCCAAAAATTACAATTTACAAAATTTCCCAGTTTTTAAAGAGTCACAAATAATTTTTGATTCAATATTATAGTTTTTGGCTATATACAGGGTCCTGCAACAGTGCGTCGGTTTTTCCTACATAGCTGATACCTGGTAAAAAAGATTGGTGGCTGCGGATCTACAGAAATTATTTTTGAATGTACAGGGTGTTCCATTTTTACGATGTCAATAAATAACTGTTCTTTTTAAATAGATCATCCTGCATATTTTTACTTGTTTCAATGCCATTTGTTCAAAGTGCTATTCTTTTTCAAATGGAACTACCATTTTATTTCGCTATTCGATTGTCTTTGGTGTTCTCTTCAATGTTTATAAGGGGTGCCTTGTGCTTAAATCCCGCAGTTTTTATGTTATTCAATATTTTTCACAAAAGTACCTACTCATTAATTAATTACGTGTTTATACATCGGAGTAAGCTGCTATAATAAAAAAAACAAAAGAATATCAGAAAGTAAACAAGTGTCACAAATTAGATAATTATTTGCTGCAAGTGTAGTTTTGATTTCGTAAACATTAATTATTAGATTAATTAAAAAGGCGAATTTCGAACAAATGAACTAATTTCTTTAGATAAATACGGAGAGCCGCAACTTTATATCAAAAGGTTGCCGACTCCTGACTTAACCCCATTACTACATGTATTTTTAGAAGAAAAGAAAAAAGTAGTTAACTAAACAATTTAAACAAAAAGAAAGAAAATATGAATGTGGAATATTGTATTGGGAGTCCATTTTTTTAAGAGGTCCGTGGATGGAACGCAATTCAGAACATCTCATTTCATTTTGAAATCGATATTGTTTTGTATTAGAATTAGTAGTCGTTAATGTTGTTTAATTTGTTTAGTTTATTTATAAAGTTATTTTGTGTTATTAAGATAAGGAGCATCTGGAAAATATTTGCGTAGTTTTTGTAAAACTTTATCCGGCCTGCGATACGAAGTGTTATCGCTCCGCACCCTAATTAAAGTTCAAGTTTGGAAAACACAGGCGCAGTTTGATTTTTCGAAGACGCGCATTATTTTGTTAAGGAAGGAGGACCAGGAGCGACGAAAGCAAACCGGTTGTTAATACCCTTCATGAAACTTTTATAAAAAAACACATTAAAGAAGTATTTGTAAGACATTTATTTAAAATGCACATCAATTATTTAAATAACTAACTTCAACATTATGATCTATAAATATTACAATAAATAACAAGAATAGATTATGCATTTTGCTGCATTTACACTGTATAAAAAAATTGTATCCTTTGATCGACTACACAGACTTTGTTCAAAATCGATAAAAATTAGAACTGTATGTCTTTTTTGTTTGTTTATATGCAGTTTGTAGAGAATCAGAATGACTATACAAGGCACATGAACATGATTATAAAAGTTTATATATCCATCGTAAAAATGTAGGTAGATATGGACATATGCAATTTTTAAAAAAATGTACGAGGAGTGTAGTCTAACTAACTTAAGCACAATTTGGCCTTTAAGACATTTATAACAAATACAAATACGGTGAAAACGGTTTACATCCCGTCCGGTTTGGGAATGTTTGTATTGTACGCTCTGATAACGTCGGCTTGCGAGACTGTACCACCTTCTTCTTGGGAAAAGGCGAACCCATCTAGTAAAATCAGACATTCACGTTTTAGACAACGCAACGCGTATTTACCGCGATTAACAAGCGTTAGCCAATTTTGGGTATTTACAAAGGTGACTCGACTCAAATTTCTATATACGTTAGCGTTAGTACACTCGGTGTGTGAAGCTGTTAGCAGGTGTAAACTATAGAAATACTTACGTGCCAATTCGACCTCCATATCAACTCTAGTGTGCGACTTACGAAAGAAGACGCTTCTCACGTTTTTCAGTAGGCGGGCGGTTTCCGACATCCTAGAACCATTTTTACCCGAACTTCTAACTTCTATTTTTTGTGTATAAGGGGCGACGCATTGTTATGCGTTTCGTTATGCACCTAACATGCCAGTGTTTGTTGAGTGACTACATTCACTAAAGCTCAACAAAAGATCTATTGAAGTTTATTATTTTTCAAAATGAGCTACAAATCACCAGCGGATGAAGAGAATTGGGATCACCAGAACTTGGTGACCATCTTTCGTTTGTCACTTCAGTGAATGCAGTAACACAAGTGAACTGTAGGTTAGACATACATGCAATACATAAATCGGATTGTGCAACTAAAGCCAAGCGAAATGCACTGTTAGTACATGCAACTGACCATAAACCTACTACGATGATTTACGTAAATATGAAAACTTGCAAATATGAGGTACTTACACATTGCGAATCGTTCCAGTGCATGCATTGTACTTGCAAAAACAACAAATTCACATTAATAATGAAACAAAATATAATATGCGGAAAATAAAATGTTTTAACACTATTTATTAGTATTGTCTACACAGGATACCTATTTATTAGTAAATGAAGATTAAAATTAATAAAAATAGTTACATCGAAATTATATCACAAGCAAATATTGTTAGTTGTAGTGAACTGTCGACTGCTAGGAAGTCAGTTGTATTTGTGCGTCTTTAAGACAATTAGAATCACTTTTATAGTGTGCGTAATCCACGCCGAGGACGCCATTTACGGGCGGTCTCAATTATTTGGTCATTAGATCGACCTAGTATCTTGTGAAGTAAATTAAAAAGACTCTGAACATGCTACACCCCTAGCTAAAAGTCTTTGTGCGCTTCTTCTCAAAAATTCGTTATTTTCAACGTGCTGGATTACTCTTAATCGAGAACTAAGAGTCACTGCGCTCTCCTCTCACGCGTTTGAAGATTCTCGATTGGCTGAAAGTGGGGAGTAATTCAGCAACAGAAAAATATTCGAATCTTCGCATACTCCTAAAGCTACATTGTATATATTTGGAATAATCGAAAGTTCACTCAATTGTGCTTTGTTGGTAGAAATTTCTAAAGTTACAATACACCCTAGAAATTAGTGGTGAAACAGTTACAAGTCATTCATAACATACAATAGTATACCATGAAAGTAAAGTATTTACAAAAACAATGGACAAAGTAAAATTGTGCATATTATTATTCAGTCACCCATGCCACTATAAACGGAAAGCAGCTTATTAGTTAACGTGTCTCATCAAATTGGAACAATAGTGTGCGTGATTTGTAAAAAAAAATTGGTCCCGTAACATTGGTTCGATATCTTAACTCTACTGGTATTGTCTAATCCCCTAAGGCTAGTATTTTTGGTTTTTAGCTATCGTTTGTATCCAAGGTGTTGAATGTCAAGACAAGTCGTCACTTGCCGGTGTTACGGTGCTGTTACATCGTCGCCAGCCTATATTGACTATGTCGACTCCATCTCTGAGAATAAATTTTATTCTAGAGAGTCAGAAAAATTTCAACTTCCGCTGTGTTACTGTCTCATTTTTGACACACTAGCGACCTCTATGATATGACGTCAATCGGTGCAATCAAGGTAAAGCGGTGCAAGTTCACTGGTCCATTTGTTTTTCACAGATCGAAGATATGACGCCATTTCATAGGAAAAATGAAAATCGACATGTTTAGTGGAAGCGGCGGACTTTTTGCCATTTTTCGGCGTAAGTTGCATTTTATGATGAAAGCAAGGCACTTAATTATTGGTAGAAGTAAGCACTTGAAGAATCAATTTCATCCGCAGTACCAAAGGATGCATCCCTTAAAATTATCAATTGTCAATTAAGTTTCTGCAACTCATTTGTTGCAGTTAATTCCTGTTCGGTTACATTACAACTAAAATCAATCGTAGTTATGGCTACAACCCTTAATCCCCAAAATTTTTTTAAAATTGTGTTTCAATGCTTCAAAATATACCTAATGTTATGGAACTTTTGTTATTTTGTGTACCATGTGTCCTATTTTGGTTGAGACTTGAAATTGCAGTGTATCTCAGCCGTTAAAGATAGAGATTTGTGGTTTTCGTGAATGTGTGCCACTTTTAATACCACAAACAGGATCAATCCAGCTACGTTTGTTTCAGATACAGGGTGAAAAAGAAAGCTTTGACTTTTTCGACTGTTGTATCTTACTACCCATGTTGTAAGATAGCAAAAAAGTGAAAAGTGACTATTTTAAATACGTGTACGTAAATCCAATGGTGTAGTAAAAAATAATTTTGGACCACCATTTCTGAGATTTGACTCAAAGTTGGTATTTGTTAAATCCAACACCCTATATATTTTAACGTCACTTTCTTGATTACATTGATGTCCAACCTGTATATTTTTATTTTAGTCATGAACTCAAAATAAAAACCTTATTTTTTATGATTTTTAAATAGTAGGCCATGGATTCATGGAACCAAGATTTTGTTTTGTTTATTGCGTATCCATGGTAACTAAAGCAGCCTGATACTAATCATTCGAATCAATAAAAATGGCTAATGATAGAAACATGTCATTTCAAAAAGTTGAATAATATGATACATGGCACTGTGTCCAAGGTAAGGATGTCTGTCATGGTGATCTCCGCAACCATGGTCAAATTAGGAAAAAGTTGCGCAATTAAACGGTTATTATCATGCTGTAGAGAACACTAGAAAATTCCGATTTCTTCCGAAGATATGCCTGAAAATCTAAAATTTGTTGATTTGGTTTTTTTCTGATGTTATTTGAACAGACACAAAAAAATAGAAAACACTTTCTCATTGTGACTTTTTGAGCTCTACAAGACACTGAGAGATTTTCAATACAACGTTATGTTTCGAAGAAATAATCAACTTTATTTTTTCGTATGACCAGTAAAAAATATACATACTGTATTGAGTAACATTTGGTAACATTTTTTATTTATTACAACGATGTACAGAACACAAAAAAAACTTGGTTTTAACAAGATGGTGCACCCGCGCACAACGCCCTAATCATGCAAATATATCTATCGGACAAATTTCCGGGAAAATGAAAAATATGTTCGATAGGTGTTCTCGCACCATTAGAGCGTTGTGCGCGGCTGCACCATCCCGTTGAAACCAACACTTTCCCACTTTTGTTTTTTTTGGTGTGCCGTATATCGTTGTATTCGTAATAAAAAATGCTACTCAATACCGTATGTACTTTTTTATGGGTTATATAAAAAAATAAAATTGTTGATGATTTCTCCGAAACGAAACGTGGTTTGAAAATCTCTCAACGCTATCTTATAGAGCACAAAAAGTGGCAAAGAGAGTGTGTTTTTTATTTTTTTATCTGTAATGTATTAATACCTAATGCTCTTCTGGCTGCTCCAGATGATAACATTTTAATTGATAAACGAGTAGGTATGTATAACCCGTCATTGGCACTACTTTTGGGGGAAGTGCAGCTATACACTGTGTCCCAGATGAGGATGTCTATCATGGGGATTTCAGAAACCATAGAAGATATGAAGATGGTCAAATCTGAGGCAAGAAATTTGTTGATTTCGTGTTTATTCTTTTCTGATGTTATTTGAGCAGATACAAAAAAAAAATATTTTCTCATTGTCACTTGTTGAGTTTTACAAGAGACGTTTCATTTTGGAGAAATCATTATCAACTTTATATTTTATAAGGCCCGTACAAAAAGTAGATACTATATTGAGTAGCATATTGTCCTACGAATAAAACAATGTACGGCACACAAAAAACAAGTCAGAAACTGTTGGTTTCAACAAGATGGTGTACCTACGCACAATGCTCTAATAGTGTAAGAATACCTATATTGCACAAATTTCGTAGAAAGTGGAAAAAAATCGATTTGCGCCGACAAAAAGAAAGCTCGCGACTTTGCTATTTAGCCTTTTCCTGATTTGTTCTTTTCTTCGTTTATGAAGAATTAGTTATTTGTTCAATATATTATATATCATATGCCAAAAATGTGTATAATAAGTGTTTTAAACAAATATATTCACTTTTAAAATTGTATGAGCCCCTCCCTACACCAAATCCTAAATCCGCCACTGAAACGAAATAGTTTTTCTGGCATACCACGTATCTCCTGTGTATAATTATATAAAAAAAACATAGGTTGTGATACATCAATGTAATCAGGAATGCATAAAATTGACGTTAAAATATACAGGGTGTTGCTTTTAAAAAATACCAACTTTGGGCCAAATCTCAGAAACGATAAAGCTCGTGCATTTGCACAATTGAGATGATGTAACGTATAATCCAAAATTTTATTTTGATCCTACGGAAAAAATTAGATCCCAAAAAGTCAAACTATTCGCTCTCACTCTGTACCTCAAAAGCAAACGTAGCTAGATTGGTATTCATTTTCACAAAAAGTGGCACAAGGTCGCGAAAAGGCAAGTCCTAGTGTCTATCATTAAAAACCGCCTAGATACACTGCAGTCTCAACCAAAATAAAACACGCGGTATATTGCAAAGTTCATAGAAACAGGGAGAGAGTAAAAATCGTGATATGACTTCAGCAAAATAAGCTCTACGTTTATGCTAAGGGTAAGTTATTGTGAACATGCTATATAAAATCACCACAACGATGCAGAGTATTTATTTATCTCGTGTACACAATGTAAAACCACTTCCTGTATACAGGCTGAATATAAAGTGTAACATATAAGTATGGAAAACCCGTTTTTCAAATAACCCAAGGATCTAAATGAAATCCGATAAAAGGAACCATCCAGAGAGAATCATAAGTCTGAAAAATTTCAAAAATCACAAAAATATTAAGAATCTGAACAGCTTTATGAATCTGATGGACTTGAGGAATCTGCGAAATCAGAAACACTTGAGGAGTATCAAAGAGCAGAAGAGCCTTATGCTTCTTAAAATCTGAAAATTTCAAAGAAAAAATTGAGGGGAATCATATGAAACTAATTAAAAAATCTGAAGGAACTTATGAATGCGGAGAAGAAACGGAAAAATTGCAAAACTGAAAAATCCAAAAAGTCTGAGAATTCGAAATAACTGGAAAAATGTGAAAATCTAAAGAATCTAAACGACTAAAGCTGAATTGTTAAGATATACAAGGCTGTTGCAATTAAAAGATACCAACTTTGGGCCAAAGAAATCTTTTCTAAAATGCCGATTTCTAACCAAGAAGCATTCAATATGCTGGCGATATATTTTGAGTGTTTTCAAAATGCAACCATTGCTGCCTGCATCTTTTCTATTTGCGTTATCCCAATCGACCATAAACCATCGCCGCCAGCATATTAAATAAATGCTTCTTGGTTAGAAATCGGCATTTTAGAAAAGATTTCTTTGGCCCAAAGTTGGTATCCTTTAATTGCAACACCCTTCTATCATCATCATGTTTCATTTGTTTAATTTTCCAAGGCCTACCTAAAAGTGTCCTTTTCCAAACAATCTTTCGCGCCATCGACAAATACCGGAAATACGTTAAATAAGATACAATTTAAGCATTCTTATTAACTAATTAATTAATCTCAATTTCTCAATATTTGAGGTTAGGAATGAGAGTTTGAAAAACGGTTTTCACTGGCCTCTTTGGGTGATATTTAGCTACTTTTTCATAAAGAAAAAGTCATATTCCATTTGATTTTTTTAGGATTTTGGGTCAGTGTTAAAACTAGCCCCCTGGCGGAAAAGGATTCCACTAATACCTACGTTTGATGAAGTTTTCCATTGTATATACAGTGTGTAAAGGGATGGAGTATACAAGAGGGAATTTTTGTTTAAATATTGATTTATGAAAAAAATTTATTCTTCATGATATTTTTTGCTTGCTTTGAAAGTACCAATAACGTTTCGATAATCTAAAATTTATTTATAGAAATCTGGAAAAATAATAAAACTAATTTTTTTTATTGAATGTTATTCTACATTATCATTAAGATAGAGTATTGCTATCAAATCACAAACAATCGAAACGTTATTGGTACTTTCAAAGCAAGCAAAACATATTATGAAGAATAAATTTTTTTCATAAATCAATATTGAAAAAAAAATTCCCCATCGCTTTACACACTGTATATACAGGGTGACAATTTGAAAACTTACCACCTCCCATATCTTAGTAAATAAACGAGATATTTAAAAAAATCAAAATCCGTTTCGGTAATTCGGAGGGGGAATCACAATGACATAGTTGGCGACGCACCCCTCCAACCCCCTGCGCCCCAGCCACCCCAACTTTTAAATCTTAAATAGTGACCCCCCATGTGTGATACGTCGTTGGAAAGCTCTGAAAAAATGCTTTCCAACCATACCAAATAGCATTACATTTAGGTTAGTAATTATCGTGCAAATCAAAAAATAAACTAATATGATACATTTGAAATCTGTCGTATTTAAAACGCAACCGGCGAACATAGACGAACTAAGACAGAGAATAATTCAAGAATGTCGAAATATTGCAAAACCAACATTTGAAAAGGTTCGACAAGAGTTTGAGAATAGATTATAACTGGCGATCAAAAATGAGTTGCTGTCGAGTCGGCTTTGGAAGTTCAAGTTAAATACGATTTTCCATGTTTATTTTTTGATTTGCACGATAATTACTAACCTAAATGTAATGCTATTTGGTATGGTTGGAAAGCATTTTTTCAGAGCTTTCCAACGACGTATCACACATGGGGGTCACTATTTAAGATTTAAAAGTTGGGGTGGCTGGGGCGCAGGGGGTTGGAGGGGGTGCGTCGCCAACTATGTCATTGTGATTCCCCCTCCGAATTACCGAAACGGATTTTGATTTTTTTAAATATCTCGTTTATTTACTAAGATATGGGGGGTGGTAAGTTTTCAAATTGTCACCCTGTATATTAGATTTAATAAAAACGAGTAGTTACCTTACGGTGTTTGGTAATATCTAAAATTTTTATTTATTAAAAATTTTATATATTAGAAAACACCATAAGGTAACTCGAATCCACTAAATTAACTATATCGGGTGATCAAAAAGAACTGCAGACAGTTTAAATTGGGCGCTTTAAGTTTTTAATGTTTTTTACTTAAGGAATTAGCAAACAGTTTAGAAGGTAGTTTATTTATGCATTAGTGATTAAATTGATCCACCACTGCTTTTACATAAATGACATTTGGTATGTTACCAACTTTATAAATGTTTAGTTTTACAGGAAATTCAATCTGTCCGTACTACTTTTCGATCACCCGGTATTGGTTGATTCTCATTGCCCAAGGAATGCTCTTTTCGTCCATACCAAATTTGTTAAAATCAGTCAAACGGTTAAGAAGTTAAAGCAGGTTATTGCAAAAACAATTGAACGCCCCACACCATCATTGATTTTGAAATAATTTAGTTTTTGTTTTTACGAAAATGATAAACTGGTTCTCTTTAAAAATGTGAAAAATAGAATGTTTAGTTTATTATGCGAAATTTAAAGAAAATACAATTTTTAAATTTAAGTTGGCAGTTACGCCCTCTAGTGGTCATTTTTAGAACTTGAAAATATTTTCCAGCGATTCTTTATATGGCCGAGGAACAGTCTTATTGGGTCACAGGGTGGTTCACCATTTAAATATCCTTTCTGTGACTAAAATGAATGTAGTTTAAATTTTTGAAAATAACCGAGATATTACTGAAAAACACAAATTTGGTCATCATTTTACACGCATTTTCGGTGCGCCAGGTGAAATTGGTTTCGACTGTCTATGCTTTCATATAAAATGCAATTTTTTACCTACCGAACCCACTACTTGTACAGTAAACAACAGTTGTTCATTTTCTAAGAAAACGATCTAAGAAAAAAAATATTGTTCCAAAGTGTGAAACACACTGCGCGTGCGTAAGAGTGCAAACAAAAAGTCGTTAGTTAAAAAAATATAGCCATTCTATCGTTAGTTTTAAAATCATTACTCACGAGCTTTTCGCGTCTTTGCTAAACAAACTCGTCGGATCCGTTTGTCTAATTTCGCTTTCGCGCATCGCCTCCGTAAGACTCTTTCGTACAGTTCCATAAACGCTAAAAAACAGCACAATAAAGGAATTCAACCCGATCAATTTACTTACACCTTAAATACAAAATCTGGTGTCATTGTGACCATTGGAATAAGTAATAATCCTAACCAAAACACAGCCGAAGAAAATAGCATAATGTACACTCCGCACATTACCGTTCCAACCGGTATCACTGGCCAAAAGTTACTGCAACAAACAAATGAGTCCTTTCGGTTAGCTATATGTACGACAAGCTTCACCTATATATTATCACAAATAAGAACCATAAGACGATGGATCCCCAAATAGCACAGTGTGTAGGCCACGCCCAATAGTTCGTAATTAAACCCGCCTTATAGCATACAGTTACGACAACATACTAAAAATGAGTAATAAACATGAGCCTTGAATTATCAACCAACTCACTGTATAAACACAATTTCCCATTAATAAATAGCCCCCCTCCATTCCGTTCATCCAAACAACATCGTGCTTGGTGGCTAATAGAGAGAGCCAAAATAGTAAAGCAGAATGTATCATACCATTTACGACCCATATCCAGAACACCTTGACATTGAACAACTCCCCGCTTTGAGACGGTTTGTACAGCTTCGGATACTTTAACATGACGTCCGCGCCGCAACTCTTATCGAAGAGCCCTAGCGCTAAAGGCGGTAAAGCGGTAAAAATAACGTTGTACAGGCCGATGCTCCACCGTTCGAACAGAATCTGGCCGGACCATCCCGAATAGATCGCAAACCAAAGTTCGATGACGTACAAGCAAATGTTCTTATAAAAACTGTACAAAATCAATTTACACATGCGCAAGTAATTCCACGCCCCATGCACCAATATGAGCCTTAGCAAGAAACGGAACTGGGCTATGCTGTAATCCGAGGCGCAAGCCGCCTGCAAACCTTCCTGTCCGGATATACCGACACCGACGTGCGCCTTTTGAATCATAGCCACGTCGTTAGCGCCATCACCAATCGCCAACGTGACCGTCTTCGTATACTGAGTAATATATTCGACCACCTCCGCCTTCTGCATGGGCGAGACCCGACAACAAATGACCACCTTACACGAAATACAGAGCTTAATAAAATCGGACCGTAGGTCGCAGCTCAACGCGTATTTCAACGTCTTGCCCTCTACGATTAGCGCGATCTCATTTTGCTTTTCCAAGTTCGCGCCCAGATCGTCGTTGTGCCTCAGCACCGCCTCCCTGGTACCCTAAAACGAGACGTTTTACAAACATAAATTGCCGAAATCCCTCATACGTCTAAGCTGTCATCGTTTAGAATAATAAGCGGCATCCCCTGATAAAGTAGCCGGCTAGAATATCCGATATTAATGGCGGTCTCCTGTTTGTCGCCAGTTAAAACCCAAATGTTAATGTCGGCCTTGAGTAGTGCGGCGATCGTTTCCGGAACGCCGTCCTGAAGTTTGTCCTCGATCGCGGTCGCGCCTATTAGCCGCAGCTTCTTCTCGATCAAGTCGGCCGCCTTTTCGATGTTCGCCTCGCGATTATCGATGGAGGTGCACGCCTTGTGGTAGATCTGTTTCCATTTGTCGTAGTCTTGCTGATTTAAATTGGCGACGGCGCAACATAAAGTACGTAGACCTTCTGTCGCGAATACTTCTAGCTGTTGTAATAGGACGTCTCCGTATTCGGTGGTGGAATTCTCTAGTCGTTCATATATTACCTAAATATGAAAGATATGCGTTACAACAAAGGAAATGTTCTCTCGGTATTTGTACTTTAATGCCAGAAACGCTCAACCACGGTTTATTGCTGGGCTACAATTGTCTTGTATGATCTTTGCTTCTAAGGTCAAAGGCAAAGAACATCAATCTCTTTAAATGGTGATGGTACAAACCAGCACGTGAACACATGAATGGTAAACAAAATTTTAATCCAACCAAAGGAAATGGTATTACTGAAATTAAATGCAATTTTCCCATCAGTGAGAAAAAATAACCAAAATCCTTTGTTTGGATTTGATTCTTAACATTAAATACAATACAAAATGTGTTTTATGCTAATAATAATTTTCACGGGTCGATTCCTTTAGGAATATTAAAATTACTTCAAACAAAATTACAAATTTCTAAAAATAACCCACCAATTTACACAACATCGAATCTTTCTCTCCTTGGAAATGCCACTCCCTTTAAAAATATGGAAACAAATCGCTTCGAGACGTGATTATGCACAGGAATAATAAGCCACTGTTCCGCTGGGTCGATATTAATTTTGCCCAATTTATTAACTAGGATTTATTGCGGGAAAAATGCAAATGCAAAACTCCCTCCCTTGTGCCGTTGTATACAACATTCTATTTATCGCACAATAAAGTCACTCAACTTTGAGGAACTTGCTTTTAACTAGCAGTTACTGTTGGCAATCCGAAAAAATCCTTGTTCATCACCAATAAGTGTCAATTTATTTAATCACGCTTTTGTTTGACAAGTGTTTCACGACTCGAAAATGTTCCTTCGCGTAAATTTTAACACACGTAAATACACGGCCTTGCTATGAATTGGGCTTAACATCCGTTTTAACATAAAATTAAGCTTGCAGGTAACTCGTACTTTGTCACCAATCTGAGTCCCATTACCGCTTTGTAACGACGCGATTGAAAAAAAAACAGCAACATTCTCGTTGGGAATTTTTTTTCATTCAAAATAAAGCTGGTGTAACTTTATCGCTACTAAATAAACCACAGTGTACCGCTGTCCTCCCCGTCCTAGATCAAAGTATGGTTAAGTTTATGTAAGTAAACAAATCATAAAACTTTTATGATCAGTTTGTTCACGATTTTAGCAATCATGATCATAAGATCACACTTCGAAAGAACACCTTAACAACACTAGCAACAAAAAGATCCAATAGGAGAGCATCCAAAAAGTGGATGAAGAGATGCTGTAAATTGTGAATTATGACTATTTCATCTTCTATTATGTTCTCTATTCCACCTTCAAATCTCCCCTCTATTTCACCTTTAATTTTGCCCTGTACTTCACCTTAAAGTTTGATTAGCATCGCCGGGTCTACGTCTGACCTTCAGTGACCTCCAATTCCATAACGAATCCCATCGTTTGACCTTCACCTTGTGGCACAGAGGTCAAATAATTATGGCCTTGCTTGAACTTGGAATTGAAGAAATCGACCCAGAACAAAGATGTGAAACGGAATTCAATTTAAAAAATGCCTCAGAGCAGCACTAAATAAAATTATAAAACACAACAATAGAACAAATTAGAATCGATTCCTGCCACAGGATGGAAGCATCCGATTTATCAGATTGGGGTCGTTTTAAAACGCTGGCACATTTATATAAAAAATATTAATGCGTGTAGAACGTTATTTCAGTCACCAAAAATAATGATGGGACACCTTGTATATGGGAATAAAGTTGGTTTATTGTATTTGAATTTGTTAACTCAGTGTCCACTTTTCTTTTTAGAATTCTTTTTTCTGATTACATTGATGTACAACCTGTATATTTTTATTTTAGGCATGAACTAAAAATAAAAACCTTATTTTTTATGATTTTTAAATAGTAGGCCATGGATTCATGGAACCAAGATTTTGTTTTGTCTACGTCTGACCTTCAGAGACCTCCAACTCCATAACGAATCCCATTGTTTGACCTTCACCTTGGAGCACAGAGGTCAAATAATTAAAGTGTTATCCCGAGAAATTTTGGTGTAGTCGATTTTTGGTAAAAAAAGGAAGATTATACACTGCCTTTTTTTGAGGCCCGAAAAAAAAATTGTCTCAGATCGACCCGGAAAAAAATTTTTCTTTTGGAATGTGGCCTGTAGAATCCACAATTTCAAACAGTTCCAAGATAGGGCTACTAGTTCAAAAGTTACAGCCCTTTGAATTTTCTTTCGAAATTGGTTTCTAGTCTATAACTTTTGATTGAGAAGTCTGATCGAAAAAGTACAAATTGTTTTGGATTCTACGCACCAAAATTAATAAGAAAAAGTGTTTTCCCGAGAAATTTTGGTGTAGTCGATTTTTGGTGAAAAGGGAAGGTTATACACTACCTTTTTTTGAGGCCCGAAAAAAACACAACAATAAAACAAATTAGAATCGATTCCTGCCACAGGATGGAAGCATTCGATTTATCAGACTGGGGTCGTTTTAAAACGCTGGCACAATTATATAAAAAATATTAATGCGTGTAGAACGTTATTTCGGTCATCAAAAATAATGATGGGACACCTTGTATATGGGAATAAAGTTGATTTATTGTATTTGAATTTGTCAACTCAGGGTCCACTTTTCTTTTTAGAATTGTTTGTAATTGCGTATTATTTTCTTGTTTAAATTTGATCGCTTTTGCAATTTGTTCAATTTAATTGCTTTAAGTGAGACACATCTGGTCGTTTGCGATAAGTTTTTATTGGACGATTAAAGCATGTCAGAAGAGATAAAGCATTTTCAAAAATGACGATCTTTGGTATGCTGTTCCAAGTGAGAACCCAGAACCTTTCTTGCAATAAGTTGAAAAAATTTGTGGTTCACTTCCGAAAATAAAAATTACACCAAAATCTGCTCGAGATTATACCTACCGTATCTGCGCCTTTGCATAGTAATTTTATCTCGTTACGGGAGTCCCGAACAATGACGGACATTCGCTTGCGACTCGACGTAAACTCGATCACATTCAAAATTTCGAACTTCTGTATCTGACCCAAAGCGTCGATCTCAACGGTATCCGGAGTGCGACTTAGAAACGAATACCCAAACTTACGAGCGCCGTACACCAGAGCGCGTTCGTCTACAAAAACAAAGACATTACAATGGCCGCCTAGTTTTTCCGTTCCCAACCTGGCGATGCCGCATGGTAAATTATACCGAAAGGGTCGTCCTTCGGCTTTTCGGGTACGACCGTATGACAGACGGATAACAAAATTAACATCTCGTGTAGCAACTCCGCATTCTTGTGATTGCTTTGAATGTGCTGTAAAACGCAACAATAACGCCTTCGTCTACTCACAGTGACAACTCACCTTAATCGCGAGACTTTCGTCGACATTGTAAATCGTATTACCGATTGCGCATTTTTTAAACTCCATAATGTTTCGGGTGAGTGTGCCCGTCTTATCCGAAAAGATGTACTTGACCTGCCCAAGTTCTTCGTTCAGGTTGGAGGTGCGAGCCATGGCGGGCGTGTTGGTCTCTGCGTGGTACATTTCGATATCCATGTTAATAAAGATTGCCTGAAGAAAAGTTCGCCTTATTTTCCCCTTTTGTAATTTATAATATGAAAATTTACCAACTCACTTGTATAAACCGTACTACTTCGAGCGTCACTTGTAACGATATCGGTATTAGATTGTTAAATAAGATGATGAACGTCAGCAAATTGTACAAGAAGTTTTGATTTATCATGTCTGAAAGCGAAATATGGAAATTAGTGGTTAAACACCGAAAAGCCAACCTTCCAAGCCGATGTACCAGTCCTTGTCCGCATGCCTGTTGGTCCACACCTCGTTGCACGCCGAACAAATTATGCACATTGTAAGCAATATTCCGAACAATAGTAAAATCTGGATGTTCGTTAGTTTATCAATGCTGGACCTTTTCAACGGTGCCGTAGTCGAATTTCGCATTAATTTAGTTTCGTGCCCGGTATAGATAACCAAACCGAAAACCCAGGAAGTATTTCTCAGCATGGCGCCGCGCAACAAGATCTGATCCGGACCTATCGCCTGCGCTCTGAAACCTACCGTATGAAACAAAAGCGAAATCGTTACCAAAAATACACTTACACCTTATTCGTTTCCTTTAAAACGCCGGAAAACTCGTACAAATGCCTGTTGGGCGGCTCGCATTCCACAGTTCCCGTCAAATTGCACAGCTCGTCCTTTGATGTTAATACGGATGTGCATTGAAGGGCGCGTCTGACCTTTAAGTTTGTTTCGCCGTCCAAATTTGCGGTCTCTATAAAACTCATGCCCTGGGGTTCACTGAAAGTGTCAATAAAGAATAGTAGGTATATTATTTTAAGCGGAGGAGAAGTATGACTTTTCATGGCGCGCCTGAGTTTAACCGCCGAACGCAGTTTTGGTGTAGTCGATTTTTGGCAAAAAAGGAAGGTTATACACTGCCTTTTTTTGAGGCCCGAAAAAAAAATTGTCTCAGATGGACCCGGAAAAAAAATTTTCTTATAAGATTGTGGCCTGTAGAATCCACAATTTCAAACAGTTCCAAGATTGGGCTACTAGTTCAAAAGTTACAGCCCTTTGAATTTTTTTTCGAAATTTGTTTCTAGTCTAAAACTTTTTATTGAGAAGTCTAATCGAAAAAGTACGAATTGTTTTGGATTCTACGCACCAAAATTAATAGAAAAAGTGTTTTCCCAAGAAATTTTGGTGTAGTCGATTTTTGGTCCGAGATCGACCGGGAAAAAACATTTTAGTCATATAATCAAATGCTTAGATCTTATAGAGACGGATTCACAAATAACAAAAATAATTTCAGCTTTCCACTTTATTTTAAAGATCTAAATGATCGTGGTAATTCAAGTATATACTGTTGATGGTTTGTAATCCTAATCTATTGTAGTGAATATGCAAGAAATCCCGAGCGCCATGAGAGATTAGTCATGGCCGATATGAAACTAACGCGGATTTGACGCATTCTTTCCGCGAAATATGACGTGTTTGTTTTAGAATATTCGGAAGCGTTCGGGAGCACTCGAAAAAACATTCTATATAACCAAATCGAATTGTGTTTCGAGTTAGTTCCAACATCGATGCGCTCGTGTTATGTTATAAATTGTCAGTGATAAATATAAATACTTAACTGTTATAAATTAATCCATTTCAAGACAAGACATTGACTAACAGGCGGTACGAAAATCAATTTTCGGTTGTTGGCTAAATTATAAGCTAAATTTTTAAAATGGTCTAGTAGGCCCTGGATTTATGCCGATAATCTCTTGTTTTCATTAGTTTTGACAGTTCTCATTTGATATTGTACCTTGTGTTTTCACATACAGCGTGTTTAAGAAATTCGCGCCCACGGATAATGGGGGTTTAATTCTAAGACAAAGCTGAGTCGAAAACCCTATTACACTTTTGCCATACGAGAAATGCGTTTCAAGATACAGAGGTTGCAAAAAATAAGAATTTGCGAAAAATTTGTTAGTGGCCTACTGTGATACGTGCAATTTACGAATATTGGCCAACAACAATTATTAGAATAAACAATATTTTAGCATGTTAATGGCATTAGGTCTACAGGACATTATTATCAAAAGTTGATGGTTTTTGGAAGAGCTAAAAGATGACAGAAAAATATACAGGGTGTTTAAAAAACGCCCTGTAAGCTATTTTTTTAATGTTTCATAGTACATTAATTTATTTGACTTTTATTCACCATGTACAGTGAAATTATAACACCCTGTAGATTGGTAACGAAGCGTTTTCGGACCTGTTTAGATGAATTTTTAGTCATAGTGCAAGATCCCAGGGCTCCCAGAGCTCACTTATTTTCTGATGGACACAATATGTACAATGGAGTACCTAGTATTAATATGCAGCGTGTGTCCTATTTTGGTTGAGACTGTGGTGATCTCAGCTGATTTTAAAGATAGAAATTTGCGGTTTTCGTGACCTTGTGCCACTTTTTTGTGAAACTTTCACAAACAGAATTAATCTAGTTTCATTTGTTTCAGGTACAGGGTGAAAACGAAAAGGTTGGTTTTGGGATGTTATCATACCTTACAACCCATGTACGATAGAAAAAACTATAAAAACTGTTTCTTTTAGATATTTTTACGTAGAATCCAGTGGCGTAGTCAAAACCGTTTCTAATATTTGACCCAATGTTGGTATTTTTTAAATAGAACACCCTATATATCTTAACGTCAATTATTTGCATTCGTTATCCTGATTACATTGATGTATCACAACCTTTGATATAATTATATATTATAATTATTATATCATGTTTTTAACAATTTTGAAATGACATGTTACAGCGGGCAATTCTTATTGATTGGTGTCAGTCATCATGGCTTACTATTTAAAAACCGTAAAAAATAAGGTTTTATTCATAGCTAACATTTTAAAAAATATAGATTGTGATACATCAATGTAATCAGAAAAAAAAATGCACAAAAATTTACATTAAGATATACAGGGTGCGGCATTTAAAAAGAATTAACTTTGTGCCAAATCTCTGAAACAGTGGTTGAACAATTGGAAACTGGATCCCACGTAAAAATATCTAAAAAATACACAAATTTGATGAAATTTTTACGAAACGTTCTTGGATTGATCCTGTTCATTCATTCATTGAGCGTTAGGGTTGCCACATGGCTGGGATTCACAATAATATCGCGAATTGATTCTACTTAAAAAATGTAATGGGGGAGGGGAGGCGGCTTGTTCATTGATGAAACGCTTAAAATGTTGAGCTATATGAAAAATAATGCAAACACATCTTTGCTAAATGTGAGAATATCATGCCACTAGAGAACGCTTATCGAGAATTAATGTCAAATAAAGTACCTAACAAATTACAGTTTTATCATCTCATTATCTACCAACTGCCTTTTGTTATCAGTCGTCCTACACATACCTAGAGGATAAAACAATGAGATCTGCCGGAAAAAAGTGATCATTCAGAACTTTAACGATATCCCCAACAACCACGTTCAACCATCGTACTTGCGTCCACATGCCATTCCTCAGCACCTCGACGTGCCTATAATTCGTCTCGTCATCTGCTCGGTGCCTTTTCTGAAACGAGACGTGAATTATAAGTAAAACACGTTCCGAGTCCTTACAATGTCCTCGACGATTTCTTTAATGGCGGAAACGGACAATATAAATATCAGCGGTACGAGGGTGGTATAACGTCCCGTAGGCGAAACGTCGGGAATCTGTTGCAGGAGCGCTATGAGCAAGAAGAAAATGTTGGCCCATCTTCTGAATTGCTCGAATAAAAATAACGGGATGAAACGAATTACACTAGAAAAAGAACCGGGTTATTCGAGTCTAAGGAAATGAATTACCGACCTGTATTTGGCAGTCGAGATGTGGTTGCTAACAAATTTGTGTACGGGAGGTTGAGTCCGGTTGATGAATATCACACGATGTTCCATTGGATCCTTGCCGACGACCACCGTTTCGGGTACCATTTCCGTAGGTGGAATTCCATCTTGCTGATCTGAAGGTAAAATATGATTAGAGGCCGAGTTTCTCAATGTACGCATAAGCTTTTTTACAGCGTGACACTGAAGGTTACAAAGTGACCTACACAAAATTGTATAAATATACAACCTTGAACTCCAAAACAATTACCTACGGCTACCTACTTATTCGTAATTTCTGGCGGAATAGGCGCCAGGGTGTAGGATGCGAAACGATGAGGAAATCAACATGTAGGTAGTTCCGCAATTCAATACTTACGCCCAGTAATTGCCGCCCCAATCGTTCGCAAAAATTTATAAATGTTAGTGTAGAATGCCATTATGGTAATATCATATTAATTGGAAGATTCTATTGTGCTAATTTTACATTTTCAAAATCCATATGGGCACCGCTCGGAGGTCTCACATCGCGACGCCGACGGTAATAGCAAAATCGTATCGATTTAGTGCACACGGAAACGCGCGCGCGTCGAGTTCGCTACATTAAGTGACGGTAATAGGAATAATTAATGAAATTAAAGGCGCTCTAGTATAACTGACGAAATGGGCGACATTAACAACGGATGTGGTAGAAGTTTGATAACAATATATAGCGAGTTTCTCAATTTATCACATTAATAAAGTAATATTGCGCCATCCTATTCAGGGGTCAGAACTTATAATCAATCAAAACTCGGTTGAATTAAAAATAAAATTAGGTTTAAGCTTATTTTCGTTTCGTAGCGGTCAATTGAAACATCTATTGCTGTAAAATCAAATTTTGGATTTTAATTTGCGGCCCCGCCTCTAGGGGGCGCCCAATAAAACGGTGCCAATATAACTAAAGACGGCATAGTATATTTGGTTGATTTACTAATAAACTACAAATGCGTTTTATCAGACACAACGGTTCGCCGGAACTCAAAATGTGATCCAAAAAAATGTTAGTGAAGCAAATGTTTGCGCAAAAATTCGGGACAGTGTACCTATTAATTTCCATGCAGTCTTCCATCCATAAACAAGACCGAAAAAATGACGCACGCTATTGGTAGAGTTCTCATTTGTATTTCTTTCCAATTGCTTCCGAATCCTTCTTTATTCTTAGCATTGTTGCCACAGGATTTCATCTTTATCTCGCTTTCTATACTAAGTGCGAGATCTACTGAAATATTAATGCTGTAATATGCTCTTCTTTTCCCAAGAGCAAAATTCAAACTAGATGAGAACACAACACAACAATCGGAGGAAATCTAAATAACTCCCACTTTAACTCGGTCCGCTTTGTTTTTCTACCTCCCAATTTGCTCGCGCGATTTTCACACGAATCGCGAACCCTAATCTTCCAATTTGTAAAGGAAATCTATTGACCTCCATTAGAAATTGATTACCTACTTGCATTTCCCGCTGAGGATTACCCTGAATTTTCGTTTGGGAGTGCCTTTAGGAAGACCCCAATCTGATTTAAAAACGCACCATGTATTTCTGGCCCTAATATGTTTAAGAATAGTAATTATTGTTATCAGGTGCTGGAGGTGCAATCAATCCACAGGAAATGGATAATAAATGGTTGTAAACAAATAGTAAAATAGCGCTTTAAAATTTAATCGCCAATAAAAGCTAACTTTGTTATTATTAATGTAACCTGCCAATCAAAGAAATTGGTACAGTCACCTTTCATGTGCTTTGATTGATGATAAAACAGACAGAAAAGCATACGAGAACTTTATTTTCTCTCACCTAATACTTTGCTAATGGTGGTGGTGCAGCTAATACTAAAATGGCGCACCAAAATCCAACCAAACATACAAAGAAAATAGCCTTTCATAATAATAAACCATATTGTGATTATGGCACTTCAACTTTCAATCAATTGTCAATTATAATGTCATTTGGTGTCGTCCATTTTTTTGGGTCGCATAATTTCAAACTTTCAAAATTACAAAAAAGCTAGGCGATTTTTGGAAATTCTTTCAATTTCGAAAAAAACCTGGAAACCGATCTCTCTTTACTGAGACCTCTAACTCTTTTATTGCAGATATGTTGAGACCGAAGGTTATACTTATTTTAGATTCAATATGGATCCCGCTCGGGGCATCTTGGTTAGCGTCGAGTTGTTAGCGGAGACCCGCACCCTGGAGGCACTTGTTCTTGGATAAAGATATAAAGACATCATTTGAATATGGTAACGCTAGAACATGCACGAGTTAAACCCTGATGATACATAATCAAAAGTGCCAAAACGGTGACAGTAGGTACCTTATGAGATCGAAGGGACTTTAGCGCATTTATTTCGTTGAGACCTTTAATAATAATAATAATAATAATAATAATTAGTAAGGCAACATGTACCACAAAGACAGGTCCACCGAATAAAGTTACACGTCCTAGCACAGTTAAAAAACACAAAACTCCTTCTTCACATAACCACACCACGTTATCACAACCCACTCGTATTCAACCCAAACGCAAAGCCAAAGAAATACTTACACAATAAACTCTATTTAATAAAATTACAGGAATTATTATAATGATATTTTTGTTTTGTTTTCTTCTTTCCTGATAGCGTTGGCTATTGTGGCCATCAATTAGCTATGTTGATAAGTATGAATTACATACTATCCCTAGATTTCCAATGTCAGTGTGTGAATTTTTACTTTAATTTTTATTTTTTTATTTTTTTAGAACCCTACATAACTTCACCAGACACAGACACAGACACTAATCGTTACTTGATTTGAATCCGTGCGATAAGTTAACCAGGCTAGACCTGAGTTCTCACAAGATACACCTACCATAATAATAATGTCTTTTATTAAGTTACATACACACAATTACAGTAAAAAATAAACTAAATGACATATTTCAAAATTAAAGTAATGCAACTTAATGGGCGAAGTTCAGTTAGTGCAAGCGACTGCCTCCAATTCTGCTCTTTCACTTAACCCAATCATTTAATAAATTATTACAGAAAAGATTTAACACAATACACAATGGCACAATTTATGACTCAAATAATAATAATACTAAAAAAAAAAAAAACAATAAAATAAAAAAAAATGTGTTGAAGCGTTAATATACTTCCTATGATGTGGAGTACTTTAATTAAAGTACCATGAAGAATACCAGTTTTCCCCTCCAACTCACCATTTTGATAAGGGCAAGAGAAGGGGATAGTTGGTAGAAAAACAGTTCCTTTCGTTGATACTTTTAACTAAAATACTATTAAAAAATAAAACCAATTTTTTTTCTAATCCCCCCCCCCCTCAAAAAGGAGTCTCGAAAGAAAGCTTAGTTTGTATAAACCAATTCCTTTTGTTACAATACCATGAAGTGTAAAACGCTCCCCCCCAACCCATTTTCAAAAATTTTACATGGCACCACTAGAGGCGTGCGTATGCACTATCTCAGACAGAGCTTCAAGGTATAGGCATTGTTTAAAATATTTCAACAATGGTATAGGCTACCTCTCGGGCTACCTATAGCAAAAATTTCAGAACTCTAGAACAATTCCCCAGAAAGTACTACACAACCGCAGAATTGGGTCAGGACGGACGGACGGAAAAAACCTCGGAAAAAACTCAACAATAGCACATTTTTGTAATTCTTAAACATGCGCTAAATAGAGCACCTCATTAGAAATTATATTTCACTTTGCCCAATCGTGATGGTTATCCATCTCAAATCACCAAGACAACATCTATGATTCCCAATCGATCTCAGATAAGTTGCTTCTCGCTATACAGAGTGTTCCCAAATATGATGTATCTACGGAAGGGACTAATTAATTATAATTTCACAATTTTGTTTTTTCTTCATATCAAATGCGACTGTCAAAACTAATAAAAACAAGAGATTATCCAAATAAAGCCAGGGCCTACTGCAATATTTTAACAATACTTTCATTTAGCTAATTAACAACAAAATTGAATTTGATTTTTTTTCCTCGATAAGGGTAGCAGATAAGAAACAAGTATAAATTGTGCACAACTCTATGGTTGGTAGAAATTAATTCCTTACGTTAAGACCTTTCATTAGAGTACCATGAAGAACAAAACTAGTTCCCCCCCCCCTCCACCTCCGGCCCGTATTTTGATAAGAGGGCAGAAAGAAGGGCAGTAGTTGGTAGAAAACGGTTCCTTTCGATGAGACCTTTCATTAGAATACCGTGAAGGGTAGAACATGTGTTTACCCCCCCCCATTTTCAAAAGTTTAATTTGGCACCACTATAAAGGCATGCGTATGCAAAATCTGAGACCAATTGGTTGTCGTATAAATTATGCACGTTTTACTTTCAAAAACAGCATCTCAGGAAATAATTCGTGGGGGCCCCCCCTTTTAGACAGCGAAATTTGATGGCCGTCTGGCACACCTTCAAGGTATAGGCTACCTACTGCAAAAAAATTCCAGGACTCTAGGACCATTCCCCAAAAAATACTACAAAAGGGCAGAAGTGGGTCCGGACGGACGGACAAAACGCAAACAATAGCACATTTTTTTCTCTAGTGTAACTTTTTAGCGCATTTTTTTAATTCTTAAAAAATGCGCTAAAAAGTTACACTAGAGTCCTTATAAGTTGGCGAGCCGTATTTATGCGCAACGGTCGCCACTCGGCGGCCTATTTGAATTTCTCCAGTGACGGATCAAAAATCCACATCGTTATTGTAGATGTAGGATATTAATATCATTATTGATACATTAAGCAATGTTACGCCACTGTTTATTTTGCCGGTTTCGTGCGGCCGATCTGAACTTCGGTTAGCGCCGTCGCTCGCAAATTTATAACGGTTCTAGTGTATCTACTTCCCTTTTTATTTATTTATTTTATTATTATTATTATTATTCTGTCTTCAGATGACAATAGTTTTTTTTTATAAATTAAAGCTGTAGTTTAAAGAGGTAGTTCAAATGTTTTTTTAATGTTCCTGTCGAGGTTCCTGTTTCGTCAGAAATGATAACACCTTTTGAATTTTAAATAAGACCCCTTTTATAGTATTATACACTGTGTCCAAGATAAGGATGTCTATAATGGGGATCTCCGACGCCAAAGAAATACGACGATAGTCCAATTAAAGAAAAGATCCGCAATCACAGACTTACTACTATCATGCTTTTAAGAAAACCAGAAAATTCCGATTACTTTCGAAGATATTTCAGAATAACCGAAATTTGCCGATTTCGTTTGTATCATTTTCTGATGTTATTTGAACTTTTCCATTACCACTTTTTAAGCTCTACAAGACACCGTTAAGAAATTTTCAATACAACGTTTCCTTTAGGAGAAATCATCAATTTTATTTTTTCATACGGCCCGTCAGTGGCGTATTTACGGGGGGGATGAAGGGGATATATCCCCCCCAGAAGAATTGAGTTATCATCATAGCTATTAGGTATTTAGGTAATACTCCGCTATCCGCTCCGCCCACTTTAAAATAAAGGCAATAATATATAGGTATATATAGAGAGCAATTTTGGTTTTGGTTAAAGTCTAAAGTCACTAAAATATAAATATTCTGTAGTATTCAGTATTCACTATTCAGTGAGTGATCAGTGTTGGCAGTCAACGATTTGGCTATTCGGCATCGATCGGCAATTCGCTACATTGATGCCCAAAATAACAAATAGGTATCAGGTACTTAGTACTGCTACTGAGGTAAGGTACCTGCGTCCTGCCTTTCACGAAATGACGAAAATAAGAATTTTAAATTTTAAAAACAGGAATTTTTTTTGCCCATAACTTTTGATTGAGACGTCTAATCGAAAAAGTACGAATCGTTTTGGATTCTACGCACCCAAATTTATAAGAAAAAGTTTTTTCCCGAGAAATTTTGGTGTAGACGATTTTTGGTAAAAAAGGAAGGTTGTACACTGCCTTTTTTTGAGGCTCGAAAAAAAAATTGTCTCAGATCGAGCGGAAAATTTTTTCTTGTAGAATGTGGCCTGTAGAATCCATAATTTCAAACAGTTCCAAAATCGGGCTACTAGATCAAAAGTTACAGCCCTTTGAATTTTTTGTGGAAATTGGTTTTTTGCCCAAGAGTTGACTAATTAAAGCAAAAGCAATAAAGGGGCCTGTCAGCAGTAAGAAATAAAATACCGTTTTAATCTAATCTTTTTCGCCTGTGCAACCCAACTTCTATTTCTTACCCCTCCCCCCACCCCTCCCCCTTCTAGTACGCACTGGGTGACTGTATGTGCCACGAACTTGTTTAATCCCCCCCCCAGAATAAATTTCTACGTACGCCACTGCGGCCCGTAAAAAAGTACATAGGTACTGTATTATTGAGTAGAATTTTATATTACAAACGATGTACGACACACACAAGAAACAAAAGTTTAAATTATTTTAAAACATATGAATTGTTTGGTTTATTTTGTGATGGAGAAAGAATTATCAAACACCCTGTATGTGTAAAAAATACCACGTTTGGCAAATGCGACTTTTTCAGACTTAAGCTTGCGAAATTCACGATTGTAATCGCCTGGGAAAAATGTTGAATTTTTTCTTTTAGTATGGAAAAAGTACAATGAATATGCATTCTAAAATCTAAATCAATGCGATATGGGCACCCCATGTACAGGGTGTTCCATATATCGCATTGATTTAGATTTTTAGGACACAACGTTTCGATCGAGGTTTCGATGCTATATTAGATTTTTATACGATTAAATTCGAGTAAAATTAATTAATTCCCTTTAATCAAGTAGGCTTAGTTAATTTGATAATCAATTTAATGTCATAGGTTAAACCTCTGACCTTTTTAAAGAAGGATAAAAATGTATTCCAAAATTCAATATTAGCATTCATACGTGCTTTATAAAACTTATTTTGACATCATTTTTGAGTTTGAGGAGTTGAACCGGGTCCTGCATCCAATTGCATTTATGTGTAACAATGGTCAAATTTGGATAATAGGTTTGATAAACGTTTCCAAAAGGGAAAACCACGTACCGTCTCACTGGAATCGTAAAAGCATTATATTTCGATCGACATTTTATTAAAAGTAGATAGCTTGTACCTACTGTTATGTAAACGTTTTTAACTCGGTTTTTAATGAAAATGCCTAAAAATTCAACTTTTTAAATAAACTTGTTTAATAAGGATTTATTTCATATACCTATAATTAAAATAGAAGTCCATTTTTACGTTTATATCGAGCTTTGTTCCGAGATCTAGTTTTATTCAAGATTTATGAAAATACATTAGATTTTAACATGCACGTTGTAATTGATTTAATTGACGGTGCGCTATAATTAAAAACAAAAAGTACCTACGCAGATAACCTTGCTGATATCTTTAGGACACTCGGGTGTATAGATATTTTGAAAAAGTATATCTCATAGCATACAATCTAAAGTAATCTCCGGGAAGTTAATTGTTACTAAAATAAATTATAAAAATATGTCAAAATGCACCCACATTTAATGACGTCGGCAGGTCGGCTATGTACATAAAAGTACGTATGGTAATTGAATAATGAATAACTTATACTATGCGATCAAAAAAAAGTTGCCGTTGAGGGTGCCGTCTAGTTACCTATGGAATTTTTGTTTACATCGAAAATCATTTCGGTTAAACTTCCAAAGACGACAAGACATCAATCTTTTTTTGATCGCCCTTTACATAAACAGTTAATGGTGTGGCCACTTCTTCAAATTTCAGTAAGGCTGCCTATACAACGCCCCACCCTGTATTTATATTAAACGTAACTTTTTAGAAACTGGGTTAGCATATAATATAATGCGATGTTTCAGTTAAACTTATCTGATGTATTATTTAACGGTAATTTTAGTTTTGTCGATCACTGGAAGGGAAGGAAATAAGTTATGTAAAAATGCGGCAATATTCGGCAAAATATACGGCTCAGAGTGCCATATATTTTCAAATGTTGACGCCAAATTTAAACGCGCGGGTTGAATCACCCATTTGCTCGAATACTGACGGCTGACGGGCATTCAAATCTTGTTTTGGCGTGCCTTTTATACAATGAATCCGCATTTGTTCAGGCAGGTATCCCGTTATACTGTTGCGTAACTTAAAACTGTACATTTCGTGTCGGTAGGATAAATTAATCAATAAGAAAATTTCCTTAAAACACTACGATTGAACTTTAAATATTTATAAGACACGTGTGAATCGCCGAATGTGCCCTAATTTTAAATGGGAAAGGACGAGGACGTCCGTCCTCAATAAATTGTTAAGGATTTGCATGGCATGCAACAAGCGAATTTACCTAAAGCATGCAATTCTAAGTATAAATAAATTAAGCGTGCTGGGTACCTGGCGAATCCAAATCGGTGCTGGAAATAAGGCCTCTCGTGGGAGTTTCGGGCGAAAGCGGCGAAAGTTCTATGATGTTTTGAGGCATCCGTCTTCAGTATAAACAAAAGCAACACGCACCAAATTCCGCTCAACTTTCAAAATTAATACCGTTCAGGCGAGCGCCACGAAAACAAAACGCACGTGTTCGCCCATACGCTCCACCACCGACTACCATGCAGTCATCGTAGAACTTCCCAAACTATTCGACCTTTATTTAGGTGGTGATTTTAACGATCCGTGCATTTTATGACATTTCAACGTAAAAGGTAATGATCGATAAAAAAACGACCGCTTAAGAGTACATCAGGTGCAAGTGAATCCGTCAATTTTAAATGAGAGGGGTGACATCATTTTCTATAATTGCTCGTGATAAATTGAACCGATGATCGAATCGCTTACACACCGACGATACGATATACTAGCAAATTGCAAAAAAATCCGGTCATCGCGCGGTCACACCCAAATACTTCCGTGTCCTTTTAATAGACCTGTTCCCTGTGGGAAATAGCCGCACCTCGACGCGCGTCTTCCCAAGTCGGGAGTGCCAGGAAATGTCACCCCTATAAGTGTAACAAAGGCCGGTAGAACCCAGACTTCCAAGAGGTATAGCGAAGATCGTTACCTGCTATTAAATCCAAATTAACGTATTCTTTTCTGTTTGGATATTTACGCATAACGAAACATTGAGAGAGAGCCACTGCACTGCATAGAAACTATGCCGTAGCAATGCCCTTGATAAATGATAAGTGATAACAATTGAATTGTTTGGTAATGTGACGCAACAAGTTATTACAAGGCTACCAACAAAAAATGTCTTTTACAATAGGTACGTCGAGGTTACTTAAGTCAAATTTTTAATTAAATAAAATACATGTTATAACGTAAACGAATGGCGTAATAATTAGACGGCCGTTATTCTCATGACCAAAATCTACTGGTTGACAGACGTGTGAAAAATTATTCATCCACTCGCATACAAAAGACTCTATTACGACACTAACACGTAATGAGCGACACCACACAAAACTGGTATTGGTATTGTCAGTTGGTAAATAAAGTTAGCAGTGGCGTAGGCGTGCAAAGGATAACCCAATGATTTTGCCCATACAAATTATTTGGCAGACTTTGACCCGAAATTTAATAAACTGAGTTACTAACGAACCAGTTTTAATTTTTTCCGAACGAAACCTATACAAGAAAGCAACAAACAAGTATGCGATGTAAACAAAAAAACATAGTATGAGAAATGTGATAGTATGAATAATACCATCTATTTGTATCACGTGGTATGAATAAAATTACATAACCTCAAACATTAGAAATGTCTTGGTTAAGACAATTATGTCTTAATTTCACAAAATACACTAGAATAAGCACAACAGGAGCGTTAAACATCACAAATTTACGTATAGGTCACGCGTTTTCAACAGCACCGACACCTTACGAGGTAGTAAATCCAAACGAAAACAGACAACTCACCGATGGTATGCAAATTTGCGTTTATCACTCTATTAATGCGAGACTTTTAGAAATAATTGGCAGGGTTAATGAGGAGAAGAAAGGTCGCCTGTTTGCCATTGTTCATTTGGCTGGTAAACAATTTAAGGTGACCGAAGGGGATGTTATCGTTGTCGAAGGATATTGGCCCCCAACAACTGGAGATAAAATTAATCTGGATAAGGTATAAATTTAACAACTCAATAAATTCGCACCACATTAAATTTCCTCAACTTACTGCGACACCCTGTATTAAATATCTGATTCGATTGTTTTTTTCAGGTTTTAATGTTGGGAGCGCCAAACTTCACCTTAATTGGACGACCGTTAATTCAAACCAGCCTGATTGATGTGCACGCAACAGTAATTGAAAAGACACTATCGCATACCAAAGTAAATTTCAAGAAGAAACGACGAAAACAGTACAAAAGAATTAATTGTGAGTACCCCAAAGCAATCATCCGATAATAATAATAATATTTTTTCAGTTTATCGCATACAGCAAACAATGTTAAGGATAAATAAGGTGGGATTTGTTGGAGAGCTCAATAAGCCGGAAGGAGTGGTAGTGAAGGATCGTTCGTATACTTAATAAAAAATGCAAATATTGTCTACAGTTTTATAACCAGTAATAAACTTGTATACAAATTTGTTTTGTTACCACAACAGCTATCGAGATAACAAAAATTTCCTAAATCGTAGGTCTATCGTTTTCAAATTACTAAAGATATCACAAAGTGAAACAATACTTTTTAAACATAGATAAATAAGCAACTCTAATACTCGATCAAACTAAAATATCACTTAAATTATCAAAGTCGAATTATAAAAAGATCACATTAAGAAAATATTATTCTTAATTCGAACCGATTTTGGTGATTGAAACAAGTCCGGTGTGCTCTGGCCCGTCCTTTTGTTTATCAGTCTGCAGATGTATTAATACTTTTTCCGTCAATCTAAATACAGATACACAACGATTATAAAACCTACATGTTTTACAAATACGAGATTCCGTTTACTGTTTACGTTTGCCCTTTCTAGTAAGTGTTTGACAAATGTCGACCAGTGTTTGTTCATAATTCGAGCACAAGTCGCAGCTCGATGTCGATGAGGAAGCGCAAGTTGTTGCTTCGCACACCAGCTGGGTCAGTCAGTCTACTAGTAATCGTTGAGCAACGGTAACCAATTGCTCTTTTAACACGCGAAACGATGGCCTAGTTTCCGGAAGTTGACTCCAACACTTTCGCATTACCTGAAAGTAGATCTTTGAGAATATAACTGTGCAAGCAAACTAATTGGTAGCACTATTGGAAAAAGTTAAGAAAATGCAAACGCTTGATTGACAGTTGAAAAGGGCTTCAAAGAAAAATGCGACTTTTATATGGGACACCCTGTATGTTATGAGATGACATCATAATTTATTCAATTCTCTACAAAACACCATAGGACCATAGGCAAAATATTTCAAATAACCAACATTTTTCAATTGTTTTCATTTCGATCTAGTTATCCATGGAAGGAAGAGAGTACCACTGATATACTATTTTTTTTCTCTGCATCCTCTGGATATTAAAAATAAATAAAATTTTACATTTCATGCAATTAAAAAAAACTTCGTAGTTCCATTTAAAAAAATCAAGTTACCTCTGATTAAAATTTTGAAAATTGATGGAGGGATTTCTTTTAACACAAAAAAAGTTTAACTTTAACTGTTCAGTGTATGTTAGTACATTTCATGATTAGTGCCACTGCAAAGTCAAGGCCTTCTAAGTTTTATGATAACTGCGATATTTAATTTTTACTAGACATGTACTTTTTGAAAAAACGACGAATTGTGGCTAAACTACTGATTTTAGATATCATGTGTAATACATATGGGATATTTTATAAAAATAAATGTTATTAAAACTAAAAAAGATAATAAAATTAAAAAAAGACTCGCTTTTTTCTTGCTATTATTAAAGTCACTAAAATTGACCAAGGAATCGAAATATGTAATAATATACAGAGGGTTCCCTTTAAAAAAATGCAACTTTGATATAAATCACCCTGTATAACAATTGCAATTTCGATGAAAATATTTCTAGGTTATAGCCTTAAGGGTCCTTCAACATTCCCCCACAATGAATTTTAAATATGCGCGGTAATAAACCCACAATCGTCCACCCACACACTAATGGCCCACCCTGTATAGACAAAAATAATATTTTTTTAATGAAACACCCTATACATCTCAACATATTGAAATAAAAAATCTGATACAACTGAATACGGTACGCTCCTCAAGATAACGCACAAATGCGTAGCTGAAAAACAATAGCCACCTTTCTTATTCACATCCAGATGGCAGTACACATAAGATAACAGTGTTGCCAATTCTACTGCCATTATTGCAACAATTTGGACACCTCTCAAATAAAAAATAATAATAATGAGGAAACGAGCCTTAGAATTGGTTACAAAATGGGCCATTTTCCATGGTGCCTGGTGATCACCTCGCCTGCATAAGAGACCCGATTTAATGCAATTCAATTCTTATTTTTAAAAGTTAAGTTTTTCCATGAAAATTGCGTATGATGCAGTTACTACAAAGCATTCCTTAAGAACAGTTCATTTCCTATACTTACGTCATAAACTTCCTTATAACACATTTTTGGTTTTTCTAATATTAGCCCTTTTTGAACCTTTTCGACAACTTCGGTATTCTTCAATCGTCCATACGGCATTTTACCACAAGTAAAAACCTCCCACATAAGTACACCTACAAGAAATGCGTATATTGAGTACGGGTCGTCCAACTATTCCTACCGTAAGCCCAGACGTCCGACTTGGAGGAAAACCGTGTGTAATTGAGCACTTCCGGTGGAGCCCATTTAATAGGAAATTTGCTACCACCCGAAGAAGTATATTGGTCATCTAAAACGTATCGCGCCAGACCGAAATCGGCTACCTTAACAATATTTTCCGAACCGACCAAGCAATTTCTCGCTGCCAGATCTCTGTGTATATAATTGTGCCTTTCTAAATATGCCATTCCTTTGCAAATCTTAAACAAAAGCTGTCAATAAAATTCTTAGTAACATTTGTTAAATGACCAACCTGTATACACATATCCAACAATAGTCCTTGATTGCTTGTGAGTGACTGTTCGTGTCTCCTTAAATAGTTTAACAATGATCCGTGTCGCATATACTCCGTCACTATAAAAATTGGTCTATTTTTGCTACACACCCCATACAATTGTACAAGGTTGGTATGTTGAAGTTTCCTAAAAGATCCAATCGAATCACAAGCCACAAACAATTGAAGATACTGACGTCATTACTTTCGCCTCCTCGATAAAATCGTCCTCCGACATCGTCCCCTCCTTCATCATTTTAACGGCGACGTCTATCGACCCCCTCCATTTCCCTCGACGCACCACCCCAAACTGACCAGAACCCAACTCTTCCAAAAGCATCAGCTCCTGCGGATCGATCTCCCATTTATCTACAACAGAATTATTATTGAAATATTATTATTATTGGAATGGGGCTAATTACCGTGGCTAAGGCCCGCCGTAGCCGGCACGGAACGATCGCAAGGACTCGTTTTGAGACGAGACGCGAGCCCTCCGCTGTTGTGACGATGGTAGTTGATCAAGTCGGCTATCGTCGTGCAGCAGTGCTTCTCCGACAGGTAATACTCGCCTTTCGCGTTTTGCTTTATGTGATAATGCTTTACGTGCGGATGTGGGCTGAAATCAATTTGCGAATGAGAATGGGCCCAAATCGTTTCACTGCTTATTACACTTTCGTATATAAGGACAGCGTATAGAGGCCTTTAGTTGAGGAGTTTCTCACTACAAAGCAACCCTCTTTGTCCTCCTGCTTTAGTAACGACTCGGAGCGTTGTCGAGACATATCATTGACGTACCATCTACAACAAAGGGCAATTTATAACTGGAAATCAAACGAGGGGAGGGGGTGAAATGTTTCAGAGGGTTTGATGACTTACTCATACTGCTGTAAACCAATCAGCTCCTTCTCCTTGACGTAATTACTAGGTATAAAACCAATGTTCCTAAAATTTGAAGTCAGTATTATCAGAATGGAGTCCAAATCATCTCACCCATGACTGTCTTGCACTTTCCACCAGTGCTCCTGATTATCGTCGATCACTTCATACTCGGCATTCTGTAAACAAAACAATCAACAAACTTTTCCTAGAAAAATCGGCGCTACCTTTTCCAAGGACAAATCACCAGTTTCGATCGCTTTGTAATTATAAAGCGCTATAACAATTTTAGGTCTGGCCGCCGCTTTTTCTTTCTGTTTTGCCGAAGGTGTCCCAGGAGTTGCGCCACCTGGCATTATGTGGTTAGATTGAGGTGAAGTACCTTTAAAAGATAAATTATTGTGGCGATTATTACCGAATAAAATTTGCACTATTAAAACGCGTGCAATTCCTTAATTGGGGATTAACTATAGTTACATGAGAAAACATTATGAAATGATGTCATTTGTGATTATATTAGCATAATAGACTTATAAAATTCAAACGGCTTATGACTTCCTCAAATTTTATACCCATTAGAATAACAAAATGATTATGATGTTAAATTTCGAAGGTTAACGACTGAAGGAAGTAGGTCACGCCCATTTTATTTCTAACAATCAATTTTGACAAGTCTTGATCCACAGCCTGTTTAATTTAATTGATTTCCAACATCTGCTACTGTGTTGAGAGTAAACAACTTTATCTACAAGACGCCGGTAACGGTACTCTCGCTGTAAGTGAATCAATACAAATCGATGGTTTTAGGATGCTCAATTAACTGTTAACACATAGCAGACCTTTTATTACAATAAGAAGTATGCTGACAATGCTAGCAACAATATTATGACACCTGGTATTTACCACCATTAAATTTAAAAAAGAAGTTATGTGCGCCCAAAAAATATGGGCGAGTATGAAACAGCCAAGACAAATAGAATGTGCACCTATCATCAATCATAGTTTTAGGATATTTGACATCCACACCCATGGTGATTCTAATAGAAATTAACTGACAGATATGTTTAATTGCAGTATGAGAAGCAGGCCCTAAGTCAAACTAAATACAGAATGGTAAATTAATTCTAATGAAAGTAAAATATTTAATAATGCCTCTAATAGTAAATGTAAATGTGTGGTGGACAGAAATTCCTCAAATGAATTTTGTGTGGGACAATATACTGAAATGCCTGGTAGTTTTTTTGACTACACTCTGATTTCCACTAAACTGAATATAACAGTAAGAAAATTCAAAATTGATTCAAAAAAGATTTTTTTAAATTCAAAAATCATGAAATTTTTTTAATCATTTGAACTTTTTTGTTTTTTAAAAATATCATCTCTGGTGTGTTATGTTTTTGAAAAGAGAATTTTTTTGTTAAAATATAAAGAATTTTTAATAAAAAAAATATATGAAGTAACTTTTTAAATTACATTTGATTCCCTTTTTACTCAAAAAGAGCACACTGCGCTCACATTACTTTTTTGATAACAATTAGGGAGATACCCTATAAAACTACAAATGGGACACCCTGTACATAGATATCCCGGTTGTAAGATATATGTACAAAAAATTGTATTGTAGGCGATTCTTTTAGAATACAGAACAATTCAGTGACATAGTCAATTTTGGTCCACCGTTTCTGAGATTTGACCCAAAGTTGGTATTTTTAAATGCAACACCCTGTATATTTTAACGTCAATTTTTTGGATTTTTTCCCTGATTACATGACATATCGCAACCTACATTTTTTTATCTATATAACATTCTGCTCTACATATGTTTGTTACCGAACTCCTCCTAAACGGCTGGACGGATTTTCAAAACAAAACAAATTCTCCATGAACCCATGTCCTACTATTAAAAAACAGTAAAAAAAATATGGTTTTCCTAGCTAATTAAAAAAAAAACACGTTGCAATGTAATCAGGAAAAAGAATGAAAAACAAACGACGTTAAGATATACAGGGTGTTGCATTTAAAATACCAACATAGAGTCAAATCTCAGAAACTGTGTTTTTTACGAAAAAGTATCTAGAATAGGCATCTGTCCCACATGAGTAGTAAGATACAATGGCATTCCAAAAAGTCAAACTTTTAGTTTTCACCCTGTATCTCAGAAACCAACGTAGCTAGATTGATTTTATTGGTGGTATTAAAAGTTTCACAGAAAAGTAACCCTCTACCTTTAAAAAGTCTCGATCACAATAGAACACACTGTGTAATTTAATGTCCCAAAACTCGTTTTCTGAAAATCCGATTTACAAAAATTTTATTCGAAATCCTTCCTTATGGCCCCACACAGTGGACCAACTGCCGAAATATGATCCAACACCCCGGGCCAATTACCAAAATTACACTTGGGCCAATATATGGGAAAATGTAGCTCTGAGGCGTATTCCAAGCCCCCCGCATCTTCTTTGTTGTGTGGGTCCCTTTTGATATAATTTTCCAGAAATGGTCATTGAATTTCACTTTGCTGGAGACCCTCCAGTTGCACATTCTTCCCCAAAACGTATAGTGCCCATAGCAATTGCCCTATAACTTTTGGAAAGGGACCATCCAATATAAAACTAGGAGTCTGATGTGTAAGGAATCTTCATGTGGCAAGCAAGTTTCGATGGTCCTCTATAGAAACCTATTCATCAGAGTCCAAGAAAGAAAGCATCCAAGATGAAGACTCCAGCATCCTGGGTGGGTCCAATGACGGGCACACCCCAGAGCCAACTACCCAAATATGATTCCGCGCTCAGGGCCAATTTCGAAATTTGGCCAAAATTTGACCCGGGCCAATTGCCGAACTATTTTCCAACAGTCCCCACAATTTCCCTAAGCTAAAGTGTGCCCATCTCTACTCCCACAAACCCCTGGTGTTACAGTGGATGGTCCCTTTCTGGAAGTTATAGTGCAAGTGCTATAGACACAATATGTTTTGGGGAAGAATATGGAACCTAGGGGTCTGGGGGTTGTGGAATACCCCCAGCAAAGCAAAAATCGATGATCGTTTCTGGAAAAATTTGTTAACAGCGACGAGGGTTAAAACCACTCGACAAAGAAGAACCGGGGATTTGGAATACCCCTCAAAAAGAAAGGTCCATTCAATAAGTACATATTATAAGATACTAGGAGGTATTACATTTTTCCTCAAAACGTACAGCTCTAAGAACTCTCGTGTAGTTTCCTATGAACGACCATCGAATTCCAGATGAAGATTCCTGGTGTTACATTGGATGGTCCTTTTCCAAAAGTTATAGTGCAAATGCTATGGGCACTATACGTTTTGGGAAAGGATGTGGAACCAGGAGGGGGGGGGGGCTGCACACCCCCAGCAAAATAAAATTCAATGATCATATCTGGAAAATTATATTAAAAGCGACGAGGGTTAAAACCACTCAACAACGAAGAAGCAGGGGGTATGGAATATCCCTCAGGAAAAAAGATCCATTCTATTCCCTTTCCTATATAAGTATTATAAGATTGTTGTATACTGGGGGTATTCCATATCACCCAGAGCTACACTTTCCCTCAAAACGTATAGCTCTAAGGACTCTCATGATAGTTTTCTACACAGGACCATCAAATCTTGCTTTCCTGACAAAGAACAAGTGACATGTGAAAATAATCATTTTGTCCTTTTGGCTTATTAAGGGCCGGTTTTATAATTACACTTTTACGGAGAATAAGATATTCTTGGAATAAGTGCCATAGCAACATGTATGCCATTGGTTGACAAAATGGTAACCAACGCAACCGTCAACATTTATTCTCTTGGTATAGATTATTCTCGGTATATACCTTCATTGTAGAATCGGCCCTAAGTCATTATTTCTTTGGTAAAACTTCATCTTTAAAGAGTCCCAAATTCATTCGTGTAAATAACTTAAAATTAACGTTCTTTACAAGTCAAGAAGGTTTTAGCAAAGATGTGAGTGATATCATGCTTTAGCCATTTCAAAGTGCGAAATGATAATAATAATAAATACTCCAGATAAAAAATATACGATCTGTCAAAAAGTGACAAGTGGAGTGCCATTTTAGCCAAAAAGTGACAAGTGGAGTGTCATTTTAGCCAAAAAGTGACAAGTGGAGTGTCATTTTAGTCAAAATGCCATTTTTTATAAAAACAAATAAAAAATACAGGGTGTCCCATTTACAAATTGAAACCCATTTCCTGCTAAACCGAACAAAAAACAATTGAAGTTGTAAAATGCCTTATATCTAATTTCCAAATTTCATTTCTTTACTTTAAAAAGTACAAAAATTATAGCCACATTTAATCATCACCCACTATAAGTTTTTCCGGTTGCAAGCCAGAGCTATGTGAGTAAAGGGGCACATTGCAGACATTTAAGAAACCGATAATAGAAAACCAACACTATCTTGTTAATAATAAAATACAGAGTGTTCAATGCTGAGTCTATTATGAGGTATATGGATATGGATCGATATATAATATCTCAAGAGGACAATGATAAACAATTGTTGTGTCAGTTCGTATTTAATAAAACATTACTTAAAGACATGGTACCGTAATACTACAGGAAGATCGCTGCTAGACAATGAACATTTGCACTTCAGCAAGATGGGGCTCTGTCACATTATGCTCTGGCTGTTAGGCAGTGGTTCAATTGACAGTAGTACTTGCTATCAACATAGACTATTATTTGTACTAGTGGAGACAATTTCATATAGACCTTGAAAACCATTTTTTTTTGTTTTGTCTTGGTTTTTTTTTTAGCTTAATTCATAACCAGACCATTCAAATTTGAATTTATATTTTCGTAGAGAATTGTATGACCTTTAAAATAATGTGCACTCGATGGGGGTTCATAGTATAATTTTAATGACTGAATACTAAAACGTCTAAAACTAAGGTAAAGCTTCTCTCTAAATGGACGTGCTTTTGCAAATTGGCAAGTGGTTCCTTTTGAAATGAAACCCTGTTAATTTTCCTGACAAATGGACTAAAGTCAAACAAGAACAGGACATTACGTTCAGTTATCAGCTGACCAAATTTCTCACGTTTCTTTAACCATGGCATCTGATTGCACCAACGAATAAAACTAGACATTGGTAATTCTACTTCAATTCGCAAGTACTTAAGATTTTGTAACATCCTATACACGACAACCTACTTTTAGATATTATTTCAATTAAGACATAAGTGATCGCTTTTATTAAATGTTGAGTAGGTGAGATCCTACTTGCAAACTTAGTTTTGCACAAATGGGCTAAAATCAAGGAAAATTTATGCTCGGATAACTTTTTCTGTAGTACCTACTTAAAACTAATTAAAATAATAAAAAAAAAATTAGAAAACCTTTTAATTCAGATAAAATCGTACCTAGGGCACTTCTAAAGTTTGAAACTAACATTATAAACAAATCACAAACGTTTAGCACTGATGTGCACCAGCAACACCTGTAGACGTTTCAAAACATGGCGACCTTTTGAAATCCTCAGTCGGTCGGTGCAAGAAAGTGTTAATGACAATTAAATTGCGGCGACGTTGCCAAACGCGCGCACGTCGCGAATAACACGCTCGTGCGAATTTGATGAGGCGGCGACGAGCGCTTTCAAAACAAAAACGTGACAATCGCGCGAGCGTCTTTTATTTACGAACAATTAGCGCCCTTGCGATATTCAAAATAGCTCACCTTTGCTTTCCTTCGCACTCTCTTTGGCTTCGAAACTAATTGGCCAACTGCTGCAATTCTCGCACCCCGTCGAATTACGCGTCGTACTCTTGCAGCAACTCCACCTTTTTCCGTTCCAGATACCGAAATGGTATTTCAGACGTAAATTTTTATTATATTTACATACTGAAACATTGAAAGGCAATTAGCGCGTTCGAATTTACGGGAACGGAAAATCAATACGTACGCGTGCGGATCGCCAAGAGCCACTCGGAACGTTCCTTCGCGGAACTCACTTGGAGATAAAGGACGTAATCCTGTCCGGATTCCTGATAACCGATTTGAAAGGAGCTATCGGTTAGGGGTCGATTGTCTTCAATGTAATTGACCGTTGTAAAGGAGGCCTCGATCGAGTGGACGTTATCCAGTTCCACTCGCCCCTTTTCCTTCCGTTTCTGAAAACACGCGACTTGAACAAGAGGAAATTTAATTACGTGGGTGTTAACACAATCGCGCGAGTCGCATCTTATCACCGTCGTCGTCGTCGGTTTAATTTAGGTAAAAGTGTCCCACCCTGATTGCGTCGAAATAACCGCGCATATACTGATATACACCCTATATTTTATACATTGGCGGCGCCCACACCCCTTTGTTTTGTGACAGTGTGAGGCGGGTGTCCAAATCATTTCATAATCACCCGGGAGCGATTTACGATAATAATAAATAAATAAATAAAGCTTACATCTTCATTGTCGGTGTCGTAGTATATAAGAAACTTGGAATTAAGTACGAACCATCTTTGTTTATAATTGATAGGCGTATAAATTTTCTTATTTTGCGATCGTTTGATCATAAATCCTTCTTTAACAACTTCATCGTCCTTCTTTGCCATCACCTACACAGAGGAACATCACAAAAACACCACTAACAAAACATTTTAGGTTAAGTTAGTCATACGTCATATTTGAGTTAAGTTAGCTTAAGACCTCAAGGACAGTCTTTATTCTCTTTAAAACTATTTATAGTCCCTAACGTCGATTTTTTGGTAAATATTTTTAGACGAAAGTGTCGCACGTCTTTGCATCTTGAGGAATCGAGTGCATCTGAATAGTTAACCGAGACATCGAAGTAACAATGTTATGATTCACACACGCGACGGATGAAAGGGGGTAAATTTTTGTAAGGTGATTAACGGACAAGAATCTCGATTTTTTTTGGTTTTGGTTCGGTCATCTGTTTATTTCTTGCGGCAGTTAAGGTTCCATTTTTTTGTAACTTTCAACGTGCAAGCTATAAATTTCTTATTTTTGTGAGTGCTGATTACCTATACTAGAATACTACACCTAACACCTATGAATCGATATGTTTTATAATTGAGATTTCAGTAATAATATTTGATGACAATCTGATATGAATGGGTGATTTTAATATAAACTTGTACAAGATAAACAATAGGGTGGATATTGCTAAGGAGTGGGTCAGAGGGTTGAGTTATGGTATGGTAGTCTCTTCAGTCCCTTAAACTATAGGGCGGGAGAGGAGGTGCATTATTGAATCTTATGAAAAGTTTAGAAGTCTAATTTGAAGCGTTTTCCCCAAATTTATCTTGTGGTGTTCTATACTATAAGGTTTAATTATAACCGCTTTAGACAGAGAATTAGAGAAGTCGACGCGCCCCACAAAACAAACAAGTTAAAAAGTAATCGTAAACGATTTACATAAAGCGCATTTCCACTTGCATTCGTTTCCCATTTGTAAGATGCAACTTCTGTTAAAATCGTAAAAATCCGGCCACAAATATGAAAGATAGCGTTGCACATGAGCAATCCATTTTTGACATGCTATTTCAATTTCAGTTTATAAGAAGAATTTCATTTCAATGCTTTTCTAAATAAGAAAGTTGGAACTGCGCATGCGCAAACCTAAATTTTGAAACTGGCGTTAGATTTTCCTTTATTCCAAATGCCTATGTATCACATTTCATTTAAATTCTTCCATAAATAAAAAAATTGGCACTGTGCATGCGCAAAAACAAATTTTGAAACTGGCATTTGATTTTCCTTTATTCCAAGTGCCTATGTATCAAATTTCGTTTAAATTTTTCCATAAATAAAAAAGTTAGTACTGCGCATGCACAAAACCAAATTTTGAAACTGGCGTTAGATTTTCCTTTATTCCAAGTGCCTATGTATCAAATTTCATTCAAATACTTTTATAAGAAAAAAAGTTTGCAATTCGGTTTATAAATGGTCGAGAGGCGAAAAGGGCACTGTGAATTTTGAATCGATTCGACTCAACTTTTGGTATTGCGTATTATATGGCTAAGGCTATGCCCATATTGAATTTCATGCAATTCAGTTCATAACTAACGGAGATGTAAAAGCGATCGGACATTTCTAAACAAAATTATCGTTCACACGGACAGATAGAGGGACAGACAGGCACAGGAACAGACGGACAGACCAACAGACAGACGACAGACAACAATACAAAATTATAAAAGATCTCTAGGATGGTTAATAAACGGCAAAAGTGTAAAATGATGGAACATGTAAAAAACGGTTTGTTGGTTTTTTTACAATAACTTTTTTAGCAATAAACGCAGAAAAAATTCCTTCCTTGGTGCAAGCCTCGACACCATAACGAACCAAATAGCGAAAAAAGTAGAACAATAGCTCTTAAGATAAAGAACTAGTAGCGTCGCAAAAGTAGCGGACGGACGGACAAAGTAGCCACAATAGCGCATTTTTTTTATTTTTGTGGAAATGCGCTAAAAAGTTGACACTGCGCATAACCAAATTTTGAAACTAGCCTTACATTTTCTTTTATTCCAAGTGCCTATGTATCAAATTTCGATTAAATTCCTCCATAAATAAAAAAGTTGGCACTGTGCATGCGCAAAAACAAATTTTGAAATTGGCGTTAGATTTTCCTTTATTCCAAGTGCCTATGTATCAAATTTCATTCAAATACTTTTATAAGAAAAAAGTTTGCAATTCGGTTTATAAATGGTCGAGATGCGAAAAGGGCACTGTGAATTTTGAATCGATTCGACTCAACTTTTGGCATTGCGTATTATATGGCTAAAGCTATGCCCATATTGAATTTCATGCAATTCAGTTCATAACTAACGGAGATGTAAAAGCGATCGAACATTTCTAAACAAAGTTATCGTTCACACGGACAGATAGATGGACAGACAGACAAAGGAACAGACGGAGAGACCAACCGGCAGGCGACAGACAACAATACAAAATTATAAAACGATCTCTAGGATCGTTAATAAACGGCAAAAGTGTAAAATTATGGAACATGTAAAAAACGGTTTGTTGGTTTTTTACAATAACTTTTTTAGCAATAAACGCAGAAAAAATTCCTTCCTTGGTGCAAGCCTCGACACCATAACGAACCAAATAGCGAAAAAAGTAGAACAATAGCTCTTAAGATAAAGAACTAGTAGCGTCGCAAAAGTAGCGGACGGACGGACAGCCGGACGGACAAAGTGGCCACAATAGCGCATTTTTTTTTTATTTTTGTGGAAATGCGCTAAAAATGAAAAAAAGGTTTTCGCTTTAAGGCGACTAACTATTTATGTGCAGGTACAACCAGGCTTGGATTTACCACTAGGCCCGGGCCTAGGGGCGCACGGCAAGAAACCATTTTGAATTTTTTCAAACTCAAGTAGTTAGGAAAGACGCTTAGACTATGAAAGGAAAGACTCGCTCCTTCTCCTCCAATAAGCTCCGAGCACTTTCCGTGGTGGAGAAGGTTACAGGGTTGCCAAGATTCTTTGCCGCCAGCACCACTGTTCTGCACCGTGGCGCATTATCATCGCATTAGATGCGATGCCTGTAAGAGGCAGTCGCCGATTGAACAACTTGGCAACGCTGTACTCAGTGCAGCAGCCGACTGGTCACTGAGCGACCCCGAACACTAGTGACACACAGTCATTGATGAATATATATTTAAATTTTTGGTCTGGGCGATCACTCCCATCTCCTCCCTCCTCCCTTACCAGTAACCACCCCGTCCAACGAAGAGAGGCGGTAATGTTTTCGGGTCTAAAGGCGCACAAGCATTAAATCCGACCATGTGTACAAAGGAAAATAAGTTATGGCATAAATATTCTTATGAATAAGCTCACACCCGATGTTTAAAATATGCGATATGTTTGCCTTTACTAGTAGCTTTGTTTATTCCTATTATGAATAAACAAAGCTAATAGAATCTTTGGTTAAAATTTCAAAAAAATATCTATAAATAAGAAAATTGACATTGCGCAGTTTGCCCCAGCGCACATGGGATTTTTACAATATGGGATATGCTTGTCTTTACTCTTTACTAAAAGCATTTGTGGTTAAGATTTCAAAAAAATATGTCCCTACATAAGAAAGTTGGCATTGCGCATGAGCACATCTTTAGTGTACCTACTAGAAGAATATTGGGTTAAAATTTCAAAGAATTATCTCCATAAATAAAGAGTTGACTTTGCGCATTAATCGCAGATTTTTTGGTTGAGTGCCAGAACTACCGAATGCAAAAATAACGAACTAAATATCTTTTAAACTGTATGAATAATTAAGGCATCGGACAGACGGACGGAGGAAGGGGCCATAACAGCGCCTTCCAACATCAGTTACGTTAACTAAACAAAACAATGATAACTAATATCGGTAAACAAACTAATATGAAGGATATGAAATGTAGTTCAGCTGGTGTAAATGAATCTACTGAGTAACAAAAGCAATTAATTCCCCCCTGCAGGGGCACCTGTAAAAAGCATTATGCGGGTCACTCTGTAATTGGGCACAAGCCTGTTGAGGGCCCAGAACAAGAGAGGGATAATAATAATAAATAAAAATAAATAAATAAATTGTAGGTAATGTAGATCAAATCAGGTCTCGATATCGGTAAGGTGCATTTTTTGGTAACGACAAAAGCAAAGTGCGTATTCATCTCAAAAATATCGCAGCGATTCGAAAGAGCAATAGTCTCCAAAAAGTTTCGTTAATACTTCGGTATAAGTAGAGGTCACCGGCTAGAATCACGCGACTAGATTCTTAAGATTGTTTTCTATGTAAATCCACTTGAACAAGTAAATATTGTTATGTTATTATTATTATTCATCGAGATGGCGATGGACTTTCCCATTAAACTTCCTAGTGCAATATTGAAAAATCCAAAAAAAGTAAGAAGCATAAAAAATTATTATTCAAAGTCAAAGGTATTATATTGCGCAATTGTTGGTACATACCGGAAACGGCCTTAGAACTAAAATATATCCGCAAAAAGCGCCATGGCAGTATGGAAAGCAAATCACAAGAGAAAAACTTCACCAAACACAAAACAAACAAAAACAAAACAAAAATATCGCGACCTCTAGCGGCGAATATAGAAACCTTGATTATACTGTGTATAATTAATGATGGAAGGTCTCATGATAATGTATTAATAGTATATTATATACAAAGGTAGAGAAGTCTAGTATTTATGCCCGAACACCAGGGTTACACACCCAAGCGCTTGCGCCGAGGGATGCAAAGTGCGAATAAAAATAATAATAAAATCTAAAACGTAACGCAGTTTAGTAGGTAAAAGAAAAAGCCACATGGCGCTTGCCGCAGTTATAATTAATCTTGTCAAGTTAAAAAAGCCCCAAAAATGTCAAACAATTTTCTCATAACACAAAAAAAAGAGGGAAATATTTTTGAGAATGTTGTTGGCTCAGGATAAAATGTTATGTATATCATTCCGGCCTGTGTGGCAGTGGCGTGGAAGCGCGACTGTGGTACTAAGGGTCCCTGGTTCGAACATGGATATTTGTTAGGTTAGTAGAGCAGCCTTGTCAACCCCCCCCCCTTCCACTTAGATAAAATTCAAAAATAAAATAAATCAATCAAATAGGGATTGGGAAATGGGGGAGGTACTATAATCTGCAATTCCCCAACAAATGTGAAGTATACATAGACGGCGATAAGACAGCGACAGTCGACTGTTATTGTTCCCTTAGCAGACTAATATTATTTATTAACAAAAATAATACTGACCTGCAATCTTGAACGAGTTAACACCAGAACAATTGAATATATGTAACAAATTTATTATATACAAATTGTAATTTTGTTTTGTATAATTATAAGGAATGTACAAATACAAAATAACAAAATTAGATGACACTTATTTAGAAGTGAAATCACACACTAAAAATATTCCGCAAATCTGGCATAATGTCTTTTTGTTCGCCTTTCTTTCGCAATTCCAAACGTGGCAAGTCTGCAATTTTCACCTCCTTCTTAAACAATTGTCCAACACTGCGTCCAATTAACTAAACATTAAACTTTTAAGTACCGAGAGATAACAACCGGCGACTTACCGTCCCAGTAATTTTCTTAAATAAGTCCTTCTTTACCTTTTCAACCTTGTTACCTTTGCTGGTCGAGCCGGAAATGCGCTCGTCTAACTTTTGCAAGTCGACCGGATTCACTCCTGGAATCTGCTGCATGACGACCAACACTTCGGGATACGACGGTCGCAGTAATTCGTACATCTGCGCGCCTAAAGTTAGCAGACTGCCCTGATTGGCCTCGTGCTGACCGTGGAATGCGAGGCCGTGTAAAATAGCGGCCATTACGTGCGCGGCCATCGCGCCGTTTAAAGTGTGATCGGTAACTAACAGTCTTACAATCGGCCCGGTCAGCTGAGTGCCTTTGAGCGATGCAGTACTGTCAATCCATGAGAGAGCGCCCAGAACTGCCAGTACCAATGATTGGCAGGTCTTCTCGGACCGTAAGAGCAAAGTACCTAAATCGGAAATCACTTCCGCAGTCAAATTGGTTCTAGTCGACGGGGGCGGCGCGTCCATGCTCAGTTCGTCGGTTTCCATTGTGTCGGGAATTAAGTTGCCGCCAACTAAGGCAACCTTTAAAAAGTCTAAATATTCTCTCGTTAATGCCCTTGTCAATATGTCTTCGAGTACTTCTTGAGTGTCAGCGTTGTCCTCGGCGGCTTCACGGCCTCGTAACTCATTCACTAACTGCCATTTAGTATGCAGGCGCTCCACCACTACAATTTAACTCACATTGTAGAGTGGTAAATCATACTAATTTAAAACAATGTAGCATTTCTGCCATTTATAAAAAATGCCAGTGTCAATGAAGTAAAATAAGACGAAACACACCACTCACCGATGGTTACAACTCATTTCGCGCAATTAAATAAACAAAATTATTGGCAGAAATGTTGCGTATGCACAACGATTTTTTTTAAAATGTACATAGACAAAAATTAACAATTGAAAACACATTTCTTCCATTTCAAAGATCAGTCGATTTCGCAAAAATTAAGTGTTAAAGATGTTCGGTATGCTTGTGAAACCTTTTTGAAAAGACAAAGACGTAGACCAGACGTTCTTCATTTTTTTCCTTAACATCGTTCCGAAAAGGTCTGGTAGAAGTCTAAAAAAATGTTTGGGAGGGTCTAACAAGTCTAAGTACCTTAGGTGCTTTCCAGAGCTATAAAAAAACAACATACTTTCTGGAAAACTTTCCATAGTGTTTGAAAGGCTTTCCAACGCCATCTAGGTTTTTGCAGATCTTTGTGTCCCTAATCCTACAAAAAATGAACTCGTCCACAGCAGACGCAATATACAACTGTAAGACTACAAAATCTGCTATTTGGAGAAAATCGGTAATGGTCTTGTGGCACTGAAGAACGACCTACAACACAACAGCGGTTGAACCCTTTAACCCTCAGCCCTTCCCTTTGAGTTCCTCTGGAAGATCAATTGTTTTCATGTGTCAGTTTTTCTTCAATTTTAAGTACTTCAATTGGAACAATAATTGAAGGTCATTATTTGTCATTGTTGGCATTTGTCAATATTGTAGAATATATTTTGCGTTACCAACCTAAATTTATAGTTAAAGTTAAAAGAAACAGAATGGATCAAAAGAAGATTATTACATTCTGCATCTGTATTTCATAAAATTCAAAACTTGATAACCCGAAACGATTGAATTTAGGTACACCATGATTCATACAAACTTTGATTAAAATTGAAAGAGAAATATCGAATAATATACAGGGTGTTCCATTTAAAAAATATGTAATTTGAGGTGCCGCACGTTTATGACAAGCTTTGTATAGTTACAATTGCCTAGTAGACATTAAAGAACCCTAAAACTACTGTACAAATCTTTTTTCGATACCTTGTATATTTTTTCCAATAATTGATCATTTCCAGACTTATCAGCGGCCCTGTATGACAAAATTAAATTTAGTTCTAGTAGTCGGCATTTCAAATTAATCACTCCTTCACTGCATAAAACGCAAATGTTCAAGCGATTCACACAATATAGCAAGTTAAGTAATATTCCCGTGTATACAGTCCGTTTCTAATTAAGTCCACAACAGAAAGACGGTTAAATAAAGAAAATTGTGCATGTTTTTGTCTACTGAATCTAAATCTGTAATTTAAAAAACAAAACAACATCTGCATTTTTCAGATAATAACAAAAATGTAACTTTTTTATATGGAACACCCTGTATCATCATATGACAGCTTATTAAATTCTCTACAAAACTTCTTAATGCATCATAGCCAAAATATTTCAAACATAGTTCAATTAGTAATGAGCGCCCCAGCTGATTTTGGACTGTTTGTGCGTCCGCCCGTCTGTGTACAGACTTTTACAATGGTCAAGGAACTAACTGATTAAATTTTGGTCATTTGGACTTTCTGCCCGTCCGTTTGTATCTATACGTATTGGTTTGAAACAGTTTATAGTCATTTCGATCTAGTTATCTATGAAAATGGTAAAATGACCTTCTGCTGTTTAAGTTTATTCCTTAGAAAATATGCGTTTGAACACCTTCTTTAACATAGGTATCTGTTGTAATTGTAATGTATTCCTTAATTTCACCTGTTATTTTTGTTTTGTTCTACCCGACCAGTTATTGTTTTAAATATTTTCATTATTTTCATGGGTAACTGGATCGAAATGATTATAATTAAAAGATCTTGGTTTATGAAGGGTGTGGTGCGTTAAGAAGTTTTGTAGAGATTTAATAAGCCGTCACAGGGTGTAATAACCACTCCATGTCTCTGGTAATAACATACAAAGTGTTTCACACAAAAAATCACGTTTGTTAACTCAAAAATATGATGTTGTTTTGTTTTTAATTACACATTTGGATTCAATAGAAAGAAATACACAATCTTAAGTTTATAAAAAGAAAAGAAAATTAATAATTAATAATAATAATTTCGTTTACTTACTTCTACGCGAGCCAAACAATTAATTATGTCTATTTCATTCCACTAATTGTTTTTTAGTTTTGGGTGAAGTTAAATGATAGAGCAAGTCTGGGGTGTCTCACCACAGAATTGAACTTCGACCGTTTGCATTATGTAACATTTATTTTAATTACAATTAGCATGTTCAAGTAATCTAAGAAATGCCACTTATTGCTATTATTATAGCTTCCATCTTGTAAGTTCATAAAATTGAAGAAAAAATGTGCAATTTAGGCTTTATAAGAGACGAGGGAGTCGTACATTAGTAGCACAAAATCGTGGTCATTCCCAGAGGGCGACAACCAGGTCACAAAACGTATAGCCAGAAATAGATACGGCAGATGTTAAATATTATTGTGCGTTGTTTACAATTCTATGTAAATCAATCGGAAGATATCACCCAACATAAACAAATTTGGAGTTGGGTACAAAGACATAAAATTCCCTTTCACAAAAGAGGAAGATACCTTTTGAATAGGTCAATGTTAAAGAAGATACACAGAAAGTACTTTGAGTTTTCATGCCTATCTCTCTATACTGTGTGTCCTATTTTGGTTGAGACTGCAGTGTATCTCGGCTGTTTTAAAACATAGAGATTTACTGTTTTCGCGACCTTGTGAGTCAACGATTGCGCGGAGTAACTTCATGCCTTGAAAACAAGATTTTTCGATAGAGTGCTTTTGTATTATGATATGGTTGAATATTCTCCACATTTTAAAAATATTTGGAATTATACAGGGTGCGCCCACAAAGTAGGGCGCCAAAATGGTACATTCTTTTAAATAGAACCCACTGTATTTGAATGTATTTTTGAATTCTACGTGAAATTGTACGTCTTTTTTATTATATGATTAATATTCGAAAAGCTAGTAGTTTTAAAGATAATTCAATTTTTAAGAAAAATTGGGGATTTGCAAGCGTCAGTATATATTGTCAAAATTATTACTTAAATTTTAATTCCAGATTTTATATCTTTTATCCTCAGTTAAGTAAAAGTCAAATAAATACATCTACTATGAAACATAAAAAATATAGCTTACAGGGTGTTTTTTTTTGGTAGGTCTAAAATTGCAAAACTTCATATTAAAAATCTCACTTTTTTTAAATGGAACACCCTGTATATTTTTCTGTCATCATTTAGCTCCTCCAAAAACCTTCAACTTTTGATAATAATGTCCTATACCTATGTCTGATATTTTTCAAAATATCTTGGTTTTCCTTGTTTTTATATTCTAATCTTAAATAAGTACAAGTTAGGTGGCCATGCAAAAAAAGAACAATTTTTATCTATCTCGTCCAAAAGGAAAATCATATCGATTAATTTATTTTTCAAACAATTTATTTTAAGTCCAAAAACTAGAGAATAAGTAAAAACATTTGACTACAAAGCAAATTTAATTTAACTCCTAATGTCATCCAGTTAGTGATATCAGTTTCAGTTTTTTTCATATTCACCTCGTTATTATGTAAATTAGAACTTATTTCAGAATAAAATATAAAAACTAGGAATAGATATTTGTTTATGTTTTTACTATCAAATTTAGACTTAAATGAATTATTCCAAAAATGAACGAATAAATATGATTTTAACTTTGGACGAGGCAGATAAACATTTCCTTTTTTTTGCATGGTCACCTCATTATTATGTAAATTACATATTTAAGATTAGAATATAAAAACCAGGAAAACAAAGATATTTTGAAAAATATCAGATAGGTATAGGACTTTATTATCAAAAGTTGAAGGTTTTTGGAAGAGCTAAAAGATGACAGAAAAATATACAGTGTTCCATTTAAAAAAAGTGAGATTTTTTAATATGAAGTTTTGCAATTTTGGATCTATCAAAAAAACACCCTGTAAGCTATTTTTTAATGTTTCATAGTAGATGTATTTATTTGACTTTTACTCACCCTGTACAGTGAAATTATAACACCCTGTATAGATTGGTAACGAAGCGTTTTCGGACCTATTTATATGAATTTTTAGTCATAGTGCAAGATCCCAGGGCTCTCAGACCTTACTTACTTATTTTCTGATGGACAAAATATGATTCAATGGAGTACCTAGTATTAATATGCACTGTGTGTCCTATTTTGGTCGAGACTGTGGTGTATCTCAACTGTTTTTAATGATAGAAATTTGCGGTTTTCGTGACCCTGTGCCACTTTTTTGTGAAACTTTTAATACCACAAACAGAAACAATCTAGCTACAGTAAAACCACTGTAACCTTAGAAAAAGTATGCTTTGCGCAGCTAATATAGAAGGCATGGGAAGGGATTGTACACTCCCAGTAAGAAGTAGTCATTGTTAAGGCCGCAAGTTTTCATCGTTTTCGTTTGTTAAATGACTATTGTAGAATTGAGTAATGTGTTATTAACTAGTAATAAATAATCGATAACTTTCTTAATTATGTTGACATTAATACCGTGAGTAATGTGCAAATACTACTTCTGTTCTGGTTGTAGTTTTCTGTTCCGAATGTACAGGGTGGCCAAACAAGAATGCGAGGTACTGTATCTGGGAACCTGTCCATCGTCGAGGCTTGCGGTAAAAAAATTTATTACTGAAACGGCCACGAAAAAAACCTGGCAAATATTTTTATGTTTCTAAAATGGCCGCTAGGGGGCGTAAGTGCAATCTGGAATCTAAAAGTGATTTTTCTGTGAATTCCGCTATATTAACCTAACAAAAAAATACCCGGTCTTTGAAGACGACGATAATCTGAACCTTTTTTGTTTGACAATTTTTCCTGTATCTCTAAAAATGAAGTGGTGGGGGATATTCAATGGTTTCCGTAAAGAACACCCTATATCTTCGAAACGGCTGAGCCGATTTTAAAAAACTCGGGTTAATTGAAAAGAGTTATTCTTCGGCTACAAATATTATAATATTTGAAGTTTTGTTAGTTTCACATATCGCCGCTTGAGGGCTTTTTTCGACATTCCGACAGAAATGGTTAATTTTCTCAAAAAAATTAAATGCACTGGTTCGATTTTTTTTCATGAAAAAGTAGCTAAATGATGCCTAAACAAGCTCGCGAAAACCGCATTTCGATATCTTGTTCCTAACCTAAAATTTAGGCCAAAGAAAATTTTATCCCGCAAAATTTTATTTTTTTAAGATAATTTTTCCGGAATTATTTTTATTATATAATTTGTGGCCCTAAGGTGGATCGATTTAAAAAAGGAAGCTTTTAATGCCGCCGTAAATGCTCGAAATGCTGGCCATCACGATATAAAAATATATATATATCTCAAGATATCGAGATACTGTTTTCGCGAGTTTGTTTAGGCATCATTTAGGTACTTTTGCTTGAAAAAAAAATCGAACTAATGCATTTAATTTTTTTGAGAAAATTAACCATTTCTGTCGGTACGTCGAAAAAAGCCCTCAAGCGGTGATATGTGAAACTAACAAAACTTCAAATAGTATAATATTTGTAGCTGAAGAATAGCTCTCTTGAACTAACCCGAGTTTGTTTAAATCGGCCCAGTCGTTTCGAAGATACAGGGTGTTCTTTACGGAAACCTTTGAATACCCCCCACCACTTCATTTTTAGACATACAGGAAAAATTGTCAAACAAAAATTGTTCAGATTATCGTCGACTTCAAAGACCGGGTATTTTTTTGTTAGGTTAATATAGCGGAATTCATAGAAACATCACATTTTTAGATTCCAGATTGCAGTTACGCCCCCTAGCGGTCATTTCAGAAATTTAAAAATATTTTCCAGGTTTTTCTCGTGGCCGTTTTAGTAATAAATTTTTTTACCGCAAGCCTCTACGATGAATAGATTCTCAGATACAGTACCTCGCATTCTTAGTTGGCCACCCTGTACATTATAGCCGAACCTGGTAAGAAACGCCGATCAAGTGCGGACGAATCCGAACATGCATGCGCAAATTTTCTAAGGTTATGATGGTTTTACTGTATGTTTGTTTCTGAGATACAGGATGCAACGAAAATAATTCCAAAAATGAAAAATGTGAAAAATCAGTAATTCGGAAAAATTAAAGTACATAAATGTGAAAACAGCAAGGAAAGGTTAGAACAGAATTTTAAAAAATCGCAAAAAAGATCATAAAACTCAATTGAAAACTTGAGAAGTTCGAATATGCACATATGTAATTCAAAAAATAACATTAAATATTCGAAAAAATTAAAACTTCACAATTTCAACGAAATTCAAGAAGCTTTTGCTTATTTGAGGCCACGAAATAAACATTCATAAAACTTACGACCTAGAAAAATGAAAATCTGACGCGTATACAATTTCAAAATCAATAAACATAAATTCAAAATCAGGAAAAGTCAGGAAACTCAATAATTAAAAATAATAGAAAAATCGGCTTAAGTATAACAAATTCTAAACATTAAGAAATAATTGAAAATTACGAAAATTCGAAAATCGAGAAAATTGGGACTTCAAAATAAAAGTCAAAAACTCAAATGAAATTAAAAATTTATCAAACTTGGATGGAGAAAATTTCAAAAAATTGCATACTTTTAAAATGTTTCCAGATATTTTGAAAACTTGAGAAAATTAAAAAAACAAGAAATGTACAAAAGGTATTTGAAAACTTTTAGTAATTAAATTGTCAACTTAGAACTGAAGTAAAAAATCCCCTGATCTCTTATCAAACAGTAAAGTCATTTCAAAGTGAATCAAATTTCATAAAACTTTTTCTATTCACCTATTTCATAGTTTTTTTTTCGAGAAATCGAAAAGCCAGACATAATGTTAAAAGAAGAACAGAAAATATGATAGTAGATGCAGAATCAAGTGCAACCAATTCAAATATAGAAGTAGAATTATTATTATTATTATAAATGGTGATTCAGTGATTCAAAAAATACTTACTAGGCACTACAGATAATTGAATAACCAAATTATCTTGTATGCGAAGTGTGACCGTTTTGAAACAGTAAAACGCGTGCGTGTTTCGTTTTATTTTACGCGCTCAAAGCACATTTTCTTAGAAGGCAGAAATACATAAATATTATTGTCAAATTATTTGCCAGTCCATTGGACAGAGAATACTCACTTATTGGAGCGATATGAGTTACAATTGGTAGCAGTACAGCTTCGTAAAATGTAGGCGGGCAAGAATAGACGAATGGCTTTAGGAAAACTCGGATAATCGGTCGCAACCTATAATCGGGTAAGGTCTACAAGTAAAGCATTTGTGATTAATCGACCGGCAGATTTACGGCTATACTAACGTGTAAAGATGACAAAATGCTGGTCACAATGGCGGGTCCAAGGTCGGGTAACGTGTACAGGTCCCGACCCAAGGATGGTCCCACGGAGCCCATCATGTGGTAGCAACTCTCGTGCAATCCAGTGAGAAACCTTTGCATACGTTCGAAAGGGCTCTGATTAGTAGCTTGGGTGTCGCTAGCTTCTGCCGTCGGATGATGGCCCACCAGTCCCAGTAAATTCGCCCGTTCAACTTCTAACATTGCCAAACAGCCTCTAAAGTTCTCATTTAAAATAGATTGAGCGGCGGGTAGGAACAGCTCGTTAAAGATTCGAATCAGTGCCAAAACATGTGGCAGTAGGGGAACGGCATGCGGGGCGGCCGGATTTCGACATACCGGATTTCCTGATTCCGTATACGTAACAACGAAACCTCCTCGCGTCGCCCTTTCGGGATCTTCGGGCCAGGCGCACCGTTTGATGGCGCCCAGCAATAAATTTACACAAAATACGAGATTGCTACGATTGGGTCCGCACGGATCCTGATTCGGAATTTGGCACGGCGGTTTATCGAGACCGACAAAACTCATAAATTCGCCGGCTCCTTTGAAAACGCCCGCCGCCGCTAGCGTCATCCATTGCGCGTTCGCGTCCTGCATGACTTCGCCAACAAACGTACTCTGTCGGTCGTAATCGCAAAAATGATTCGAGATCAAGAGCATAGCCTCTTGCAGGGTGACTCTCTCTAACACGCTGAGCTGCGCGTGCGCATTCGCCGCCGATAAAGTCGAAATGGTCGCGCGGATCTGGTCGAAGACTGGCAACAGCAATAGCGGGTATTTATTGCCGATTTTCACCATTAGCGACGCGGCGTGTCGACGCACGTTCTTAACCGCCCTAGTTCTCGTATCCTTAGTTTGACCTTTCGGCGAGTAGACTAACGCGGAAAAGATTTTATCCAACACCTAAAACAAAACTTACAAAAATTATGAAGCGACGCCAACGTGCACAAACCTGAGGTAAGAGTACCGCGCCAGATACCGCGACCGAATTGACGGTCGGCGCCATTTGACCGGACGACATGCTGAGAAACACAAAGAGCGCGGATATGCAGGTGAGCAGCGTCGACAGGATCAGCGGATCGACGGGATCGTACGCCAGACAAAGTTGCAATAGTCGAAGACCGGACGAGATGGACGGTCTTTCGTACGCTTGCAGCAAGCGACTGAGTATACTTTCGAGACATGTGGCCAACGCGTCCCACTCGAGATGCATCGGATCCGATATGTTCAGTCCAAATATTAAATTTGGAACTTGGAGACATTTCACAAGCCACTGCTCCACGTATCCGAATGTGACTAATGGTGCTACGACTGTCGCTTGTCTAGAATAATTACGCAAGGTTTCAAACTGTTACTGCATCATATGCAGGTTAATTGATGAACCCAGAATTCTTGCATGAAAGGTTGCAATGTTAAAATATGATTTTATTAATAAAATATTTGTCGGCGTATGCACGGTTTTAGTGTAAGTAGTAATGTTGGAAATGTTATACAGTGTGATTGATTTTGCGTGTCCATAAAAATATACACTACTTCAATTTGATAAAGCTAAATATTCGAAAACCAAGTGATAATAATAACAAAAGAGCATCAGAAAACAAATTAATTTTTTTAAATAGAACGGTAACTTTTTCTGTAATATTATAGTAGAGTTCCCGCGCGCTCAAAAGTGTTTTCAAAAAGTTCTTTTTTTAATTATCTTATATATGTATTTTGCAAATTTACTTTTTAAAATATCGTTTATAACGCCATTGCTCTTAGACGAATCAGAATTTTAAAAAAAAGTTTAAATAAAAATTATAGCTGGCAGCTTAACGAATCCAACGAGAGGCATAGTTTGAAAATATCTTTATAATTAAAGGCACAAGGAGGAAAAATGTATGACGTTGCACGGAGTAGCGGTGGTCGCTTTTCAACCTGGCAGCTTAACGAATCCAACGAGGGGTATAGTTTGAAAATATCTTTATAATTAAAGGCACAAGGAGGAAAAATGTATGACGTTGCACGGAGTAGCGGTGGTCGCTTTTCAACCGATTCGATGAGTCCCCTCCTACAAGCAATGTTTTTATTCACTTCAACTCGCGTTAAGTAGACATCTTCTTGTTCATCTCGAACTGAATCTTCTCAAATTGATTTATTTTGATTTTTCTCAATAAGTAATAAATTTAATAACTTATAGAAGTCTTCATCGCTGTGCTATGCTCATCTTTTTGTGTGTCATGTGAAGTGTATTTATTAACAGACACTTTTCCACTACAATCATACAATAAATTGAGCAAGCATGCAGCCACTTAATTTTTTTGCCAGGAACACCGTCACGTTTTACATCCAAAAAGTAATTATTGTTATTAATAACAAGGCCATTTGTGCTCTAACGGGCAATCTAGCGGGAAAGTTGTGGGGTAGTTTTGATTTTTTGACTCTATAATGTTTTTGGGGTGCTGAATCCGAATCTGAGGTTTGCCAACAAAATTTCATGACGCAACATTGAAAAAAAATACAAAAAAGTTGAAAAGACATTTTTTTGCAGTTTTGGTGCTTACAACTTGAAAACTATAAACTTTTCTAAAATAACCCTCCTATTCAAAATGAAAGTACATAAAATTTCCTACAGATTCCTCTATTTAGTTTTTTTCATCGTTGAACCGTTGGGGTGCAAGCGCCAGTTGAAAATTGGCGTATTTGGCGGCTGCATCCGCAGAATACCCATCTTTTATTATATTCTGTGCAAATATAAATCCGTACTTTTCATTGTCTACCGCCTCCTCAAAAGATTGTATAACTGTTCCGTCCTGGGTATAAAACTCTCCCACTCCTTCACAAGACCTTCAAAACGACATCGGCTCACAATCTTGGAATAGTGTATTGAGACCTAAACATTGATAGAAATAACATTCCTATAAAAACTCAAAGTGTACGTGATTCTTCAGATACCGGGGCAGGAGGATAATGCCGTGAATAGGAAAATCAATATACCCCTTTTGCCATTTGAATTTTTTGAAATTAATAATGACCCCAGCGCAACTTTTCCAAATTCAACAATAATTATTGAAACGATGCTACCGTAGGGTCTTGTAATTTCTTTATCTGCTTCGGAAGAGAGTGGGAAATAGTTTTAGATAGCACAGTTATAAGTATTATATATTATAAATAATATAATAATATTATATACCGTTTTTCGTTAGAAAATTAACTTTTCATACAATTATGGGCTACAATAAACACCTTGAACGTTATGTAAATGAAAAAATCACTCTTACATATAAAGTTCAAATAATAGTAGGTAAATGCAAGGAATTCATTTATTGACGGACCCTTAATTATTAATTTAGGTTTTAGTGCGAAAAAAAACTATGTTTCGTGGAGGCAGCCGAATACGCCAATTTCAAACTGGCGCTTGAACCCGAACCGTTCATTCGAGGAAAAAACTAAATAGTGGAATCTGAAGGAAATTTTAGGTACTATCATTTTGAATAGGAAGGTTATTTTCGAAAAAGTTGATAGTTTTCAAGTTGTAAGCCACAAAACTGCCAAAAAAATATCTTTTTCAAACTTCATTTGTTATTTTTTTCAATGTTGCGTCATGAAATTTTGTTGGCAAACCTCAGATTCGATTCAGCACCCCAAAAAACATATAGAATCAAAGAAATCAAAACTACCCCACAACTTTCCTGGGTAAAAATATAATTTAAATGGATTAATATTCCTTTGTAGAAAATTTTTTGGATTTGCAAAATAAAAAATATAAATACAAACAAACTTGTTTTAGACGAACTAAAACAATGGCAGTTATAATTTTATGGAAGTCCGGGTATCTGGTTGTCAGAATGGGGTTAATTATACCCCTCACATTTAAGTCCACCATATTCTTCACAATTAGAGGTATTTAAGATGGGAGTCAAACTGCTTTTCCATCATACAAACACTATTGTCCATTGAACCATATTGTACAATTGCACAAAAATATATAATTCCCTTCCATCTAGCAGCAATTTGAAACAGGCGACATGGCATTTAAAGCGGCACTAAAAAAAGTTTTTTCAAGTGCGCATTGTTTTTATAAAAACCAAGCGATTTGCATACACTGTGATTTAATTGACCAACTGTGATATACACAAAATTTTTAAATGGTTTTTTAATCGTGTTTTTGTTAATGTAGTGACTATGTCTATGTCAATGTAATATTGACTCACAGAGTAAACATATTATTATTATTATTATGATAAAAATAAAATACTCTAAGCAGTGCTCTTTTAAGGCGTCAGTTTTAGGTGGAAGTTTATCAATTGCCAGTTTGGACCACACTTTTGCTCGCAACTCATTTATATTGGTAAACGGGAAATCGAAAATAGAACTGCGACTGCGCATAGGTACAAAAATCCTACAATTGTTTTTTAAATAATAAAAAATTAAGAACAAAGAATATTATAACAAGGAATCAATTAGAATATATTTCATCAGACAACACTGTCAGGAAGGAACCCAGTAATTACCCTCGTTAAAAATCGCCTAAGGTATCCTCCTGTATCAAAATAGCTTCTTACTGTGAATCAGCTGAAACTGAAAACGTATAATATTTGCATCCTTTGAAATAGGGGTTCAGTAAGAATTCATATCCCTACATCAATGTGTGCGATGTTTGGAAGTCATTCAAGCGAATCGAAAAGCCATCTGTATGGAAAGGTGTTCAAAAAAACTAACTACAATTTACTTTAGGTAGAGCAGGGATGGGCCAATTTCAAAAATGATACTTAAGAAAAATTCAAACATTGAAGGGTCGCCATTATAACATCTTTGTATCAACACATCAAGTGATATTGTGCATAATTTTTTATTGGAAAGTGAAATGATAACATTTTAGTGCACTGCTTGTTTTAACGGGTCGCAAAAAACTAGGAGTTACTGCGGGCTCAAATGTTGACAGTCTTAGACTTGTAAAGAGCATATGAATTTACTGACCGTATTTCAAAAGAATCACAAATATTGTATGATTTGTACCTATTCGAAGTCTATTTCGATTTCCCGTTGTTACAATATAAAATAGTTGGGAAGCAAAAATTGTGGTCTAAACTGGCAAATGATAATTAATTTCCACCTGACGCCTAAAACAGCACAGCTTAAGAAAGCATTTTAATCAATATTTATATGGAAAAGTAGTTGACACCCATCCTTAAATATCGTCTAATTGTGAAGAATATGGGTGAAACTTAAATGTGAGGGGTATAATTAACCCCATTCTGACAAACCAGATACCGGACTTCCCAATAAAATCATAACTGCCATTTCTGTTTAGTTCGTCTAAAACAAGTTGTTTGTATTAATATTTTTTATTTGCAATGCCAAAAATGTCTCAAAAGCCAATACAATAATTACTTTTTTGGATGTAAAACTACGGTGTTTCCTGGCAAAAAAATTGAAAGATGCATGCTTGCTCAATTGTATGATTGTAGTGGAAGTGTCTGTTAAAAAGCACTCACATGACACGCAAAAAAATGAGCATAGCACAAACGATGAAGCCTCTATAAGTTATTAAATGTATTACTTATTGAGAAAATCAAAATAAATCATTTTAGAAAGATCATTAGAGGCATGAACAAGATGTCTACTTACGCGAAGTTGAAGTGAATAAAAACACTGCTAGAAGGAGGGGACTCCCATCGAATCGGTTGAAAAGCGACCACCGCTAACTCCGTGCAATGTCATACATTTTTATTCTTGGCCTTTAATTATAAAGATATTTTTCAAAAATATAACCCCTCATTGGATTCGTTAAGTTACCACTATAAATTTTTATTTATACTTTTTTTTAAATTCTGATTCGTCTAAGAGTAGGCCTTATCACCATATTTTAAAAAGTTATAATTGCAAAAACACTGTTTAAGCCGACATGGCTAACGATATCTGTGCGTTCTTGCCGTATATACACCGTAAAATGCCGCTGAGAAAAATCTTTATATTTTCATTACATTAGAGCTAACGACAAAAAAACGCACCGTTGTAAAGATATTAAATAGGAATTTTGAAAATTCCATTTTCCTTTTTTGAACCATTTGGACATATGTATCAGCAGACGAATTTAGGGGGTTACATTAATAACCAAACACTACAGAAAAAACATCAATTAGATGTTTTTACCTTTAGAAACTTGACGGAGAGAACGAAATTGGGCTATCACAAAACTTATATTATTAAAGGAAGCTCCAAATTCCTCTTTACAATGATATTAAATAGGTTCTAATTACCTTAGAAACTAAGCTACAGTCTTCGACCCATTTAAACCTGGACTGCTAGCGTCGTGTAATATTAAATTTGAAGCCAACATCTGCAGCGCCCATCACTGGTTATGACCTAAAATTAGAAACTAAATCTGAGGCGCTAAATATGAAATTTGCAATCCACACAAATTTTATACGATAACTGTTTTAACTTTATACCTGATGAATTAATTTATAATAATAAATAATTTGAAGTAGATATAATTTTTGGAAAATGATACCCAAGTAGATCGTGGAAATAAGCTTTTAATTTAACAAAATGTAGCATGTTTTTATTGCAGGACTAAACCATCTCAAGATAACGTGTAGTACATGACCGGTGGGCCGTGTTACACAAGGATTAAGGTCCATATTTTGATGATCACGAAAAGTGTTTAGGGTACATTTTCATCTACTGTCATTTCTTCAACTTGTCTTGGTCCCAGAGAAACTACGACAATTTTCATTTTGATGTATTTGGGAAAAATTGGAAGGAACCGAATTAGCCTTTTACTTACGCGAAGAAACGTTTCTGTTTAATATCCTTGTTTTTAAAGGTTATAACTGCATCAAACATTCATCACATTTTTTACCAACAACTTCAGTGTCTCATTTTTAATTAATTATATAAATAGTAAACACAACTGAGCTAACCACAAAAATTACATCAAATCGCTATAAAAACCCAAATTAACGATTCTCGTATGCATTGACGTGTTCAAATTTCGTTCACAAAACGCACAACTGCTCTGGCCCCTGTGAGGCGCTGTAGATGTTGGCTTCCATTAATTGGACTGGCAGCAATCCAGTATTTTTTCATCCAAGGCTCAATTAATGTGTTTAGAAACAATTGCAAGTAGCGGTGGAATTTAAACCAAAAACATAAAATTTAAACAACAGGAAGTGAAGAAAAACAAATGAAAGGCAGTTACAGAAGATTATAACTAGCAAATTCAACTACATGCCACTTGCTTCCATGTATTATCATATACATCGAAAAAACTCTTAAACACGTTTAGTTCTGTATAATTATTATTTTGGTTGCATTGTGTTCTTATACGGGGTGGGCCTTAGTTGTGTGGGTGGACAAGATGTGGGTTTATTAACGCCCAATATTTAAAAATTCATTGTTGGGGCAAAGTTGAAAGACCCTTGAGCTAACCAACGTAAAAAATAGTTTCCATTACATTAGTTTTATTACATATTTCGATTCCTTGGACAATTTTAGTGTGACTTTATGCATTACACATGATATCTAATATGGGTGGTTTAGCCGCAATTCTTTGCTTTTTCAAAAAGTAGATATCCAGTAAAAATTGAATATCGCAGTTATCATAAAACTTAGAAGGCCGCGAGTTTGCAGTGTACTAAACATGAAATGTACTAACGTACGCCGAATGGCTAAAGTTAAACTTCTGTGGTGTTAAAAGAAATCACTCCGTCAATTTTCAAAATTTCAATCAAAGGCAACTTGATTTTTTTAAATAGAACTACCAAGTTTTTTCTTTTTAACGGTATAAGCATGTCATTATTTGTCTTTTACACATTTTTTGTAATTCAACAAGTTCTAATACCTAATTTACAGTTTTTTTCGATTTTCAAAGCCTCTCAGTAATTAGTAGGCCGTTAAAAATTTTAAACAATTGAATTTATAAAAAATTTTTTCCACATAAAACAAAACAAAAACTAAAAAAAATCAAAATAAAAAGTTTAAATGAAAATAAGAGAAAAATAATTATTTCAATAAATGTTCAAGACCACACATTTGTCGATGAGTTTAGAAAGTCATTATTTGACACGACGAAGTGTAGCTGGCATTATGGATGCGAAAGCATTACGAATGCTCTTTTGTTATTGGGACTTCTTTGCATATAGTTTCTTGCACGTATCCCCATCAGAAGTCTAGTGGTGTAAGGTCTGGAGAGCGCGTTGCTCAATTGTTGATTCAGCCATTCTTTAACGTTTATATCAAAATGAGGTAGGGCACAATCGTGCTGAAACTACATTTCTTCTACGATGTGCACCAGAACATTGCGTAGAAGAGCAAAAAATTGAGTGCCTACTTAAAAATTCATAGTAAAGAGCACCGTTTAAAATAAAATATGTTATTCAAATTCCATGTTTCTAACAAATTAACTTAACTAATTAACAACAGAATTGTAAATGCCAATGAACTAAACTGACAGATGTTATTTCATTTTATTTTGTTTCAATAATTTCCAATATGACTTTCGTGGCTTACCATTCAAATTGATTAAGCTCAATCAATCAATTAAAATTGGTCTTTGAGAAACACGCTTTTTGATTTTGTTTTGTTGGAGGTAAATGCCTTATCATTTGAATTGATGTTCTAAATTTTTAACGGCCTACTGATTACTGAGAGTCTTTTGACAGTCGAAAAACACTGAATGATTAGAAATTGTTGAATTACAAAAAATAAGCAAGAGATACATACCGACATGCTTATATTGTTAGAAAGGTAATAATCCTACATTTGATGCGATAAAAAAAACTTGGTAGTTCCATTTAAAAAAAGCAAGTTACTTTGATTTCTTTTAACACAAAAGAAGTTTAGCTTTAGCCGTTCGGCGTATGTTAGTACATTTCATGATTAATGCAACTGCAAAGTCACGGCCTTTTATGATAACTGCGATATTCAATTTTTACTGGACATTTATTTTTTGAAAAAATGACGAATTGTGGCTAATTCGACTCATTTTAGATATCATGTGTAATACATAGAATCACACTAAAATTGACCAAGGAATCGAAATATGTAATATACAAGGGGTTCCATTTAAAAAATGTAACTAAATCACCCTGTATAACAATTGCAATTTCGTTGAAAATATTATTACGTTGTAGCCTTAAGGGTCCTTCAACATTCCCCCACTATGAATTTTATATATGCACGTTAATAAACTCACAATCTTCCACCCATACACTAATGGCCCACCCTGTATAAGTGAAATTGTTCACTAATCTCATTTTGTAGACAGAAGATGGCTCTCTTTTTTTTTAAATTTCCACAGTTACTGCGATTGGTTTTAAAAATATTACTGTAGATTTAATTCCTAAGGTAATTAGAACCTATTTAATATCATTGTAAAGAGAATTTCAAGCTCTTTGAGAATATTGCAGAAAAAAGTAACCATTGTATTAAAAAAAATAATTTTGTATTCTGATACTCTTTTGTTTTATTATATCACTTGTTTTTTTGAATATGTAGGTTTATCAGAATTTGTTTTATTTACACTTTTTTCTTATCTAACAATAAAAGAAATATACGCTTGAACACGCGAAATCAATCACACCGCATAAGTTGCAAATTCTTATAAATGCCATTTTGCACATACACTTGTTAGGTTCCATTAGATTGATTCAATCATTGTTATCGATATTAAAGTAGGATTTTTCATTAGTTTGCGCGCACATCACCAATGGAGAAGTTTCCAGTTTTATGTTGTACTTTAATTATGAAAGTTTAAGTAAAATGAAAAACAAATGTGAAAAATAATAAGCCCTCAAGACTTTCACGCACGCTCGATTTTGGGTTCATCGCACAAAATTGAATCCATCGGATGACTTACCTAAACGTATCGAGAAAATCCGAACGACACCTATGGAAGAACTGCGAGTATTCTTCATCACAATCGAAATCTAATTTACAATAAGTTACTGGTTCCGTTATATTAGAAGGAGATTTGCCGACGGGATAGTTGACCTTAATAATTTTCGGCGCGGTACACTGCACCCACTGAGGTATATACGAGAGGAAGATGGGATCTCTGGAGATGTGATCGTGCTTTAACATAGTGTTCCAGACGGGATTCGCCAAATGCGCTAAGGTTAAACTGGGATGACTAGAAAATGCGAGGATGGCGTCCAGGAAAATGGAAAAATTTTGCGGTCTACTCGTTCCATCTTTGCCCCACAGCGCACAGAGTTGCGTGCCCAAGCCGGATAAAACCTGCGGTGATGCAATATAACAGTTGGAATACGTTGCCATGACTTACTTGTATTAATTTCTTCTTAAATAAATAATTTTGTTCGTCTACATTTAAGTTTTGCGATTTTGCCGCGCCTAATAAGCACTGTGATGCTTGATCGTTGAACAGAATTAATAAAGGCTTGCGTTCCTCAGTCTTACCCTTCCGGTTCACGATCTACAATTATTATAATGTTATTTACTTATAATGAAATCCTATCATTGTACAGAATTAATAAAGATAAATAATAAACATACTACAGATAGCTCACCCCAGGTTACGACGGTTTGGACTGTTAAATTTTGCTTACTTAGGAAAGTGATTGGGAGAAGAACTCATTCACATAGATCTAGAAGTACACTACTAGGACTGTCAACATTATTATCAAATATAAAGCGAGCATGTTTTAATTGTACAGATCAGATTCTAGGTAGAAAAATAGTTTGTGTTCAAGATAAGAGGGTCACTTCAATTTTCAATATCTCTTTCTATTTGGCGAGAAAATTTGTCATATACGATCTATCCCATTGCATATTGAAACTACGAGGCAATTTTGAAAAGATTAATTAATTTGCAGTACAGTAACATATAATAAAATAAGCATATGGTTAATATACAGTGTGTTTCAAAATGAATAGAGGGGTTTCAACATGTTATAATATTTGATAGATGAAACTTACAGCCACAAGTGATATATCAAATGAAAGAGAAACTCAAACAGTTTTTGTTTGTTGGCATCAGTGCGTATGTTTCCGCTGTAATCCGCTAGAAAGCGCTAATGACAGGGCTTGTTTCGCATGACCTCCACGGTCACCCGACCTAACCCCGTGTGATTTTTATCTTTGGGGGTTTATTAAGGACCGTGTGTATGTGCCTCCACTGCCAGCCGACCTTCCCGATTTAAGAAACAGGATTGAAACAGCTGTTGCAGCAATTACTAATGAGACACTCATCAAAGTTTGGGAAGAACTAGTATACCGTCTTGACGTATGCCAAGTGACGAATGGTGCTCACATTGAACACTTGTAGGCTATTATGTAAAACTGTTTGAGTTTCTCTTTCATTTGATATAACAATTGTGGCTGTAAGTTTGATGTATTAAATATTATAACATGTTAAAACCCCTCTATTCATTTTGAAACACGCTGTACTATGCGATCAAAAATGAGTTGCTTTCAAGTTACCTTTGGAATTTTTGTTTGCATAAGAAATCGTACTTAACTTGAACTTCCAAAAGCTACTCGACAGCAACTCATTTTTGATCGCCCGTTACAAAAAAATGGAAAAATTCGAGATTCAAAATTTAAGAAACATGAAATCTAGCATGCCGTGTGCTATCATGACGCGTGTTGTCTGTCGTGTTATACAGAAAAGCCCTACATGAACTTGTTGAATGGTCCGTTTTGCGGATTTAATTTTGCACGACACTGCGCATCCTGACAGCAACACAGCATGCTAGATTTCACAAGTTTTTTAAATATTGAATCATGAATTTCTTAATTTTTTTGTATATCAACCACACGTCGTCGTACAGTAAATTGATTCATCTTAAAAAACATGCATTGAATTTGAGAAACAAAAGTTGTATCAATTTCTAGTGTAACAGGACCTTTCAATACGCCATCGGATAGATCGTCATGTTGCAATCAAACTTATATTTGACCATTTTTTTCGAATAAAAAAAAGAAATATTGAGGTTATCCTTCCATTATCTTGGACAATTTCATAACTTGATGGAATCATCTTTTTTGGTTGTACAATTCTAAGGGGGCGAATAGGTAGTGACCTTGACCTCGACCTTCACGGTAAACTTTAGGATTCTGAATGGGGCCTCCTAATTTTGCACTCGGAAAATCTATCGATTAATGTAGAAATGGATTAGATACGTCCCAAAATTTTCATATACGATTTACATCTCCCAAACATATTACACTAAAGACCAAGCGTCGGGGGTAGTAGTAGTATCCCTACATTCGTAGACCCAAGAGCCCTACTCTAACCATTATCTTGCTTTACAAAAAACCAGAAAATTTCGATTACTTCCAAAGATATGTCAGAAAAACCGAAATTTTCCGATTTCGGTTTTATTTTTTTCTAGTGTTATTTGAGTAGATACAAAAAAATAAAAAACGCTTTCTTATTACCACTTTTTGTATGTATATTATACTATATTTTTTTGACGCATGTAGATATCAGTAAACATATTAATTATTATTATTTGAACTGTACAAGATACCATTAAGAGATTTTCAATACAATGTTTCGTTTCGGAGAAATCATAATCAACTTTATTTTTTTATATGGCCCATAAAAAAAGTACATACTGTATCGAGTAGCATTTTTTATTTCTAATACAACTATGTACGGTACAAAATAAACAAAATCTGGAAGCTCTGTCGATTTCAGCAGGATGGTGCACCTGCTCACAATGCCTAAATCGTCCGCCGGTGCACCATCCTGTTTAATTAAACCTGTTGGTTTAAACAAAAGTTGTATCAATTTCTAGTGTAACGGGACCTTTCAATACGCCATCGGATAGATCGTCATGTTGCATACAAACTTATATTTGACCATTTTTTTCGAATAAAAAAAAAGAAATATTGAGGTTATCCTTCCTATTATCTTGGTGATTATCTTGAGACAATTTCATAACTTGATGGAATCATCTTTTTTGGTTGTACAATTCTAAGGGGGCGAATAGGTGGTGACCTTGACCTCGACCTTCACGGTAAACTTTAGGATTCTGAAGGGGGCCTCCTAATTTTGCACTCGGAAAATCTATCAATTAATGTAGAAATGGATTAGATACGTCCCAAAATTTTCATATTCACGATTTACATCTCCCAAACATGTTACACCAAAGACCAAGCGTCGGGGGTAGTAGTATAAGGGTGGGGGTTGAAAAATATTTGTTCATAGTTTTTACATCATTTGCGCACAATTGTCGTCGCTTTTTTTAATAAAAAAAATTTGTAACCTCCCACCCTTATACGTAGGGGATTGAAATTTTACATGTGACACGCTTGAAAGGTCCAAAGTGTGTACATACATTTTGGGACGTATCTGATCATCCCTACCTTCGTAGACCCAAGAGCTCTACTCTAACCGGTTTCGTTCAAAATTCTGAAGTTGGAATAGCCTTGAAGGTCCAGATCAAGGTCATCCCCAGGGGGATCATCGGTTAGCCCCCTTAGAATTGTACAACTTTGTATGAAACCAAAAATTATCTCTGAAACCATACTTCATACGACGATTGTCAAATTAGAAAAAAGATGAGCAATTACAAAAACCAGAAAATTCCGATTACTTCCAAAGATATTCCAAAAAAACCGAAATTTTCCGATTTCGTTTTTATTTTTTTCTAGTGTTATTTGAGTAGATACAAAAAAATAAAAAACGCTTTCTTATTACCACTTTTTGTATGTATATTATACTATTTTTTTTACGCATGTAGATATCATTAAACATATTATTATTATTATTATTAGTTGAGCTTTACAAGATACCGTTGAGAGATTTTCAATACAATGTTTCGTTTCGGAGAAATCATCATCAACTTTATTTTTTTATATGGCCCATAAAAAATGTACATACTGTATCAAGTAGGATTTTTTATTATACAACTATGTACCGTACAAAATAAACGAAATCTGGAAGCTCTATCGATTTCAACAGGATGGTGCACCTGCTCAGAATGCCTAAATCGTCCGCGCGTGCACCATCCCATTGAAACCAACAGTTCCCAACTTTTGTTTTTTATTTTTTTTGTATGCGTTCAAATAAAATCATCATTTTCTGGTTTTCTTTAAAGCACGACAATTACTCATTAATTGCCCAACTTTGCCCTAATTTAACCATCTTCGTATTTTGTATGGTTTCCGAGATCCCCATGATAGACATCCTTATCTTGGACACAGTGTATAAGGACATAGACAGGGTGAGTTTTTTTCATTTTCACTGGGGATCTCGTAAACTGTGAGGGATATAATCTCGCGTAAATGGGCAAAGTTATGCAGAATTGAATGCTGATTAACTTTCGCATTCAAAGTTTCTTGTAGCTCTACAAATAGCGAAGTTATCGCCAAAAAAACGAAAAATTTCAAACGTTCATTTATTCTCAAAGAAATCAAAACATAATCTTAACAAACCGCGTTGTAATTTTCCTCCGCTTTCTGATGGTGCTAAAATAACATTTTTATGATTTGGAGGTTTCGAATAAATCACATCAACTTTCATTTTCTTATGGACGCCATATTTAATTTTTACGTCACTCGATAGAGAATAAAATTACAAAATCGGTGGTGCTAAACACATAGTCAGGGTTGCCAGATGTCAGGCATTCAGCCGGAATCTCAGGTTTTACATCGTGCTCTCCGGCCCCCGGCAGGCGCGAATATAACTCCGGCAGAACAATAAATTTCATTTTAATACTTTTCAAATAGGTCAAACGATTCCTTTTGAAGCACCTAATAACACCTTAATTTTTAAATATGACAAAATCACAAATAGGATTTCTATGATTTTGTATTAAAAAACAAAAAAAAACTACTAACACTTGCAAGAAAATCAGAAAAATATGTTTAACTTTCTTGTTTTGACTATTTATGTGTAAACAGCGATGTTGATGTTTATGTTTCAATTATTAAATTAAGTGCACTGTATTTACCCTTATATTACTTATATTGCAAGAATGTATACTTTGTTTTATTTGTTTATTTATAACAATTTGAAATAAAAAAAATTCTTAAATTTTGGAGTTGTAAAAGGTGTTACTGGTGGGATTAAAAACCATGGGGGAGGGGGGGGGGGGGGGGTTTGGCAGCCTATGTCCGGCAGACGGCCGTACGCAATCTGGCAACCCTGCACGTGGTACTTCATTTAGGAACAAACCTTGATTTTTGCCTTGAAGTTTACAATGTATTTCTTATGGCAATAATTATGAAATAAATTAATGCTGGCGCATTTTTTAAAATGACATTTTTCGGTTTTTTGGCTAAAACTTCGCTATTTGTAGAGTTACAAGAAACTTTGAGTGCGAACATTAATTAACATAAAATTCTGCATAACTTTACCCTCAATGACGTTGTATCCCTTATGGTTTACGAGATCTCCATAGTGAAAATGAAAAAAAACGCACCCTGCATTTCATATACAGTGAGCGGCTAAAATGTAGAACAAATTCAACTGATAATCAGGCGTTAGGTTAAAAAAAATTGCTAGCACACATATATGTACACATATACAGGGTGCGTCATAATAAGGGTTGAGTGGAAGAGCCGACACGGATACTATCCCTGTCTGAACTACGCCATTTAGACAGGAACTGTAGAAAATGTCTAATAAATAAAGTTATTTATGTTTATTATGAGCAGAATTCGAAAATGGAATTTAAAAAAATACTGTTGCTTTGAAAAAATCAACTTTGGTATCAAAATCTACTTTTTGCCGCACCCTGTATATTTTCTCTTTAGTGCAAAAATGCGCAAGACAAATTTATTCTATATTTTAGCCGCTCACTGTATAATTAACAAGTGTAAAGCAATGAAATATTCCTTAGTACCTTTTAGCGTCGTAAATAAACTATTGATCATTGCAACATTCTTTTGAAGGCATTACAAAAATGTCGACAAAACGGTCTTCGTTTCGTGGATCATGGCAGTATGCAAACCGGACCCGGTAATACCTGGCAGTAAACATGCAGGGCCGAGTACGAGACCAAGTAGTACATTGGCAAGAGTTAGCAGTACCAGGTAGTACCAAGCAGTACCAATTTCGGCAGTACGTGTAAAAAAGTTTGCCCTGTGAAATACCCCTCGCGCAAAAAAAAGTCTAAAAATTTTATGGTTTTTCAAAAGTGTTGCACAAGTCCGAAACGCATTTAACACTTATTTGGGATGCCTATTGTCACTTATGATTATTTCCAGCTTGTGCATATTTATTTGCTGGCAAAAGGCTAATTTTCCTGGGTTAACAATAATTTTACCATACAAAGTCTCTTTAATATACCGGCGAATCTCTACCTTGAAATAAATTCAGTAAATCAAAGTTTTTTTTTAGGTAACTCAGACATGTCGATTAGTCTTTTAAACGCTCTCTTTCTGATGTAATAAAATGTTGTACAGGGTATTCCAAATTTTAGTTTCTTATTTCTTGTCTCGCTCAAACGCGTCAAAATGATAAAACATATGAAAAACAAAAATTTGAAATTTGACACACATGTTAACTCGATGCACTCTTTTAGAATGGTGTAGTTAAGAAAAATTAGGATTGTCAATTAAAAAAAAATTTGGGACACCCTGTATAAAATTTCATGATCATTAACATGGTCCTATCCTGTAACTCGCTCGCATCTTAACAATGTTTAAATTTTTAACTTGTTAAATTGCAACATTGTAGCTGAGTGAATACCACTGTTTTCAATACAGTAGGGTAAAAAAAAACAAATGAATTATATCTGCTTTCAGCAAAAAATATTTGGACTTTGGTGATATAGATTAGGCATGGCTCTTTAAGGCAGGCTCATAAAGGAGACCATTATAAATATACAAGCGTAAATTTTACATTTCCAAATTTCCCTATGAGCTAGCTATCTGTAGTACATTTGCATCACCTTCTCTCACCTGTAATAAACACTCGGCTGCAGGACACTGGAATGCCATATCATTAAGCAACAAGCACAAAATTTGCAACAGGCGACCGTCGTGTGCCATAATGTGCGACATAGAAACCCATTCGACAAAACCTGTAAGAGTTAAGAGAACAATTTGTACAACTCTACAGTGCGAGTTCGCCTTAATTCCATTGCCCGATTCGCTGCATAATCTAAATTGATTAACGTGGAGTTCGATAAGTCTTAAGAAAAATTCGAAAATTACGGCCATGTTTGTTGTTAATGCTTGATAAATGTCTTTTCGTCGTTGATTCGATTCGAGCGTCTAAAAGTGATTGTTACAAGTCACATTCTGCGGGGGGAGTCGAAATCGATATCACCTGTAAAAGAGCGACGTCTTCCACGAGACGAAGGAACACTAACAGTACAAGTTCAGTCTGAGTCTCTCCACAGGCACACGCATCAGACAGTTCGGCCAACAGTCCGGGCCACTGTTGGGGCCATTCCCTTTTAACCATTTCCACGACGACGCGGCTTAGTGCGTCTTTCATGTGCGGTTCGTCGCTTATACCGCCAGCTGCCAGTAGCTTCATTGCGTTCTCCTGAAAAGTTGAATCAGGTAAAACTCGTCGAAAGGTGCACTGGTACCTTTATAAAAAGCTTCTCCTGCTGCGAGATGTGGTTCCAGCGGTACTTCACGGTGTGTTCCATAAGCTGCAAGCCGAAGTGTCTAACGACGAGTGAGTGTCTCGTGTCGGCCGCCAAAAACAAGCCCGCCTCTGCGCAGAGCGGTGAAGTCTCCTTAAAGCTCTCGCAGGCATTGTAAGCTTTTAAACGATCAGCTTGCGACGCACTTGCACTCATCGTGAGTTCTACGGCCCGAGCCAAGTCCGCCGCAAGCCCCGCTACGTCTGGTCCTGCCATCTCACCGAGTTAAGGCTGCTTTGCTGCTAAAATTTCAAACCACCGCATGCACTTTACATTTTTAACCAACACAAAAGCATGGTGTTGCAAATGTGTCTTTTTTTTTTAATGCAATTAACTGTAGTAATATGACAGCATAATAAAAATTCTTACATCAGCTTTCGTTATTAAAACATAAATGTATTTATAAAGTAAATACAGAGTAAATAGCGATTTTTTTAATTTTTCCCAAATAAATTACAGGCAGTGCTTGCCGGTCATGCGGTGACATCTATCAATACGCGAATCAATTAATCAGGGGCGGCTCGTCAGTCGTGACCAAGGTTTTCACAACAATGAGAATTTTGACATTTTGAGTACATTATTGCAAATAAATGACCTTGTGGCCGTTCTTTGTTCAGAAACTGGACTGGCATGAAAAATTATAGGTACAAAACTTATTTTATAGGGCTCTCCTAGAGGCAGCGTTTCCGCAATACTGATTTTTTCTATCGGTAACTTTGCCTTTTGTTAGTTCAGTTCAGATATTTTTTTTCATGGATGTTGTGATTTATTAACTTCATGATATTCGAGTTGCTATAGTTTTCTAAGGAAAAACGGACGAAAGACGGTTCCAAAAATTCAACTAACCAGCACAAATGTGCAATGGTCCCATATAGGTGGCGTATACTTCGCTTTTTCTTATTTTCCTCCCCCACTGCAGTTGATTAACCGGAGAAGCATTTTTGTTTGTTTGTGGTCTACCAGTCAGCAGTCACTTTTTGAGCAACCTTTTGGTTCCTTTATGACGGAATGCTTGCTGCTCTAATTATAATATCGTTGACAGACCTGTGCCGCGATTGTCTGATTAAGTTAAAAGGTCGTTTCTCCAAAGCAAAGATCATGATCATTGTCCAAAATAATGTTTTCTACGATATTTGGTAAATCTCTTAAGTAGAAGGGTGTAAGAAGGAATGGAACTGAACTAAGAAAAAAACCAAAGTGCGCACCGGTGGCGTTTTATTACCACCCACATGTTAAGTAAGGGAGGTATCGCATTGGGGTAAAAAATGACCCCCCCTCCCCGTATTTCTTAAGGGAAATACACATTTTGAAATACCAGGAATCCCAATCAAACAAAATCTCGATGAAGTGGGCCTGTTTGTCTGTACTTTCGGCTGAACCCCATTGGAACCAAATTTGGTAGGTACACATATTCTTATAGACATAAAAAGAAGAGCTGAAAAGCTTTTAGATATGATCGTGAATGCGAAGTGTGTTAAAGTAACAACAAACTGTCGATTTTTGACGATTTTCCATATTATGATTATGACTAATTGAACCAAATTTGACGGGCTTTCCTAATTACGCATAATTGCCCAGATTTATTTGCCAGTACCTACATTACGTAACATTTTTTAATTATAATGCGGCGCGGTATCTGCGTTAGCCACAGCAAATTTTTACCACACAACGCACGATTGTAAGGGAGGTCTTGCATTGGGGTAAATGACCCCCCAGTTTTTTTTAACGGAAATACACGTTCTGAAGCAGCAGGAATCCGAATCAAATAACTGTTTAACTGTTTTCATAAATAAGAAAGTTGGCATTGCGCATGCGCAAAACAACATTTTGGAAACGTCGTTAATGTTACTTATATTCGTAGTGTTTACATATAAAGTTTCATTTAAATATCTTCATAAACAAAAAAGTTAGCATCGCACATGCGTTAAACCAAATTTTTGACAATGCGCATGCGCAAAACCAAAAAATATGCACGGAATCCTTGGAGAAAGCCCTTCCAAATGACTCCTATATCGCCATAATCGGTTCAGTGGTTTAGAAGGAATACGTGTGACGGACAGACGGACGTCAAAGTGCAGCCAATAGCGATTTTTCACTTTGAGGAACAAATACGCTAAAAACGAAATTCTTGTAACGTGACCACCAACAGGTAAAGCAAATAAAAACCCGTCCCAATTGAGCGAACGAATCCCTTCGTCGGAGCGACGCACCTGATCGCTTGGTGCTGGCGAGGCCGTCCCGATTATACAATGTTCGTATACATTACCGATAAAGCAGGCCAATTTAAAGTTCAAAATGGTTTTTTTCGAATTCTATGCCCCCAAAAGTCCCAATATTTGAGTTTCTTCCATAACACATGGGATGAAATGAACGAATTCGCTCTGATTTTAGAAAAAAATTGTTTCAAAATTAGATGGAGCACAGCATACCCAAGTACGCAAGTGCCTCCTTCTATATGATACTGACAAACAATTAAAAACAGTAGTTACCACGCACGTACGTGACCTTGCTCTCAAATTTTCAATCTTCCCCAACAAACTGTAATAAGCTGGAACTGTAACGAAGCACCCGTTTTCGTACATTGATGGAATCTACCAGCATTATTGAACACTTGGTACTTCAACGAACTGAAACGGACGCTTCTTTAAAAGAAATAGAAGGTCAATGTAATTACCGCCGGGGCCTATAAGAAACACAAGATGCTGTAACTAAATGGCCGTTTGTAGTCGTTCCCGTAGGTCGTAGATATTAAAATTAATATAGTATGATTTCACCTCCGTTAATTAATGATTGCCCGATTTTAGTTGCTCCATCTTAATTTAAAACTAGCATAGAAACCAGCAAGGTCACTCGCTTACACGTAAATAAACACGATAAAGTTAACCTGTCGTTTTTTGCTTCCAAAATTCCGGGCCGCGATCGATGTTAACGAAACTACCGAATTTCGGAATTTCAGCCCGGCCATTTGAAAGCAGGGTCGTGTGTTTGGTGTCAAATGCAGCGCGCGTAATGAGCATTAATTTTGGGGCTGGTCCCAGAATTAATGAAACGTTCTTACCCGAGCGCGCCGAACGTTTTACAGTATTCCCCAGTGGCAGACCGCCCGGTCCCTGTAATCACCGTCTAATTACCTGAAGGCTTCCGAAACCGTTCCTTGGTCAGAAGCAGGGTTTCAGAATCTTCTGGTGGCGCTCGAATTACCGTACGGTCCCGCTGACTGTCGCCGTGCCCACCCTTTATTTTGTAATTCAAATTTACATGTAATTGTATTTTCTTGTGGCTTAATTAATTTAATTTTTTTAAAATTACATATTCTATGTACAGGGTGGCCAAATAAGAATGCGAGGTACTGTATCTTGGAACTTATCCATCGTAGAGGCTTGCGGTAAAGAAAGTATTACTGAAACGGCCACGAGAAAAACCTGAAAAATATTTTGTTAAGTTTCTGAAATGATCGCTAGGGGGCGTAACTGCAATCTGGAATCTAAAAAACTGATGTATTCAACGGTTTCCGTAAAGAAAACTCTGTATCTTCGAAACGGCTGAGCCGATTTAAACAAACTTGGGTTAGTTCCAAAGAGCTATTCTTCAGTTACAATTACAAATATAATATTTGCAGTTTTGTTAGTTTCACATATCAACGCTTGAGGGCTTTTATCGACATTCCGACAGAAATGGTTAAATTTCCTCAAGAAAATTAAATGCAATGGTTCGATTTTTTTTCATGAAAAAGTAGCTAAATAATGACTAAACAGGCTCGCAAAAACCGCATCTCGATATCTTGTTCCTAACCTAAAATTTAGGCCAAAGAAATTTTTATACCCCCAAATTTTTATTTTTTTAACCTAATTCTTCCGGAATTATTTTTATTATATAATTTGTCGCCCTAAGGTGGATCGATTTAAAAAAGGAAGCTTTAAATGCCGCCGTAAATGCTCGAGGCATAATTAAGCTACTTTTTCATGAAAAAAAAAAATCGAACCAATGCATTTAATATTTAAATCGGCTCGGCCGTTTGAACATACAGGGTGTTTTTTTTACAGAATCCTTTGAATACCCCCCACCACTACATTTTTAGAGATACACAGCAAAAATTTTCAAACAAAAAATGTTCAGATTATCGTCGACTTCAAAGACTGAACATTTTTTTCTTAGGTTAATATAGCATAGCGTAATTCACAGAAACATCACTTTTTTAGATTACAGTAAAGTCACTAGATATAGAAAGTACCGCAATCATCCGCCATTTTTGGGCAAATTTGCTGCCAACTTAAAAAAAATTGACAAATAAAATGTGAATAGCTGTAATTTTTTATAACCTAACTTCATAGTACTGTCATGTTTTATAAAAATATATACAGATATCTCCAAACAGGTGGAACAATCCCTAACATTAAAGTTACTAGAATCTGGTAACTTCCGCCATTTTTGGGCAAAAATAATGCGTTCTCTCTCTTAACACACGAACCCAATGGATTGCGGTACTTTCTATATTTAGTGACTTTACCCAGAACGAACTTCCGCTGTGGAAGATTCTCATGATCTTATTTTGTGTTTAACGCTGAGCTAGTTGGCCGTTTATGCGACGGGTGTTAGGAAACGAGCGCCAACTCTACTCAATTTATAGGTTGCCATCAGATGCCGATGTATTTTCCGCCTCATGCACTAACAGAGCCTTCATCGATTCCATTTTTAGGACTGTACAATGTACATGACGTCATACTTAAATAATTTTTTTATCCATATATTATCAAATTTTGATCCCAGCGGAAAAGCGTATAGAATCTTTTACGTAGAGAACTTTATGTATGTTACTTAAATACTCGTATTTCGTTTCTGCTATATGAGCCAGCGTTTACGAGTTATTTTACAAAAAAAACAAAGAAAGGGAGGGGGGGAGGCAGTGCTTCTTCGCAAAAGGTGTGACGATTAATCTTTAGGATGCCCTTGAATGGGATAAGGTGTAATAATTTTGGTGGAATGCGCACAACAGTTGGGTGCCATATTGGGGTAATATTTTAATGTAAAGAATTGTAAATAGGCACATGTAGGGGACGCACACGCAGCCGCTACAACGGGATCATTTGACTGCGTCTTGTAGTACATGAAAGTGGACAACTTGATCAATTAAACTGATTTCCCTGCAAAAATCGTCAATTCTTAATATTAATTGTATGTATACCACGCCACAATTTATATACCTATTCATTGGAATCCGTTCTTACTGTACATTTTCTTACACGGAGAACCCCTACCAGCATTGCGTATCAACCTGTTAACGAAAAATGTCAATTTTATAGCACCTTTTGTTAGTGTAATTTATGCTCAATGACAATAAAAATCAAAATAAACATTTTCCAAATTGTCCAACCAATAACAATAATTTGTTGAGCTACCAAACACATTTTATTAAACTTGTTTACTACAGACATAAAATGCTTATAAAATAAACAGTTTGTGTCACTGTAATCATA